GACGTGCGGTTGTACACTCTCTGCAGATTATGCAACAGGCGTGGGCCTGAGTGTGGGTGCAGGCCTCATCAAGTAGTAACCTCAGAAGCAACCCTGTGGCATCATCATCATCTTCTTACAGTTAGGTGTTTTCGGTAAAGTCACGTAGGTAAAAATAAAAATGATAATAGAAATAAAATAATAAATCACGACGTTTCGGAGGCAACACAAGTCTCCGTCATCAGATGGGACCGTCACAGCTAAATTTACTGTATCAAGTGAGGAAAAAATCCAAGAGGCAAGCTCTTAAATACAAGTTAAGTGGGAGGGGGCTTATCTGAATGTGAATGGAACAGTGGGGGAGCGGAGCTTGGAGTTGCGGCCGATTGTTGGCTGACAACTAAAAAATACAAAAAAGCAGCACTGTTAAACACTCGGTAAAGTAGAATAGTACCTGTCAAATAATACGGTACAAACATGTGTAGTTAAATCTTTTTCACATAGTTAATAACATCTTTCTAATGATTACTCAGTTTGTACCCATCATCCCGGTTGAAGTGATGTCTGTGTTTGTATATCTGGATGGCCTCGTGCACAAACCTTTCATGGTAGCCAGAAGGTTTGCAGAGCACCTTGGTCTCGGAAAAAACAATATCATGAGAAGCTTCAAATCTAGAATCTTCTTACAGGGCTGCTCGTTGCCACAGGGTGGTGCACTGCTTACTCACCAGGATTTCCAATCGGAGTATCTACATCTAACGATGAAGAAATGAAAGAGGTTGTTTTTTCGTCGTTGTTTTGACTCGACGTGCCCCACCAAGACTGATGCTAACAGCTGTAGAATGTTATTGGGATGCGGAATATGAATGGATTTGTTGTGTTTGTTTAAAATATCAACTCGGAGCAAGCTGAACCCTGCGCCGTATGTCACCGCTGATCAAGGTCAAGAAGCCATCATTGGGCGAAGCTGCTGATGCCAACGCATGGAACTAGATGATGTTTAACGCGGATTTCAGACGCTCTTCAACGCAGCGCTGAGCTGAAACGACGACACCATTATATATACGGGGTGGTATTTCTTGTGATCTCTCATTTACTTGATACAGCTGTCGTGGCTGTGACGGTTCCACCTGAACACGGAGGCTTGTGTTGCTTCCGAAACGTCGTGATTTTTATTTTGTTTTATTTTACTTTTATTAATTTACATTTTTTACCTACGTGACTTTACCGAAAAAACCTAAGAATATGAATCCTTGCAGTCACGAAAGCTTGAAATCTAGATATGATTGAGATTGGTTTTTTTGGGTCAGATCGCATCCTGAGTACAATGTGTATTGTACACCCTCAGCCACCTGACACGGCCAGTTATTTTTTGAAAGTTTACTTTTGTTTTACCAGGTAAGGCTCACTGAGCTATTTAGCTCTTTTTCAGAAGCGGCCTGACCACAAATGATGGCTCAACGAGTTGGCTTATCATCACGTAGGGAATGTATAGCAGCCAAATAGTCTAAATGCACGTTGATTCTAAATGTGGAGGGGAAAATTGGAGTAACCGGAGAGAGAGACACGCAAACTCCAAATATACAGCAGCAGGCGTCAGGGTTGGATCGAACCCACGACCTCCTGGATACCGGGCGAGGTAGTTAACATCTCCTAGCCACCGTGATGATGATGAGAGAGACACGCAAACTCCAAATATACAGCGGGAGGTGTCAGGGTTGGGATCGAACCCACGACCTCCTGGATACCCAGCGAGGTAGTTAACATCTCGCCACCGTGGCACCCTAATGAGGTTAATCAAGTTGTTACGTGCCGAGCAAATGTGGCCAATTTATTACAGCTTCAGCAGCACCATCGGTTTCCAGAAGTGTGAAAACATCCTTCAGTCTTGAGCCTTAAATAGGTGGCGTGATGGCGTGGTCATTTCGCACTTGCACACGTGACATTTTAATTTGTTTGGCCGTGTCAGGTGGTGGAGGGCTCTCAAGGAGATGAACATTTGGTCAGATCATCACGCGGCCTAACCCAAAAAGATCACTTACGAATCAAATGTGGTCGAGCATTTGAGCAAAAGGGAATGTTAAAAGTCATGCAATTTGTCAGCTGCTGTGGAGTTATGCTGGGATAACCGGCTGTGATGTGTGGAATTGGATAATTATGTCTTTTAAAAATTTGGCAGCACAACTTTTTTCTCTTGTATGTAAGGGAAAAAAAATCCACGAGTTATTAATTTGTCAATATCTCAGTTAATCTGCAAATCAGATACATCGCATGCTGATATTCGTGTCTGCTGTACATTAACATTCTTTTTTCTGTGTCACCTTTGATCCCAATCGCAGTTATGGCAACGGGTTACTTATTTATATATAATTCAACTTAACATTTCTTTTTTACAAATTAACAGCACTCGCTTTAATAAACAAAATATTAACGTGCATTGGAAACTAAAGGGATTCCGCGTGTTTCTCACAATCGTGGGTGAGTGCTGCCACCTTCTGGCCTAACCAACTTACTGGCAAAGTTGTCACTAAACTACATTACTGGTAGGAACCTCCTGGTTACACCAGCCCACAGGGGATTATTGTGTCCGTCCGTCGTGCAGGGAGGGGCTGGCTGGGGAGGGGCTGGGTGGGGAGGGGAGGGTGGGTGGGGGGTGGGAGGGGTGGGGCTAGGTGGGGGGGGGCTGGGTGGGGGCTGGGTGGGGAGGGGCTGGTCACTCCGTGGTGCCCTTATAAAACTCAACGTTTAACCTACTCACGCCGGCTTGTGCCTGTCCTCACAGTCGGGCATATTTGCGGAATATACCACGCCGCCGTTGACCCTGGCCATTGACCGAGCAGCCCAACGTTTCTACCAGCTCCCTCCACAGGACTGTGTTGCATAGATACGCGTAGGGAATGGTAGATTTATATTTAAGACAAGACACAGTAGTGCAATTGTGGTCATATGATCAAAACCATGGGCTATAGAATATATCCATACAGACGCATACGAGACTCATTGAGATACAGAGACCCACATATATACACAGGGACCCAATAAAATACATAGCCACTCGTAAGAGACCCATGTAGATACACAAATTACTTCTTTCGCACCGTACGTAGCCAACCGTGCTACACTACAGGCACGCACAAAGACAAAGATCCCCCGTGTAGCCTTAACAGACTGTAGGGGCAAGTGCTGTTTGCGAGCACCTATGAAGGCCGGAACGGTACACGAGGGGGTGGGTGGCCAGCACGACGCCCGACCGCCTTTGTCTCCCTCGTGGCGACGTTTACACACCGCACAAGGTACTCATTTGAGGCTGAGTCGACCTAGGGGAGGCCCAGGACCGGTTCAAATGATCTTCAACTTGTGTTGGCCGTGAGCGGGAATCGAACTCGGGTCGCCAGGTTCGTAGTGCAGCGAAGCGCTAACTGCTACACCACCGCTCCCCATCACACACACACAGACACACACAGATACACTGACACACACAGACACACAGATACACTGACATACACAAACACACAGATACACTGACACACACAGACACACTGACACACAGACAGACATACTGACACACTGACACACACAGACATACTGATACACACAGACACACACACAGACACACCAGACACATACACACTGACTCACTGACACAGAAATACTGACACACAGACGCACACTCTGACACACAGACACACACTGACACACTAACACAGACACACACACTGACTCACTGACACAGAAATAGTGACACACAGACGCACACTCTGACACACAGACACACACTGACACACTAACACACAGACACACTAACACAGACACACGCTGACTCACAGACACATACACACTAACACACAGACACACTAACACACAACAACAACCGCCATTCGCCACTAAGTGGCGTTGACGTCACCACGACGCTTGTGCCAGGCCATGTGCACCTTGAGGCTACCACGTGAAGTGTCGAACGCCCGCTGGCAGGAGGTCACGGGGCAGACCCAGCAGGTGCCACGGGTCGACTGACCGAGATGAGTGGCTGATGCACCACCTGTGCCCCCCACTGTGCCAACTTGCTGTGCTTTAGCCACCCGGCACACAGACGCACACACAGACACACACACAGACACACACACACACAGACACACGCACAGACACACACACAGATACACAGACACACACAGACACACACACAGACACACAGACACACACACAGACACACGCACAGACACACGCACAGACACACACACAGATACACAGACACACACACAGACACACACACAGACACACACACAGACACATACACACACAGACACACGCACAGACACACGCACAGACACACACAGACACACACACACAGACACACACAGACACACGCACAGACACACAGACACACGCACAGACACACACACAGATACACAGACACACACAGACACACGCACAGACACACGCACAGACACACACACAGATACACAGACACACACAGACACACGTGGGTGAGTTCCCTACAGACGCCACCAACCCCCACCACCAAAGCTATTCACCGCGTAACGTTATTCACAGACGACGGTTGGTGGTTGTTGTTCGTGGTTGATGGTTATTGCTGTTGTTGTTGGTGATTGTTGTTGGTTGTTATTAGTGGTGGTTGTTGTTGTTCGTGGTTGATGGTTATTGTTGTTGTTGGTGATTGTTGTTGGTTATTATTAGTTGTGGTTGATGCTGTTGGTTGTTGTTGGTTGTTGGTGGTTATTAGTTGTGGTTGTTGTTGTTCGTGGTTGATGGTTATTATTGTTGTTGGTGATTGTCGTTGGTGGGTTGTTGTAGTAAGTGGTGGTGGTGGTTACTGCTAGTGGTGGCGGTTGGTAGTGGTAGTTGTTAGTTGTTGGTGGTGGTTGGTCGTTGTCGTTGACTGTTGGTGATTGGTGCAAGTTTGTAGGTGGTGGTGGGGGGGGGGTGGTGGGGGGGGAGGTGGTTGCCCGTTGCCATAGCGACTCGCCCGTGAACACAACCCAGTCGCATGCAACAACCCCCACCACGCACAACCCCCTCAGGCCGACCGCCTCTGCTGCCGTTGCCTAGGCCACGGCTGATACAACAACGCTCACTTCAACCACAACCACCACCACCACAACCACCACCACCACTACCACGGCTCCTGCGGAAGAAGTTGTTCAGGTGGGAAGCTGCTTGCTGATGCTGGCTACTCGCTAACAGCACTTGCCCTAACAGTCTGTAAGGCTGTATGGGGGATCTTTGTCTTTGTGTGTGCTACTCGCTAACAGCACTTGCCCTAACAGTCTGTAAGACTGTATGGGGGATCTTTGTCTTTATGTGTGCTACTCGCTAACAGCACTTGCCCCTAGCAGCCTTACAGGCTGTATGGGGGATCTTTGTCTTTGTGTGTGCTACTCGCTAACAGCACTTGCCCTAACAGTCTGTAAGGCTGTATGGGGGATCTTTGTCTTTGTGTGTGCTACTCGCTAACAGCACTTGCCCTAACAGTCTGTAAGGCTGTATGGGGGATCTTTGTCTTTGTGTGTGCTACTCGCTAACAGCACTTGCCCTAACAGTCTGTAAGGCTGTATGGGGGATCTTTGTCTTTGTGTGTGCTACTCGCTAACAGCACTTGCCCTAACAGTCTGTAAGACTGTATGGGGGATCTTTGTCTTTATGTGTGCTACTCGCTAACAGCACTTGCCCCTAGCAGCCTTACAGGCTGTATGGGGGATCTTTGTCTTTGTGTGTGCTACTCGCTCACAGCACTTGCCCTAACAGTCTGTAAGACTGTAGGGGGATCTTTGTCTTTGTGTGCTACTCGCTAACAGCACTTGCCCTAACAGTCTGTAAGGCTGTATGGGGGATCTTTGTCTTTGTGTGCTACTCGCTAACAGCACTTGCCCTAACAGTCTGTAAGGCTGTATGGGGGATCTTTGTCTTTGTGTGTGCTACTCGCTACCAGCACTTGCCCCCACAGTCTAACTAAGACTCTACATCAGCCCTAGCTAAGACTCTACATCAGCCCTAGCTAAGACTCTACATCAGCCCTAGCTAAGACTCTACATCAGCCCTAGCTAGAACTCTACATTAGCCCTAGCTAAGACTCTACATCAGCCCTAGCTAAGACTCTACATTAGCCCTAGCTAAGACTCTACATTAGCCCTAGCTAAGACTCTACATCAGCCCTAACTAAGACTCTACATCAGCCCTAGCTAAGACTCTACATTAGCCCTAGCTAAGACTCTACATCAGCCCTAGCTAAGACTCTACATTAGCCCTAGCTAAGACTCTACATTAGCCCTAGCTAAGACTCTACATCAGCCCTAGCTAAGACTCTACATTAGCCCTAGCTAAGACTCTACATCAGCCCTAGCTAAGACTCTACATTAGCCCTAGCTAGAACTCTACATTAGCCCTAGCTAAGACTCTACATCAGCCCTAGCTAAGACTCTACATTAGCCCTAGCTAAGACTCTACATTAGCCCTAGCTAAGACTCTACATCAGCCCTAGCTAAGCCTCTACATCAGCCCTAGCTAAGACTCTACATCAGCCCTAGCTAAGACTCTACATTAGCCCTAGCTAAGACTCTACATTAGCCCTAGCTAGAACTCTACATTAGCCCTAGCTAAGACTCTACATTAGCCCTAGCTAAGACTCTACATTAGCCCTAGCTAGAACTCTACATTAGCCCTAGCTAAGACTCTACATTAGCCCTAGCTAGAACTCTACATTAGCCCTAGCGAAGACTCTGCATTAGCCCTAAGACTCTACATTAGCCCTAGCTAGAACTCTACATTAGCCCTAGCTAAGACTCTACATCAGCCCTAGCTAAGACTCTACATTAGCCCTAGCTAGAACTCTACATTAGCCCTAGCGAAGACTCTACATTAGCCCTAAGACTCTACATTAGCCCTAGCTAGAACTCTACATTAGCCCTAGCTAAGACTCTACATCAGCCCTAGCTAAGACTCTACATTAGCCCTAGCTAGAACTCTACATTAGCCCTAGCTAGAACTCTACATTAGCCCTAGCTAAGACTCTACATCAGCCCTAGCTAAGACTCTACATCAGCTCTAGCTAAGACTCTACATCAGCCCTAGCTAAGACTCTACATCAGCCCTAGCTAAGACTCTACATCAGCTCTAGCTAAGACTCTACATCAGCTCTAGCTAAGACTCTACATCAGCCCTAGCTAAGACTCTACATCAGCCCTAGCTAAGACTCTACATCAGCTCTAGCTAAGACTCTACATTAGCCCTAGCTAAGACTCTAGCCCTAGCTAAGACTCTACATTAGCCCTAGCTAAGACTCTACATCAGCCCTAGCTAAGACTCTACATCAGCCCTAGCTAAGACTCTACATCAGCCCTAGCTAAGACTCTACATCAGCCCTAGCTAAGACTCTACATTAGCCCTAGCTAAGACTCTACATCAGCCCTAGCTAAGACTCTACATCAGCCCTAGCTAAGACTCTACATCAGCCCTAGCTAAGACTCTACATCAGCCCTAGCTAAGACTCTACATTAGCCCTAGCTAAGACTCTACATTAGCCCTAGCTAAGACTCTACATCAGCCCTAGCTAAGACTCTACATCAGCCCTAGCTAAGACTCTACATCAGCCCTAGCTAAGACTCTACATCAGCCCTAGCTAAGACTCTACATCAGCCCTAGCTAAGACTCTACATTAGCCCCAGCTAAGACTCTACATCAGCCCTAGCTAAGACTCTACATTAGCCCTAGCTAAGACTCTACATCAGCCCTAGCTAAGACTCTACATCAGCCCTAGCTAAGACTCTACATCAGCCCTAGCTAAGACTCTACATCAGCCCTAGCTAAGACTCTACATCAGCCCTAGCTAAGACTCTACATTAGCCCTAGCTAAGACTCTACATCAGCCCTAGCTAAGACTCTACATCAGCCCTAGCTAAGACTCTACATCAGCCCTAGCTAAGACTCTACATTAGCCCTAGCTAAGACTCTACATCAGCCCTAGCTAAGACTCTACATCAGCCCTAGCTAAGACTCTACATCAGCCCTAGCTAAGACTCTACATCAGCCCTAGCTAAGACTCTACATTAGCCCTAGCTAAGACTCTACATCAGCCCTAGCTAAGACTCTACATCAGCCCTAGCTAAGACTCTACATCAGCCCTAGCTAAGACTCTACATCAGCCCTAGCTAAGACTCTACATCAGCCCTAGCTAAGACTCTACATCAGCCCTAGCTAAGACTCTACATCAGCCCTAGCTAAGACTCTACATTAGCCCTAGCTAAGACTCTACATCAGCCCTAGCTAAGACTCTACATCAGCCCTAGCTAAGACTCTACATCAGCCCTAGCTAAGACTCTACATCAGCCCTAGCTAAGACTCTACATTAGCCCTAGCTAAGACTCTACATCAGCCCTAGCTAAGACTCTACATCAGCCCTAGCTAAGACTCTACATCAGCCCTAGCTAAGACTCTACATCAGCCCTAGCTAAGACTCTACATCAGCCCTAGCTAAGACTCTACATCAGCCCTAGCTAAGACTCTACATCAGCCCTAGCTAAGACTCTACATTAGCCATAGCTAAGACTCTACACCAGGGGTGGGCAAACTTTTTCACTCGAGGTCCACAATGGGTTCTAAAATTTGACAGAGGGGCCTGGTCAGGAACAGATGGATGGAGTGTTTGTGTGAACTAATATAAATGAATTACTCAAAGTGCGCCATCTAATTGGGAAATGGGGGCATTATAGGAGGAAGGTAAAATTTAATTTAATAATAATATTTGGACAAGTTCGGCGTGCCGGATTAAAAAGCCCAACGGGTCGTATACGGCCCGCGGGCCGTACTTTGCCATGTCTGCTCTACACTCTACATTAGCGCGCGTGCCAGGCTAGGTGCACCTTGACGCCAGGCACCCTGGAGCGCGTTCGTAAGTCGCACTTTGTTGTTGTTGTTGTTTGTTTGTCAATGTTTTGAAAGACATCAACCGGTCGACAACACCCCCCACCGCCCCGAAACAAGCACGTAAGGCGAGTACGATGGAGGACAGCTCCGGCGACGCCCGCCTGGCCTTCCTCGAGGCGTACACCCTCAAGACGTTCCGCATCAAGGCGGACCGGTGGCAGAAGTGCGTGGCCGTCGAGGACTGCCGGCGTCTCCTGCTCGACTTCCTCGACAACCGAGGAGCCGACCACTCGCCCCTGCTGGTCATCTCGCTCACGCCCGCGGGGCTTCTGCAGCCCTCGTTGGGCTTCCCACCGCCGTCGGGGTCAGCGGCCAAGACGGCTGGGGCCAGCAGCGCGGCGAAAGCGGTCTTTTTCGCCAAGAAGTCGGCGGACACGTCCGGTGGCGGTGGTGGTGGTGGCGGTGGCTTCCCACCCATCTCCGCCGAGACGATCCGCAAGGCGCTGCTGTGCGGAGACCTCAGCTACGCGCCCCTGGAGCAGTTTGCCGCTCTGGTGGAGGAGGTGAGGGGCGAAACGTCGTCCGCTACGTCCGCTCCGCGCGGATCGTTCGGCGTCGATTGTGGTTTTTTTGTGTTACTTGCGGGTTTAGTTTTCGCGTCGCTGTTAACTCCTTTATCAGTAAACATCCCCCTCTACCCACCAATTCAGACCCGGTTGGTCACCCCCCATGCCCCTTTAAACATCGCAACGTTCATCCTGCAAAGTGCCCATCACAAGCGAGAATCACAAATATTATTATTTTTTGCCATATTGAAACGGCTGTAGTACTCCGTATGGATCTAGAAACTGAAGTTCCCTGTACAAGAATGCGGGTAAACCGTGTGGCTTGACAGGTTTGAGTTCGACGGTTAAAGCCCCCCTCCCCATCTCTCTTACCACCCCCCCCCCCCACGGCGTGACACCTTACCCCGTATTCTTGTACAGAGAAATTGACTTTCAGGTCCATACGGAGTGCAGCCGTTTCATGATGGGACTTTGTAGGATTAACGCTGAGATTTGTAGGGGACACGGGGCGACCAATAATGTCTGAATTGGTCTGTAATAAGATAGGCACTGATAAGGGGTTGACAGGTTTGATATACACTACACTATGCACTACGCTACTATACACAATATACTACCATACCGTGTCAACCCACACGGTTTACCCCGTAGTCTTGTACAGGGGAATTGAGCCGTCAGTTCCATACGGCGTACAGCCGTTTCAATACGGGCAAAAAAATAAGAATTGTGTCTATTTGTTTGTGTTTCTCCCTTGTGATGGGACTTTGTAGGATGAACGTTAAGATGTATAAGGGGCACGGGGTGACCAATAAGGTCTGGTTTGGTCTGTAATAAGGTAGGGGCACTGATAAGGGCTTGACAGGTATGCGTAACGAGGGTAAATAACAACAAAAAAGTTAACGAGGTAGTCTGGGGGTGTGGTTATAACTTCCCGAGGGCCTGTCGGTGTTTTTTTTGTTCCACTGAAAGTTGGCGGAGTCCGCTTACTGGTTGCCTTGGACCACCCTCACCGCCGAATTCATTCTGTGGCGGTATTTGGGGAGAGGTCCCCGGGTGAAGGTGGCAGCACCTTGAATGTGCCTATCGCTCCAACGTCACCGCCAGCCGAAAGACGTCCGCGCCTCTGATTAGTACGGTGCGAAAGAAGTTCAACGCGGTACTAACTGGAGAAGCCACTGTAGCTACTCCGAAGCCGCTGGAGATATTAGGAAGCGAATGGAGTTATGCACTTTTAAATCAAGATTGAAAACGAATTTCTTTAGAGCTGCTTTTTGTGTTCCGTTTGTTATCCTTCCCCCCGCACGTCTGAGGAGCACGGTTGGCTACGTATGGTGCGAAAGAAGTTCAACATACGCACACACCAGAGCAGTGGTGGCCAATACCCGGATCGCGAACCACGATCCACAGAAAGATTTGTGTGGCTCTCAGGACAAATCGGGACGAAAAAGCTAACTTAATCAGACAGTTATCGTCACGGCTGGTTAACAAATATAAATTAAATCCCGGACTAAGAATGGATACGTGAAAAACAACAATACATACAAAAAGCGCGATCGAGGCCGCCCACGCTGCCGGAGGACAGGGTAGGAAGGAAGGCCTTGGTGGAGTTGCTGCCCCCGTGACCCAATTCAGTTCAGAAAAGCGGACCGATTTTGATTGATTGATTGCGTACAAATACCATTGGAACCTCATTTGCCAGTAAAAAATATGATAATTGGTTTTTTACCCTTTTATCTGGCAACAAAACTGACACCTTTTTTTTACAAGGAGTCATGTTTGCATAGACCACAATACCTGCAGTCATAATGTTAACAAAAAACATAACTCTGATAATATATGCACTGTTCTTGAAGTTGATTGGTCCACACCCGAGACAGCTTTCCTTAGAACCTAGTCTCACATGGGTTGGACCAGATAGAAGGGTAAAAAACCAATTATCATGCGTACAAATAGATTGTGCGAGTACTTTATGTCTATACCCTGCTGTTATAGTGGTGATTGTTGGTCAATTAGATCTCACCAGAATGGGTCACAGTGCTTGGTGTATTGGCCAGCAATGCACTCGAATGACCTCTGGAGAGGGCCCTGCAGATGGCATTTAATATCACGGTTTAAAAAAAAAATGTGGTAAGGTTTTTGCTGTCCTCTGCCGAACATTATCTCCTGCAGGTATTTTGTCCGCTCTTCCACACTGGCAGTGTACATTACGTGGAAAGCACACGGAAAATCATGGAATTGTCTTAGCCGTGTCGGATTTCTCTGACATGTAGGTAAGGGTTTAGAATTTCAGAATGGCCTCAGTGGAGTTCGTAATAATAGCCGTGTCAGAGACACTAAGAATGCGAGAATCTGGGTTTTATTCACTTGAGATTGATCAAGTTTCTTAAGCGGAGTGAGGTGATAGTCTTAGTTGGTTCACCAATGTGAAGAAATAAGTGTTATAGGTAGACTATAAAAACTAAAATTTTTTTTTTATAAAAAAAACATTCACCAGGTAAGGCGCAATGAGCTAAATAACTTTTTTTCAGAAGCGACATGACTATCGTTAATTGATAGTTCAACGAAGTGGCTTATCGCGTGGACTTTTTATAGCAGCCAAACATTCTAAACGCACGTTGATTCGAAATGTGGAGGGAAAAACCCAAGGACCCGGAGAAAAATTGCCGTGACCACGGGGAGAGAGACACGCAAACTCCATATATATTTTATTTTATACCTACATGACTTTACCGAAAAAAACCAAAGACTATCCATATATACTGGTGTCAAGGCGAGGTAGTTAACATCTTGCCTGGATAGTTCAGTGGATTTCATAGTGGCCGTAACCAGAGACAATCTTTGTTTCAGCCATGAGGCGGTGTTCTCAAGTAAAGTGAGTTTGATGGCTCTCGCTGGGTCATCAGTGCAAACCATCATCACATTAACATTGGTTTGCTGACTTAATTAGGCTCACTCACACCTTAAATGTGTTTTATTGACGCCGTACAACATCAGCATTGTAGATCAAACGTGTTGCTCTTTATTTTTAAGTTCAGCTTTTTACAATCTGTTGTCTGTCTCTTGAGTTCATCATGTTGTTTCCGGTTAGCCTTCAATAACTTCCCTCGGTAAACATAGTCCTGTTATAAAGGACCGTGTGGCAAACTCCGTTGTTGTACCTTACTTCTGTGCTCCCATGTCTGTCTACGCTCCCCGCTTGGTGAAGTATGGTCACACGGCAAGCGCAGGCCCTCATCCTGCAGTGGATTTTGCATTAACGTCTGTACGTGTGAACGTGGGAGAAATGTGCAACAGCTTATGTAAAGAGATAGAATTGTGTGACCGTCAGCCCAATGTCTGCAGCTGTAGCCATTAGCTGCGTGGGTGTCACATGTCATTAAAATAGTAATGCACATTTACATATGAATCAGCTCTATCAGCCCAATTGTTTCGTCTGCCACCAGTAACACTTTTGATGCATCGTATTAACTTACTGGCTACATTATTTGTGCAAATGGTCCCTTTGATGGACATACAGCCGTATTGAATGGCTAAAGTATTAAGTTGGCACCCACAAAGTTTGCCAGTTTGGCAAACGCACAGAACCATTTCTTTTTCCCCTGCGTGTCTCCATCCGTTCACCGAATCAACATCTTCCTATTGGCTCGACGATACATTTGTTAGAGTATACCCCCTCCACCACCCCCAAACCTGGTTCTCCACCCTTGTGACTGTGACCGTGTTTTGTGGCGGCGAAGCGAGAGGCTAGCTTTCGGGTTGAGCCGCGCGTTGTCAGGGCACGGCGGTCCGGCGTTTGCCTCCGCGCGCTGGTTCTTTCCTCGTTCGATCTACTGAAGCTCCCCAGCGAGTGGCAACGAACCGTTCGGACCTCGTGCCGGAGAGGCTTAACGGCGGCGCAACCGCGACAACCGGATCCCCAGGAGTAAATCTCCGACGTCGGCGCGCAGGTGATCGTGCCGATCCTGGGCAACGAGAAAAATCACGGAGGGTGGCCAGCGGTGGTGGCGCAGGACCTGCGGCGGCACCTGGGCAGCCTGCAGAGCAGCGTGTTCGTCGTGTCGGGGCAGGTCAAGGGCAAGACGCTGCTGCCCATCCCGGCCGGTGCCGAGCGTGTGGTTGACGCTGACCGTCCGCTCAAAGAGTGAGTTTCGGATAAAAGCAAAACAGCAACGGCGCTCGCTTAAGTAATGCCCGAGCAACTCAGAGTGGCACGCGTCACGTCTCAAGCGTTCCAGTGCTCTGCTTTTTGGACTTTAGTTTGTTGTCTTTCCACGCACCTCCGATTGAGCACGGTTGGCTATGTGCGGTGCGAAAAAAGTTCAACATACATACATACGACTGTACACTGCATTACTATACACTACTGCAGACTCCGATTAGTACGGTTGGTTACGTACGGTCCGAAAGAAGTTTAACGTGCGCACGTACATACGGGTGAGTCAGCGGTAGAGCAATCCTGGTTGGGGGTTTGACTCAGCCAATCATCCTTCTGGGGTCGATAAAGTGAGTGCCGCTTTGTGGGGAAGTCAAAAGTGATTATCTAATGGATGGACTGGCTCCCGTCATAGGAATGTGCTCACAGGGCTGTGAGAAGGAGAAGTGAGCACCAATGCCTCATTTGAGCAGCATATCACTTTGGCTTGACTAACTTGAGGCCCTTATACCCTGTTCAGTTCCAGGTTCAACGCCTCCCTCCGTCGGTCAGAGCGTTGAGGCTGAGATGCTGGGTTTTGAACACAACGTGATTAAAGCGCTTTTTTCAAAGTGCAGCCGGGAATATTGGCTCGGCTTGGTCACCGACGATTGCATAGAAAAGAACCTCATCATATTGAAGTGGTCTTTTTCACTTAATTACGGATAGATTTCACCACTGATAATTAAAACATATTCTGTTTGACGGCCGCAACGTTGTTGGAAAATTGGCAGGCCGTATGTGTTGGCGTCACGATCCATATTTTTCCAACCATGAAAAGTACTGCACTTGCAAATGTATTATTAACATGATGCCAAATAGTAACATTACCCCCTCCCAGTGCCACGTTATCCTAGTAGCAAAAGTAGCAAATGCTACGGGCCCCGCACTTTCAAGGGCCTCGCGCTAAATGATTTCAAGCTATCAACTCTGGTTCAGTGATTCTGCACTTGCTCTATTACTATAGTACTATAACGCCGTTAACTTTATGAACGACCGGGTGTTTAAGGTGAGCGATTTGTCGTATTATCCAGCTGTATAGCAAATGAAAAATACAATTACTTTACTGTGCAAGTAAAAAATGTACGTGTTTTAATATTTACGTGTTTTTTTAATTTACGGCCCCTTTATAACATATGCTACAGGCCCCGCACTAGGTTAATCCGGCACTGCCCCCTCCTGTGCAACGACCGCAGAATGTAAACTCCAGTGAAACATAACTCCCTTTGCGTTAGCCTTGCTAGCCATTCCCCATTCATTCAATCCATTCATCATCATCATCGTCATCATTTACCGTCATCAATTTTGCTTTAACCGATTTCACGCATCATCACAGATTCACCCATTGTTCCCTCTCATCTATTTCATTCACCATTACATTCATATGCTGTTGTACCGCTGTTAATTCTTCGTAAAGCGCCTTGTTTAAGGCGCCATATTAATTCCGTTAAGCTACGATAAGAATGGCGCGAACACCAAGCGCGCTGAACGATTGCCATTTGTTGAGCCTTAGCCAGCCAAGTTTGTAAAAAAAATCACACGGCGGGTCATGGGCGGTGCCGCGTGCGCAGTGAGGACAGCGTGGACCGCTCGGTGGTGCACGCCATCGAGTCGGTGGTCATCGAGTGGAGCCACCAGATCCAGGAGGTGCTGAAGAAGGACTCATCCAGGCCTCTGATGGAGGGACTCAACCCCAACCCCAGCGCCGAGCTGGAGTTCTGGCAAAGCAGGCGAGTGCAGCGCTCACCGCGTGATTGCTAGCGAATGCAAAGGGGTGAAGGAGCCGCCCTGCAATTCCCTGCTTATGCCACTGCTGCCGGAAGGGTAGAGGTCGCAACTGGGTACCCGATACCCGTACCCTACCCGATACCCGGCTACCCGTACCCGGCCGGGTACGGGTACGGGTAGCCGTTTGCGACCCTGGTGCGGCCGGGTACGGGTACGGGTAAGGAATCAAAACCCGTTTGCGACCTCTGCGGAAGGGCCTCCACAACCGCGAAAAAACCTTCATGGTAAAATGAACGTCCGCTTGCCGACTGCACTCCACCAGATACGCGGACTTGGAGTGCATCCACGAGCAGCTGCAGTCCCGGCGCGTGTGCTCCATGGGCGACCTCTTGGAGAAGACACAGAGCACCTACTTCCCGGCCTTCAAGGCCATGATACAGGACGTGGTCACAGGTGGGAGCCCTGGGTTACATGTCGCCGCGGTGGCGAGATGTTAACTACCTCGCCTGTTATACAGGAGGTCGTGGGTTTGATCCCGACTCTGATTTCTGTTGTGTATTTGAAGTTTGCTGTCTCTCTCTCTCCGTGGTCACGTGGATTTTTCTTGGGGTCCTCCGGTTTTCCTTCCATATTTAAAATCAATGTGTTTCGAGTATTTGGCTGCTATAAATGTCTACATGATGATAAGCCATCTTCTTGGTTCTTTCGGTAAAGTCACGTAGAAGGGAAACAATGAAATAATAAAAATAAACATAATAAAATACAATTCTCACGACGTTTCGGCCACAACGCAAGCAGCTGTCCTCAGGTGAAGACCAGGTCTGTCCGGGAGTCATTCAGACGCTGTCTCCCCGACAGACCTGGTCTTCACCTGAGGACGGCTGCTTGCGTTGTGGCCGAAACGTCGTGAGAATTATTTTATTATGTTTTATTTTTATTATTTTATTACTTCCCTTCTACGTGACTTTACCGAAAGAACCAAGAAGATGAATCCCTGCAGTCACGAAAGCTTTAAAATCATTTTATTATGTTTTATTTTTATTATTTTATTATTTCCCTTCTACGTGACTTTACCGAAAGAACCAAGAAGATGAATCCCTGCAGTCACGAAAGCTTTAAATCGAGATGATAAGCCACTTCGTTGAGCTATAATTTGTTACGGCCAGGTCGCTGGGCCTTACGTGGTAAAATAAAAAAGACAGTTTATCGTTTTGAAAGTTTTCCTCTCCTCCTGCCCACAGCCCTGGAGGAGGCGCGCAACATCAACAGCAACCTGAAGCCACTGAAGCGCACGATGGAGGACGTGGAGGGTGCCGAGCTGAACGAGGCCGGACCGCTGCTGGCTCCGCTGATGCGCGTCGTCGCCCTCGTGTGGCGCAACTCGCGTTTCTACCGAACGCCCGAGCGCATCGTGGTGCTGCTGCAGGAGATTTGCAACCTCCTCATCCAGCAGGTGGGGCGTGGGGACGCGGGGCAGGACCCTCCCCAGAACCCCCCACCCCTCCACCGCGGATATTACTGCGTTCCTTCAGGGGAGGCAACGGTTTGTTTCCGCCGGCGAACGTTTGCTGCGTTAGGCTTCATGGGTAGGGGTTGATCTTCCTGGCTCTTTCGGTAAAGTCACGTAGAAGGGAAATAATAAAGTAATAAAAATAAAACGTAATGAAATACAGACAGACCTGTTCTTCACCTGAGGACGGCTGCTTGCGTTGTGGCCGAAACGTCGTGAGAATTATTTTATTATGTTGTATTTTTATTATTTTATTATTTCCCTTCTACGTGACTTTACCGAAAGAACCAAGAAGATGAATCCCTGTAGTCACGAAAGCTTTAAATCGAAATTTAGGGTAGGGGTTGGTTTTGGGGCGCCACGGTGGCACGATGTTAACTACCTCGCCTGGCATGCAAGGAGGTCGTGGGTTCCATCCAGACCCTGACGCCTGCTGTATATTTGAAGTTTGCGTGTCTCTCTCCCCTTGGTCGCGTGTGTTTCGAGTACTTGCCTGCAATGACATTTCCACGCAAATAAGCCACTTCGTTGGCCTATCACTTGCGACAGGCAGATCGCTGTTGAAAAAGAGCTATACGGCTCAGCAGGCCCTACCTGTTTTATTTTTATTATTTTATTACTTCCCTTCTACGTGACTTTACCGAAAGAACCAAGAAGATGAGGCCCTACCTGGTAAAATAAAAAGTAGTTTATAGCTTTAGCTTAAGCGGTGAACGGCGCAGAGGGTGACGTACCGGCAGGGGCCTTACCTGGTAAAACGAAAAACAACAACAACAAGATATCACTGCGCGTAGGCCCGCACGTTCATCAACGCTGAGGAGGTGCTGAAGGGCGAGGCGGAGGAGAACCTGGCCCGAGTGCGCGAGGCCCTCTCCATCCTGCGCCTCTTCCGCTCCGTCTACGAGGAGGAGAGGGCGGCCCTGCCCTCCCTGCGCAAGGGCAGCGATGACGATGGCGGCGATGACGGCGGCGACGACGGCTGGGATTTCCCGCCCAACGCCGTCTTCTCACGCCTCGACCGCTTCACGGAGAGAGTCACCGACGTGGAGGTGAGATTCCAACATTTCCGTCCTCCCCATCATCTCTAACTTCTCCCGGTGGCGGTGAGAGCCGAGCGCCGAAATCCACGGCGCAAGTGAGCCTGGGGTGGGTCCTGGCAGTCGCCACGTCGTTATTGTGGGGGTAGTTGGGGCTACAGGCGGCGGTGATGGTGGTAGTAGTTGGTAACGGGAAACATCTGTAGCTGCGGACTTGCCTCCTCCATAACAGATCGGCGTCTGTTGTGGAGGAGGCTCGTGAAGGACGCTACTGGGCAGCTGGATGCAATGGTGTGTGTACGTATGTTGATGCTTCTTTCGCGCCGTACGTAGCCAACCGTGCGGGGGAAGGACAACCAGCTAAACATAAAACGCCGTTGATTTTGTGGTTGTGGCGGTCGTGTTGGTGAGAGTGGGCATGGTGGTATGTGTGGGTGAGCGGTAGTGTAACGGTTAGCACGTTACCCTACGAACCCGGCTACCTGAGTACCATTCCCACTCGCGGCCAACACCAAGTGACGATTATCTGAACCGGTCCAGGGCCTCCCCAAGGTCGACTCAGCCTCAAATGAGTACCTGGTGCGGAGTGTAAATATCGCCACTAGGGAGACAAAGGTGGTCGGGCGTGGTGCTGGCCACTCACCCTCTCGTGTGCCGTGCAGGCCTTCATAGGTTCTACTCTCGAACAGTACTTGCCCCAATAGTCTTTGTCTTCGTGGTATGCGTGCGGATGTGTCGATGGTGCATCCACCCCGTCCATTTCCCCGCCACCCTGACAGGAGCTGCTGGTGACGGCCGTGGACATGTTCAAGCTGGAGAAGATTGAGATTGGGGGCCTCCGTGGCCGGGTGTTGAGCCAACGCATCTGCGACATCCACCAGCAGTTCCAGGAGCTGTTTGGGCAGTTTTCCGAGAAAACTTACGACTCCTTGGACGTGACAAACCAGGTTTGCGAATCCGTGGTGGCAAGGAGATGTTAACTACCTCGCCTCGCATGCAGGAGGTCGTGGGTTCGGTCCCGACCCTGACGCCTGCTGCTGTATATTTGGAGTTTGCGTGTCTCTCTCTCTCATCATCATCACGGTGGCTAGGAGATGTTAACTACCTTGCCTGGTATGCAGGAGGTCGTGGGTTCGGTCCCGACCCTGACGCCTGCTGCTGTATATTTGGAGTTTGCGTGTCTCTCTCTCTCATCATCATCACGGTGGCTATGAGATGTTAACTACCTCGCCTGGTATGCAGGAGGTCGTGGGTTCGGTCCCGACCCTGACGCCTGCTGCTGTATATTTGGAGTTTGCGTGTCTCTCTCTCTCATCATCATCACGGTGGCTAGGAGATGTTAACTACCTCGCCTGGTATGCAGGAAGTCGTGGGTTCGATCCTGACCCTGACGCCTGCTGCTGTATATTTGGAGTTTGCGTGTTTTTCTTGTGGTTACGTGGACTTTTTTCGGGGTCCTCCAGTCTTTTTCCCTATACATTTTAGAAAGAACACGCATTTTAGAGTTGTTGGCTGCTATACATTTCCACGTGATAAGCCGCTTGGTTGAGCTATCGTTTGTGGCCAGGCCGCTTCTGAAAAAGAGCTATAAAGTTCAGTGGGCCTTACCTGGTGAAATAAAAAAAAGTTTTTAGTTTAATTCTGGTATTGTTTGTGAGAATCAACGGCGAGCTGAAACGTACGTATGTTGAAGTTCTTTCGCACCGTACGTAGCCAACCGTGCTTATCTGAGGTGCGGGGGAAGGACAACAAACTAAACACAAAAAATCAGTTCTAAGGAACTAAGTTTTCAATCGAGCTCCCAGTGACTTCCTGATATCAGAAGGAAGGATGTTCCAGACGGCCGCAGAAGTGCATATGAAATGATCGCAAATGGCACGCTAAACAACACCTGTGCACGTGACGATTTAATTTACTTAGCCGTACCGAGGGTGGTGGAGGGGTCTTCACACAAACCTGGCCCCACCCTTTGGCCGTGACAACCTACGTGTTTTCGGTTAGACCAGTGTTCTTCACTAATTTTCAGAGGGGGTGTGGGGGCACTTTTGCCGATAAGACATCATCGGTGTGTGCGGGCCACCACACATTTGAAACCATTGGGGGTTTGACAGCACGACGACAATGATAATAGGGGGCATAATGCACGGGCATAATATGACTTTAAACCCCCCGCCCACCTCCTACGCATTTCACAAGTAGTACTAATCCCATATCTGCATTTCCCATAAATATGCTAAATTCCTCTTGATATGCAAATTATTTTGTCAAGGCACTCTTCCCCCTCCAACCCAGCTTAAATAGACGCTCCAAGCCTGGGGTGTTTCATTCAGACTCTGTCTTCTCGACAGACCTGTTCTTCACCTGAGGACGGCTGCTTGCGTTTTGGCCGAAACGTCGTGCGAATTATCCATTCTACGTGACTTTACCGAAAGAACCAAGAAGATGATAGGGGGCGTTTTCACATTTGTGTAAAGTTGGGGGTGTCGCACTAAAGGCCACCAGATGGCCGTCAGTGGCCCGCGGACCTTGCAATGAAGGACCCTGTGTTAGATGTTGTCTCTGACCACGCTGTCCTTGCGCAGGAGTTTGAAAAGGACGTACGGAACTTCAAGATTCAGGTTGAAGACAGCGACCGGCAGCTCGGAGCGATTTTCTGCCAAGCTTTCGCCGACGCACTGAGCGTGGAGCACGCCTTCAAGGTATCTGGCGCACACGCAGCGCCCCGTTTGTCGATCCGCTGCTGGATGACGAGGGCCTCTGTGCGCCTGTGACCTCTCACCATGACCTCCAGGAGCTCTCTTTGGTCAGATTGACGACAATAACCCTACGGCAGCTCGGACGTCAAACAAGATGTACATTTTATTTCATGTCACCCTCCTCCACCCGCCTGCTCTGATGAGTCCGGTGTGCCTGCTTGGTACCGTCGATGCCCATGCTACTACCGCCCGGAAAGGCAGAATGTTGCAATGTATGATGTTATGATAAAAAATTACACGTGAAAGAAATACATTTCATGTCAAGTACTTTGACCTTGGGTGTTGTTTCCCCGCGCAGCTCATTGACATGTTCGGCTCTCTGCTGGAGAGGCCTCTGATTGCGGAAGACGCCAACGTACACCTGCCGCGCCTCGTGACCATGTTCGACCACGACCTGGACAGCGCCAAGGTCATCTACAACCGACACATCGCCACGGAGAAGGACCTGGGTGCGTGCTCCTAGCTCTGCCTGGCGGGCCTTGTGTGCCTCGCCGGCCTCAACGGGCGCTCGCTAACAGCGCTCGTAAAAGCACAGGAGCTCGGCGGATCGTTTACGTTTGCGGGATCCTGAGAGAGGGCAACAGCTTGGGGTCGTTCCATCCAGCAGTGGATTGAGGCGACAGAGAGCACTTGCCCTGGCCGGTCTGTAACAGCTGTGAGGGTGATATTTGTCTTTTGTTGCGTCCGTGCCCTCTGATGCGCTCCAGTCTTTCTCTCGCTGCTGTTCAGTCACTGCCTTGTTTCTCTTTGAACGCTGCCACCATGGTCGTCGCTCTGGTGAACCTCCTCGCCTTTATAACTCCCAGCCACACTGCGTTCAGCCACCACGCGGTGGGATAAAACGCATCTCCTGCTGCCTCTTTTGTCTTAAATGCTCGAATTTGCAACTCCCTCCCGTCCATCATCCCTTATCCACCAAGTGTCCCTAACCTTTCTGCGGTCAAAAAACGACACGTTTGTTCTCGCCCGCTACACAACGATTAGCGCTCTAAGTTGCTCGCCACTTTGCGTCTGCGACGAAGCACGCGCGCAGCCATAGCGGATGGCGTCCGTCGCGTAGTGCGATCCATCTTCATTGTGTTTGTGCCTTGTGGGTTGATTTTTTGTGTTTTCCTTCAATTAGAAATGAAATCAACACACTCGTGAATAACAGTGGCCCTTCCTCACAGCACAGAGAGAGAGAGGGCTGGAGTGAATAGGAGTTGTGTAAAGTATTTAAAACACCTCAAGACAAAGACAAAGATCCCCGTATAGCCTTGAACAGACGGTTGGGGCAAGTGCTGTTCGCGAGTGGCAGCACCTATGAAAGCCGGCACGGCACACGAGCGCGTGGGTGACCAGCACCACGCCAGGCCGCCTTTGTCTCCACGGTGGCGATGTTTGCGCACTGCACCAGGTACTAATTTTAGGCTGAGTCGACCTAGGGAAGGCCCAGGACTGGTTCAGATAATCGTCACTTGGTGTTGGCCGTGAGCGGGAATGGAACCCGGGTTCGTAGGGCAGCGCGCTTACAGCTCGGGGCCTTTATATTCCTCGGAACTGTGCACACACACACTCAGACATATATTAAAAAAACGTTGACTTCTATTATATTGTAGCGTGGCCCTCGCGAAACGAAACGCGATCGAATGAACCCCTCCGACGTTGCACCCGCAGGCCGGCCGCCCGTCAGTAAGAACATGCCCTACGTGGCGGGAGGCCTGCGTTGGGCCCAGCTGCTGGAAGGGAGGATCGAGGTTCCCTACAGGAATTTCAAGCACTTCTCCCACCGGTACGTCACCCTCTGCTCCAGTTCACCGCCTAAATGAAAACTTTCGATTTAAAGCTTTCGTGACTGCAGGGATTCATCTTCTTGGTTCTTTCGGTAAAGTCACGTAGAAGGGAAATAATAAAATAATAAAAAGAAAACATGATAAATGTATTTTATTCCCTTCTACGTGACTTTACCGAAAGAACCAAGAAGATAAACGAAAGTTGTAAACTATTTTTTTTATTTTACCAGGTAAGGCCCGCTGAGCCGTATAGCTCTCACAAATGATAGCTAATCGAAGTGGCTTATCATCACGTGGAAATGTATGGCAGCCGAATAATCTAAAAGCACGTTCATTCTAAATATAGAGGGAAAAACCAAGGGACCCGGCGAAAAATCCACGTGACCACGGGGAGAGAGAGAAAGAGATGTGCGTGGCGGTTGCCTCTGTCCATTTAGCCCCACCACACACGTGGCCTACAAATCGGCTAACCGTGGGTGTACCCATTTCAGCGCGTCAAGTGCCTTGCAGAAATGCGCTTTTTAAAGTCTTAGGTTGTTTATTAGCAGGAGATCATCACGCTTGGGTATAAAGGTAAAGGTGCAGCCCTGCAATTGCTTGATCACGCCACTGCTGATGGACGGGCGTCCACTGCGAGGGAACTCTAGAGGGTGTGTGACCCACTCGTTCTGCTGCGCTGGCCAAATGACTTCGAGGGAGGTGGGAGTTACCCACACTTTACCCCACCACACGTAACTTGCCAACTGGCTGACGGTGGTTAGCCCATTTCTACCGCTGGATGGACAGAGGTAGCGCTGCGATGGGGTGGGTGGGGGGGGGTGGGTTATAAGAAAGATGCTTCCACCCCCCCCCCCCCCCCCATCGTATCAAGTGCCGCACCAGGGTATGGAATCTACTGGACATCTGTGAAACTGCTGGACGTCTTTTGAAAAAGAGCGTCATGGCTCACCAGATTCCTCCAGTATAAACGAATATTCTGAAAAAAAAAATATTTTGAAAAATTCTGAGATGGAATCGAACCGGTGGCACTCTGGACAGCTGGTCCCCCCCCCACCCCCCCACCCCCCCAACCCCCCACCCCCCCGTCGCTGGATGCAAGTCTGACTTGCGGCTCGCTGCCTTGTGCCCCGTTACGCCGGTGCCGGTGCAGGTGCATGGAGACGGTCGAGGCGCACAGCATGATGCAGAAGTACGAGGAGATGATCGAGCTGCTCAATAGGTGAGAGGTGAAATGGGCGTCAACGGCCGAGGCGGACCCCTTTTTAAATCCTTTATATTAAGTTCACTTGCTTGCTTGCTTGCGCCAATCGAGCTGACATTTTGCACACAGACTCGTTGTGCGTGACAATTTCTTTTCGTGAAAAAAAAATTCCAAAATTTTACACTTTTTAGGTAAAAAAAAATTACATTTAATTACCAATTGCTTAATGGTGGCAGGCAATCATCTGACCCATAGGTGGCAGCCATCTCAAGCCAGAGGACGAGAGGACTCTAGCCGCCCGTTTCAAAGACCAATGTGGGCTGGGTTGTGGCCCATTGAACACGCATATAAAGGATTTATAGTGAAAAACTTTGTTTTTCCGGGTTAATTTTTTTGTGCCTTGGCAGGGGAGGTGGAGAACAAACCGGGAGGAATGGCCGTGTGTTCAGATTACTCAACTATAAACTTTCTTTTCTACTTGAGAAGTGAAACTGGCCACAAATTATACAGCTCCGTGAATTGGCTTATTTCTAGATTTGAAATTTTCGTGACTGCAAGGATCCATGCTCTTTGGTTCTGTCGGTTAAAGTCACGTCGGTGAAAAATAAAAATAATAAAATGAAAACAACTAAATTAAATCACGACGTTTCGGAGGCAACACAAGCCTCCGTCATCAGGTGGAACCGTCACAGCAAAATTTGATTTAATTTATTTAAATTTTTTACCTACGTGACTTTACCGAAAAAACCAAACAGTATGAATCCTTGCAGTCATGAAAACTTCAAATCTAGAATTGACCATTTCACCTCGTCCACTCTGTGTTCAACCACCACCACCAACGCCACCGCCACCACCACCGCCACCACCACGACCACCACGGCCGCCACCCTGTAGGTCACCCTGACTTCTCTTTCTGCTTCTTCCATTCCACTTCTCCCCTTTTTGAATTCCCTCTCCCATCGTCTCTGTTGCTCAGTCAAAACGATTTACACCTTCAACGGTGCTGTTTGCTGCCTTGCGTTTTTTTTCTTTCCCCGCCTTCGGGCCTGCCATCGGCGAAAATCTCGAAACTGAGCGAGCCTCACTCGATTCCCATTGCCCTTCCGATGTCGACACGGTGCGCCCCCCGCCGTGCAGCTGTTGAGCCGAAGGAGTTTCGAGCCGACGGTGTCTGTCGGCGCGTGCGCAACTCAGGTACAAGGAGCGTCTCTTTGCCGAGTGGGCCCAGTCCGTGGGCGAGAGGTCGGAATTCAACCTGTCCCAGCCGCTCATCTGCCGGGACCCTGAGACTCGCCTCATATCGGTCAACTTCAACCCTCAGGCATGTGATCCCACACCAGCATGATTGAAAATTTTTTTAGCAAACAAGCGATCGAACTGCCACGCCAGGCCATTAAGGGAGCCTCTGTTTTGTGAGTGGGGGGGGGGGGACCCTCAGTGTCAGCCGTCCCTGCGCAGTACAAGGCGAACGCAGCTGCGGGAATGAATTGGCAAGTAGGGAGCAATGTTGCCATGTGGCTTTGCCCGATTAAGTGATCTTTTAGGTAATCATTGATCACATTCGGCAAATTATGGCTCGTTCCGAGCTGGTGTCTTCCACTTCGAAGCAGGCGGTGCGGGGTACTTTGTCGTTAACCAGGGCGGCCGCTTGGGCTCGAACCCGCGAGCTCCTACCGACAGGACGGCAGGCACGCGACCGCTGGGGTCGCGTCGCCGCCCCTCGCAGAGTGTTGTTGAGGCCCTGCCTCCATTCCGCAGCATAAACAAATGGTGCTTTTTTTGGAAGATTTAATTGCGTACATTACATTTTATTGTTTGTTGCGGTTGCACCCGAATCAAGAGCCGAATGGCTTACAGGGTTATTCCAAATAACTGAAACTGAAAAACTGAAACTGTGTGCCTCCACAGCTGGTGGCCGTGCTGCGGGAGGTGCGGTACCTGGAGTTGTTGGCCCGTGGCGGTGGCGGCGGCAGTGGCGGTGGCAGCGCTGGCAGCGTCGGTGGTAGTTTGGCAGGGGAGCAAGATTTTGGCGGACTCAAGTCCGTGCCGGAGGAGGCGCAGAGACTGTACGCGGGGCGGGAGGATTTGCGGCGGTGAGTTGCGGCCCGATGCCTGTCCAGCGACAGCAAAGAGAAAGATCCCCCGTGTAGCCTTATCAGACTGTTGGGGAAAGTGTTGTCCGCGAGTGGCACCTATGAAGGCCGGCACGGCACGCGAGTGGGATGTGTGGTTAGCAGCATCATGCCCGGCCGCCTTTGTCTCCCGAGTGGCGATGTTTACACACTGCACGAGGTACTCATTTGAGGCTGAGTCTACCTAACGGGAGAGTCAGGAACGGTTCAGATAATCGTGACTTGTGGTGGCCGTGAGCTGGAAATTGAATTTGGGTTTGCCAGGTTCTTCGTGCAGCGCTCTAACTGCTGCACTACCGCTCCCTGCAACAGCATCGAATAGTCAACAAAAAGTCAAATAAGTATGGAGGCGGTGCCCGTCTCAGAACCAGTGGTGGCAATTCCACATTCCTGTGGTAGGGTGAGTCTACCCACAGGACAACCACTGTTCACCTCCCCACAGAGCGGGACTCATTTTGGAGGGACGATGAACTGGCGACCTTCTGACTATGAGCCGCTCGATCTACGGCTGAGCGGCCAGGCTGGTTAGCTGTAGAGCGGTCGTGGTGATCGGTGGGCGCATCGATTCGCGGATCAATTTGCAGATATTTGGGGCAGCGCTAGAGGATAAAAGTTACCTCGAGGAAATAATGATGCCAATTATATTAACCCGGAAAAGCCTCACCGGCGCACATGGTCCAGTTTTCAGGAGGTTCTGCCACTTGCAATCCAGGGGTTTCCACTTTGATCTCCCGGTGTGACGTTTGAAGAAATTAGCGAGTTCATGAAACAACCCCCACCTCTTTCCATCCATTAGGATACACGGATGCACCGCAGTTGGCCGCGTGTGGTGGGGTAACGTGTGGGTAACTGCCACATATTCTTCCGTTGGGATGTCTGGTCAACGTGGAAGAGGAGGTCAAAACACCCTCCAGCAAGCCTCTCTCGTGGCTTGCCTTAGTGGAGGTCCTTCCTCCAGCAGCTGTGTGCGCAAGCACTTGCAGGGCCGCACCTTTACTCTGCCACGTTGGGACGCTCGGGGTGCAGGTGCGTGGAGAGCCTGGAGCTGACGGTCGGCTGGTACAACAAGGTGCTGCGCTCCGTGCTGGAGGTGGAGCTGCCCCTCGTGGCCGGGCAGCTCCAGGAGGTGGATGACAAGTTGGAGCTGGCAGAGGGCACGCTCTGCTGGAAGAGTGAAGGTGCGGCGAGTAGGGGTGGCTGTGTGACGCAGGTGTTCACGCGAGCCGCGGTGGCGAGATGTTAACTACCTCGCCTGGGGATCGTGGGTTCTATCCCAACCCTGACGCCTGCTCCATATTTGGAGTTTGCTTATTCTCTCTCCCCGTGGTCGTGTGGATTATTCTACGGTTCCACCGGTTTTTCCCCTCCACATTTGGAAAGATACGTTGAGAGTATTTGCCTGCTATTAAAGTTTCACGTGATAGACCACTTTGTTGGGGCCATCATTTGCGGGCAGGTGGCTTCTGAAAAAGAGCTACATAGCTCAGTGGGCCTTACCTTGTGAAACAGAAATAGTAAAAAACAAATTTTGTTTATACTCTTTGGTTCTATCTTAATTATGGAGCTTTCGTGACTGCAGGAATTATTCTTTGGTTCTTTCGGTTAAGTCACGTCTAAAGATAAAATAATAAATTAAAAAATTAAAATTCATTTATTATTTTATATTTAGACGTGACTTAACCGAAAGAACCAAAGAATAACTCTTTGGTTCTTTCGGTAAAGTCACGTAGTTGGAAATAAAATGAAACAAATCACGACGTTTCGATCGCAACGCAAGCAATCGTCATCAGGTGGGACAACTGCATCAATAAACAACTGCTGAAGAAGGCGAGAGAGCTGCCGTGGCACGAGGTTATGTAGACTGTATAGGTAGGGGAAATAGTCTGTATTTTAAATCACGGTTTCGGCCACCCGTGATCAAACTGACGCCGCTCCTGTTGCTACGTGTCCACGCGCTGCCAGGCGTGTGGGAGTACATCCAGACGACGCGCGACCTCGTCAAGGGCCTGGAGAGTCGCACGCAGAAGGCCAAGGAGAACGTGGAGGTGGCTTGCGGCCTCATGAAGGCCTGGGTGTCGCCCGTTTTCGAGCGCAAGGAAGGCAAGAGGGAGACGCTCCTCAATCTGGACGATCGCAAGGAGCGGCTGGAGAAACGGTACCAGTCGCTGCGGGACTCGGGCCACAAGATTCACGAGCTCCTCAAGGTACGCGGGTTAACCGAAACTAAAGTGCAGATTTTTGTTGTTGTATTTTACCCTGTAAGGCCCCGCTGAGCTAATCAGCAAAACCCCTGTTATCTACCACCGCTGTTAACGACTGATCGCTTAACAACAGGCCTCCATAGAGGCAGTGTATAGTAGCGTAGTGTATAGTAGTGTCGTGTATAGTGATGTAGTGTATAGTAGTGGATAGTTTAGTGTATAGTAGTGTAGTGTATAGTAGCGTCGTGTATAGTAGTGTAGTGTATAGTGTAGTGTATAATGTAGTGTATAGCAGAGGTGGGACAAAGTCATTGTTATGCAAGTCCAAGTCGAGTCTGAAGTCATCAAATTCATGACTCGAGTCTGACTCGAGTCCAAGTCACATGACTCGAGTCCACATCTCAGAGGTGGGACAAAGTCATTGTTATGCAAGTCCAAGTCGAGTCTGAAGTCATCAAATTCATGACTCGAGTCTGACTCGAGTCCAAGTCACATGACTCGAGTCCACACCTCTGGTGTATAGTGTAGTGTATAGTAGTGGATAGTGTAGTGTATAGTAGTGTATAGTATAGTGTAAAGTAGTGTAGTGTATAGTAGTGTAGTGTTTAGTGTAGTGTATAATGTAGTATATAGTGTAGTGTATAGTAGTGCATAGGGTAGTGTATAGTAGTGTAGTGTATAGCGTAGTGTATAATGTAGTGTATAGTGGTGTCGTGCCTCCATAGAGCCCAACGTCTTTGCTTACCGACCATTGCCCTGTTAACAACCGGCTGTTGTAGGTACAGTAAATATTAATTGATGCATTGATTAACTATGTTTCTTTTAATTTTATGTGCTTATAATGTTGTTTGTATCTTTATGTATTCATATCTATTGTTTAAATATGAAGTTTATTTTTTGGTTGATAAAGTGTAACTTTTGATGCTATCGGAACGAATTAAGCCTTTGACGTGTATTTCCTCTTCTCGCTTAACGACCAAATCACTAAACGACCGGTTTCGTGGAGCCAATTACCGTCGTTAAGAGGGGTTCTATTGTGTGTATATAGAGAGCTCGTTTTCACAAGCGTCCTGGCCATCACGAATGATAGCTCAACGAAGTGGCTTATTGTCACGTGGAAATTTACAGCGGTAAAAAATACTCTCGAATGCACGACGATTCTAAATGTGGAGGGAAAAACCCGTAGAAAAATCCACGTGACCAAGAGGAGAGAGAGAGAGACACACAAACTCCTCCTGCACACCAGGCGAGGCAGATAACAATACTCAACGCATTAATTCAGCATTTCGCTACATGCGGTCATTTATTTGGGCTTGGAGAAAGTGATTCGAAAACTGGGAGGGCCGCAAATTCAAATCGTGCCGTTCGTTCCACGGAGGCCGATGAAACGGATTCCTCCTTGGGCGAAGTCAACGGCCATGGGAATGTGGAATTTTCTCCGTGGGCTAAGCGCTGCGATTAAAGGCCGCGAATTAGGCCGGCGATTTTCCCACCTCCCGTGGAGTCCTGCGGAGCGCGCCGCTAAAAGCCGATGTAGAGCGAGCGACGCCCGCCACCGGGACACACGGGTTTAACGGTGCCCTCCCGCTGCCCGGCCGTCGTGCCCGCGGGGGCCGCTGTCTCTCAGGAGAACCTGGAGCTGCTGCAAGCGGACGCGAGCTCGGAGGAGTGGCAGGCGTACGTGGAGTACGTGGACGAGATGGTGGTGGATGGGTTCTTCACGGCCATCGAGTGCTCGCTCAAGTTCCTCATCGAGAACATGGGTGAGAGAGACTGAAGCTATTCAACTATTGTTTCAACTTAACAGTTAAGGCCCGCAGAGCTGGCCTCGAGCGATAGCTCAACGAAGTGGCTTGTCACGTGGAAATTTATAGCAGCCAGATACTCTAAACGTGTGATGTTGATTCTAAATGTGGAGGGAAAAACCGGAGGACCCGGAGAAAATCCACGCGACCACGGGGGGAGAGAGAGAAAGACACGCAAACTCCAAATATACAGCAGCAGGCGACAGGGTCGGGATAAAACCCATGATCTCCTGTATACCAGGCGAGGTAGTTAACGGTTTAACACGTAGGCTTTCGCGACCAATATTATTCATAATAAACATTTTTGGGTTTAAAGTAGTGAACTATTTGTCTTTTTTCAACGTGACACTTTTTTGCTGATTGGCCGTGTTGGGTGGTGGAGGGTTATGACACATTTATAAATAACGCGATCTAACCCAAGAACGTTTATTATGAGGTAGTTAACATCTCGATTTGAAGCTTTCGTGACTGCAAGGATTCATACTCTTAGTTCTTTCGGTAAAGTCACGTAGATTAGCTGCATCAAGGCTTGATGCAGCTAATCTGGCTGTGACGGTCCCACCTGATGACAGAGACTTGTGTTGCCTCCGAAACGTCGTGATTTTCATTGTTTTATTTTATAATTTTTTATTACATTTTTTACCTACGTGACTTTACCGAAAGAACTAAGAGTGTAGTTAACATCTCACCACCGTGGTGCCCAATATATTGCACGACGATGTAGCATCACCACGTGGCGGTGGGCGGATAGACCCTTTTGTAAACATTGCCACTTGTAAACGTTGTCGCGCAGATGCTCGGACGTGCGGAGCTCCGCTCTTCAAAGTGCGGCTGGAGCTGGTGGCGCCCGAGCTGGTGTTCAGCCCGTCGTTGGACGAGCAGGACAGCGGGGACGGCCTCGCGGACCTGGTGGAGGCGCTGGTGAACGACGTGTACCGCGTCTCGTCGCTGGTGCCGCGCCTCGCCGCGCACAGCAGCTTCCCGCACTACCAGGTGCGAGCGGCGTGGGGCGTCGTGCCAAAGACGTGTCCCCCTTTCCCCCCACCCCCCTCCCCCGCCGCGGTCACCGACGTTCGGCCCCCGCTTCGCGCACGCAGCGCTCAAGACCCTTCCGGTACCAGGGGCTTGAGCGGGTAATTGCGGTGCTGTGCCTTTATCTGTTTGTTTCCTCTTGCTAAGCTCAGCACAGTGTTCGCTTGCTCTTGAAGAGAGAGAGCGACGCAAAGGAAGCGTAAGCAAGCGAGAAGGCAGCCATGCAGTGAGCAGGTGCCAACGATTGCCCACCCAAGCTCTGCTGTCCTGTATTATTAAGATGTGGGAGGAAACCGGCTCACCCGGAGAAAACGCACACGTGCGAGGGGGAAACGCTCTATGACGTACGGACAGAAGTTGGGCGTCCACACTTTTGGCCGTACCGCCTTCTCCTGGCGCCTCCTCGACGCCCACCCGCGCGGGGAAGGGAGTTTCACGACCCTCGTGCGGCGATCCACCAACCCTCGCCGCTGCCCCGGTTAACGATGAGGGGGGGGGGGGCCTCCGCCTTTGTCGTCGACAGGCGGACATGGAGGACATGGTCGACCTGGCCGACATGCGGGACGAGCTGATGCGGCGCGTGCGCACCGCGGCGGCCCGCTGCCTGGAGTACCGCTCGACGCTGGCGACGTACGCGCACCTCTGGGCCGACGACCGGCACGAATACCTGCGCCAGTTCCTGCTCTACGGCCACGCGCTCACCCCCGAGGAGGTGGAGATGCTCGCCACGGCACACACGTGAGTCGACGAGGGTTTTGGCGGCGGGCGGGTAGGATCGTTTACGCGCCGGGGCGACCGTCGCCCGGCCAGGCGCGACGGGAGCGACGATTCGGGCGCAGGTCCACGTACGGCGGTGCGTGGACCTGCGCGTGTAACAATATTGTGTCACCTCTTGACGTTTAAACACTCGGCCCTCCGCTGTGTGCGGACCAACCAAAGGTCACTTGAAGGGACTTCGGAGGTAGCTCTGTTGTCATCCGCTTCCGTGGGCCGCTGCCCTGCGAGAGATCCGGTTGGAACCCACGTCTCGAGACACCAGACTGACATCTTGCATGGGAGGCGGCACGGTAGAAACACTACGCGATGACGACGATGACGAGCAATTGTTGCCGCCGTGGCGCCCCCCCCCCTCTTCCCCGCCCCCCGCCACTCGCGCGGCAGAGCGGCGGATGACGACGAGGGGCACGCGGCGGGCGTGATGGAGCAGCCCCCGACGCTAGCGCAGTTCCGCGAGCAGGTGGACAGCTACGAGCGGCTGCACGAGGAGGCGTCGCGGCTCGAGCCGTCCACCACGGCGGAGGGGTGGCTGCGCGTGGACGCGCGCCCCTTCAAGGCGTCGCTGCTCAACATCATCAAGCGCTGGAGCCTCATGTTCAAGCAGCACCTGGTCGACCACGTCACCAACAGGTGGGTGGAGACGTCGCTTGGCTGTGACTCCCCCGGGTGGCCTTGAGTTTGGCGGCGGCCGCGGTGGTGGTGGTAGCGGCGATGTGTGTGTGTGTACCAAAAAGCAGTTCGAAAGAAATTCGTTTTAAATCTAGATATAAAAGTGCACAAGCCCAGTGGCTTCTCCAGTACGTATGTTGAACTTGTTTTTCACCGTACATAGCCGACACCGCGCTAATCGGCGGTGCGGGAGAACCTGCGTTGGAATCCGGGGTTGGACCGGCCAACCGGAACGAGACTGGGTTCTCGAACGCTGCCTACTCCCCCCCCCCCCCCTTCTCATCGCAGCCTCCTTGGCCTGGAGCAGTTTGTGCAGGAGAAGGAGGAGGGCCTGGGCCAGAAGATAAAGGAGGGCGACTACCACGCCTTGGTGGACGTCATGGGCCACCTGATGGCCGTCAAGGAGCGGCAGGCGAGCACGGACGCAATGTTCGAGCCGCTCAAGGAGACCATCGAGCTCCTCAAGTCGTACGACCAAGAGCTTCCGGACGACGTCTACAGGCAGCTCGAGGTATCGGAAGCGGAATATTTATTTAGACCGCGTGAGGAATCCGGTGAGCTATGAAGCTCTTTCTCACAGGTGTCCAGTCGGGGCCTAGGGGTCAGAGCGTCAATAACGGCAATATCAGCGCCGAGAGACCCGTGGCCGTGGTGTGGCGCTTAACGTTTCCCTTTCTGAGACTGTCCTCTGAATCTGGGAACGTGCGAGCGGTTCAGCGTAGTGGCGTCGTTGTTTTTAAAGACCTTATGCTCACCGCAGAGAACTGTAGCGACACGACCGCGCTCTATGATAGCTGGCGCAAATTTGTGCCCCCACGCCCTCACGCATGGCCTTGTGGGAGCCTCGGTACCAATAAAGTTATCGTACTTTAGTTTTTCGTTCGATTCCGTTCCGACGTTGTACAAATTCGTCGACGTACTTTTGCGACGACGCACGCGTGTGTCATCGGAACGGAATCAGAATAAAAAACTGATGACGTACGTGCACGTACACGTACGTCGTCAGAATGAGAAATAGGGTTCATTGTGCACCCAGCGGTTTTCTGTTCCCGGTGACGGATGCGCGTTGCGTTATATAGTTGTGCATCTGGCAGTTTTTGTTTTAGGAGCTCGCTCCCAGATGAGTCCGGAGTGCAGTCCTCGGCCACCGAGGAGATCAATTGGTAGGCGACAGAGGGGCGGCACTTCGGCTGAGGTGCCCCAGGCTGCCCTGCAAGTTTCCGCAGCCACTAACAACGACCACTTCCCCACCGCTCTCTCTGTGTCTCCCTCCCTCTGCGTGTGTGTGCGTACCGCGCGTCGGCCGCAGGAGCTGCCGGAGAAGTGGACGAACCTGAAGAAGGGCGCGGTGGCCATGAAGCAGCAGGTGGCGCCGCTGCAGGCCGCCGAGGTGGCCGTGCTGCGCAGGAAGTGCGCCGCCTTCGACGTGGAGCAGCACCGCTTCCGCGAGCGCTTCCGAGCGAAGGCGCCGTTCTGGTGAGCGATGGAGGGGGAGGGGGGCCCGGGGGGGGCCCGGGGGGGGGGGGTCCGGGGGGGGCCCGGGGGTTGGGGGGATTCTTCGTACTAAAACTTTTTATTATACTGGGTAAGTATACTGTTATTTTTTCGGTAAAGTCACGTAGGTACAAAAAGGGAAATTAAAATTAATAAAAATAAAATGATAAAAATCACGACGTTTCGGAGGCAACACAAGTCTCCGTCATCAGGTGGGGCCGTCACAGCCTGGATTTGCTGCATCAAGTGAGGCAGGGATTCCAAGATGCAAGTTCTTAAATACAAGTTAAGGGGGAGGAGGGGGGAGGAGCTTATCAGAATGTGGTAGCCAATGAATGGAACGTATTGGGAGGGGGGGGGCGGGGCTAAAAGAGAGGCCCACCGAGTGCGACCTGGCCGTCACAAATGATAGCTCAACTAAGCGGCTCGTCACAGCATGGACATTTATAGCGGAGGCCAAATACTTTTCGATTTAAAGCTTTCGTGACTGCAGGGATTCATCTTCTTGGTTCTTTTGGTAAAGTCACGTAGGAGGGAACTAATAAAATAAGAAAAATTATAAAAAAAAAGTATAAAATGATTTTTATTATTTTGTTATTTCCCTTCTACGTGACTTTACCGAAAGAACCAAGAAGAGGACAAATACTCTAAACGATTCTAAATGTGGAACCAAAAACCGGAGGACCCAGAGAAAAAATCCACACGACCCTACTGGGCAAAACATGCAACCTCCAAATATACAGCAGTCGTTCATGGCCAGGATCGAACCAACGACTTCTTGTATACCTGGCGAGGGAGTTAACATCTTGCCACCGCGTTACTTCCGAGTCGGAGATTGAGCGCTGTCGGGCACGCGAAACGCAAACTTGGTTCCGCCGCGTCGCGCCGAGCCAAGCCGCGACCCTCAAATCCCTGCCCACCCACCCACAGCTATGACTGCGCCAAGCCCTATCCGCTGCTGGACACCTGGAACCGCGACCTGTCCTCCATGGAGGCGTCGCTGGCCAGCCTGGCCGAGTCGGCCGGCCTCTTCGAGGTGGCCGTGCCGGACGCGCGGCAGCTGCGGCAGTGCCGCCGCGAGGCTCGCGCCCTCCGGGAGCTGTGGGACGTGACGGCGCTGGTGCGCTCCAGCGTGGGCGACTGGCGCGACACCAGGTGGCGGCAGCTGGACGTGGACGCGATGGACGCCGAGTGCAAGCGGTTCGCGCGCGACCTCCGTGCGCTCGACAAGGAGACGCGCGCGTGGGACGCCTTCTCGGGCCTCGACTCGGAGGTGAAGAACATGATGACGTCGCTGCGAGCCGTCGCCGAGCTGCAGAACCCAGCGATTCGCGAGCGGCACTGGCAGCAGCTCATGCAGGTGGGTGCGGCTGGGCACTCGGCTACGTACGGGGTGAAAGGATTTTCAACGTACGCAAGCACACGCGTGCACGCGCGTACGCGCGCTCGTAAGACGGACGCACGATTGTCGGGGGGGGGCGGGCACTGGCAGAAAGGTTGAGAACTACCGCACAGTTTGCTGGTACATTCATATTGTTAATTACCTCGCCTGGTATACAGGAGGTCGTGGGTTCAATCCCGATGCTGACGCCTGCTGTATATTTGGAGTTTGCGTGTTTTTCTCTCTCTGGCTCTCATCATCACGGTGGCTATGAGATGTTAACTACCTCGCCTGGTATACAGGAGGTCGTGGGTTCAATCCCGATGCTGATGCCTGCTGCTGTATATTTGGAGTTTGCGTGTTTTCCCTCCCCGTGGTCCCATGGATTTTTCTCCGGGTGCTCCGGTTTTTTCTCTCCACTTCGTTGAGCTATCAATTGTGATGGCCAGGTCGCTTCTGAAAAAGAGCTGCATAGCTCAGTGGGCCTTACCTGGTAAAATAAAAAATAAATTGTTTACTTTAATTTGTCACGTGCTGTCACATCTCATTTGCCTTTTACTTTTACCCATCCCACCCGTATCGTTCTCCCGCGTGTAACTTCTTCGCCCATGTCGCCCCCCCCCGCGCGTCGCGCGGCCCCCAGGCGACGGGCGTGCGCTTCTCGATGGACGAAGACACCACGCTGGCCGACCTGCTGCAGCTGAACCTGCACTCGTTTGAGGACGAGGTGCGCTCCATTGTGGACAAGGCAGTGAAGGAGATGGGCATGGAGAAGGTGCTCCGTGAGCTGCGCTCCACCTGGGGACAGATGAGCTTCGGCTACGAGCCGCACCCGCGCACCGCCGTGCCGCTGCTGCGCTCCGACGAGGAGCTCATCGAGACGCTGGAGGAGAACCAGGTGGGTGGGGGAGGGGGGGGAGGAGCGTTCGTGCGATCGATCGATCGCCCTTTGGTGTTTATCGACGGCTTCACGAATCGTCTTCGCTCACACGGTTTCCGAAGAGCGGATGGTAAATACGGCACGGGTAGTACAGATGGTGAACACGGGACGGGCAGTACAGATGGTAAACACGGCACAGGCAGTACAGACGGTAAACGCGGCACGGGCAGTACAGATGGTGAACACTGCACGGGCAGTACAGACGGTGAACACGGCACGGGCAGTACAGACGAGTCATTGTAAACATGACTATAGAGTCAGTTATGTTTTTAAATCATGATCCAGAGTCGTAGCATTCAATGCGGTGGTTGTTTGGCGTGGCCTTGACCGCTACTTGCCGACTCTGGACACGGAAGGCCTCCATCACCACCCGACACAGCCAGGCACAAACGTGTACAAGCAATTAACGAGCGATTAACGAGCAATTAACTATTGATGAACGAGCAATTAATGAGCAATTAGGGAGCAATTAACAGATAATTAGGGAGTGATTATGGACAAATGAACGAGAAATTAACGAGCAAATAGGGAGTAATTATGGAACAATTAACTGGTAATTAATGCACCACTTATTGTTGTTTCAGCCCAGGGGGAACAATCCTTGCGACGAATTGTAGTGGCTAGGTACGTGGCAATTCGCTTGGGACTGTATCAAGCATTCCTAAGGAAGTGGGAATTAAATTCCGGGCTGTCCACCTTGGCTGGGTGATGCGTGGGACAGTCGCAAGCGGAACGTCGCAGCCGATTGCTAAACGGAATCAAGAGTCTTTATTTATACTGCAAGGAGGAATCTGATGAGCTTTCAAGCAGGTGTCCAGTCGGGGCACAGGGTCAGAAGGCTACAACGAACAATATAAAACACGATAGGAGTGGAAAGTGTAGGAAAGGTGAGCAAATTATGAAAAATAACACATTCCTGCGGAGGGAGCTGGTAGGAACGTTGGGTTGCTCGGTCAATAGCCAGGGTCAACGGCGGCGTGGTGTATTCCGCAAATATGCCCGACTGTGAGGACGAGCACAAGCCGGCGTGAGTAGGTTAAACGTTGAGTTTTATAAGGGCACCACGAGGTGACCAGCCCCTCCCCACCCAGCCCCACCCCTCCCACCCCCCACTCAGCCCCACCAACCCCACCCAGCCCCTCCCCACCCTCCCCACCCAGCCCCACCCTCCCCACCCTCACCCACCCAGCCCCTCCCCACCCTCCCCACCCAGCCCCTCCCCTCCCCACCCTCTCCTCCCCTCCCCACCCAGCCCCTCCCTCCCCACCCAGCCCTTCCCTGCACGACGGACGGACACAATAATCCCCTGTGGGCTGGTGTAACCAGGAGGTTCCTACCAGTAAAAAGATAACGTACATAAAAATAAAAATAAACTATTTTTTATTTTTACCAGGAAAGGCTTTCTGAGCTATTAGCTTCCTTCTCAGAAGCGACGTGGCCACAAATGATAGCTCAACGAAGTGGCTTATTGACATTTGTAGCACTCCTATCGCGTTTTTGTACCGTTTGTTCCAACGTTCTTACCCACCCCTACTGGGCATGCGTAAAGAAGAGCTTTACAGGTCGTCGGATTCCTGCAGGAAAAGTAAATATTCTGATTGTGTGACGTTGATCCTCAATGTGCGGGGGGGGGGGGGGGAAACTCGTAGATTCGGTTGGGGAGGGTCATCCATAAACTTAGCGGTGAGCTGAAAATAAAATAATCCCTTGTTACAGCCATCTCTTTGGCATACTTCAGCGATTGTTTTCGCCGCGGTGGCCTCCACCTGATGAAGGACGCTTGTGTTGCGCCCGAAACGTCGTGATTTCATTCAGTTTTCATTATTTTTTTATTATTTTCACCTACGTGACTTTACCGAAAGAACCAAAGAGTATGAAAATAAAATAATTCGGTTTATCGGGTGTTGGAGGCTTCACAATGACACAGATTCGGTCCGACCGTTACGTGTCCTCGCCCACAAAAAAAAGTCAAATCAATTTCGGCTGCGAAAGCTCTACGCGTCGACGTTTTGAGTTCATCCGCATTATCGCCGGCGTCAACTTTCGAAACGGACAAGCGTCGAGTTTCTCCAAAGCTCAGGAAGGCACCGCTCGGACCGAAACGAAGGCCGTGGCGCGACCGCCCACACGCCTCCTCCTCCGCCTGCCCCCGCCATTCCTTTCTCGCCCCGCAGGTGCAGCTGCAGAACTTGATGACGTCCAAGTACGTGGCGTTCTTCCTGGAGGAGGTGTCGAGCTGGCAGCGGCGCCTCTCCACGGCCGACTCGGTCATCTCCATCTGGCTGGAGGTGCAGCGCACGTGGTCCCACCTCGAGAGCATCTTCATCGGCTCCGAGGACATCCGCTCGCAGCTGCCCGAGGTGTGCGCTTGTTGCGTGTGCGCGTGGTGGGGTTTGGTGGTGTCTGTAGGGAACTCGCTCGCGTGTGTGTCTGTGTGTCTGTGTGTCTGTGTGTCTGTGTTTCTGTGTGTCAGTGTGTGTCAGTGTGTCTGTGTGTCTGTCTGTGTGTCTGTGTCTCAGTGTGTCAGTGTGTCTGTGTGTCTATGTGTCTGTGTCTCAGTGTGTCAGTGTGTCTGTGTGTCAGTGTGTCTGTGTGGCTGTGTGGCTATGTGTGTCTGTGTGTGTGTCAGTGTGTCTGTGTGTCAGTGTGTGTCTGTGTGTGTGTCAGTGTGTCTGTGTGTCAGTGTGTGTCTGTGTGTGTGTCAGTGTGTCTGTGTGTGTGTCTGTATGTCTGTGTGTCAGTGTGTCTGTGCCTCTGTGTGTCAGTGTGTCAGTGTGTCTGTGTGTCAGTGTGTCTGTGTGTCTGTGTGTCAGTGTGTCTGTGTGTGTTGGGGAGCGGTAGTGTAGCGGTTAGCGCTAACGAACCTGGCGACCCGAGTTCGATTCCCGCTCACGGCCAACGCCAGTGACGAATATCTGAACCGGTCCTGGGCCTCCCGTAGGTCGACTCAGTCTCAAATGAGTACCTGGTGCGACGTTTAAACGTCGCCACTAGGTGAGACAAAGGCGGCCGGGCGTGGTGCTGGCCGCCCACCCCCTCGTGTGCTGTGCCGGCCTTTCATAGGTGCTCGCTAACAGCACTTGCCCCAAGAGTCTGTTAAAGTCTATACGGGGGATCTTCGTGGTAAGTTGATACGGGGAGAGGGCGTGTAATGCCGGAGTTCAGAGCAGTCCCGGCTCCAGCTCCTCGTCCGCGGATCGCCGCGCCTTCGCAGCGACGCGGTTCCACTCAACTGAATCTCTCTCCGGCCCCCGATCGCAGGACAGCAAGCGCTTTGAGGGGATCGACGCGGACTTCCGCGAGCGGGCGTACGACACAGAGAAGACCCCCAACGTGGTGGAAGCCACCAACAAGCCGGGGCTGTATGAACAGCTGGAGGACATTCAGGGCAGGTGCGTGCGCGTGCATGTGATTGTGGAGGTAGTGTAGCGGTCAGCGCGCTGCGTTACCAACAGAGGTCGCAAACGGGTTTTGATTCCTTACCCGTACCCGTACCCGGCCGCACCAGGGTCGCAAACGGGTACCCGTACCCTACCCGTACCCTACCCGTACCCGGCCGGGTACGGGTAGGGTATGGGTATCGGGTACCTGATTGCGACCTCTGGGATGAAGCCATGTTGCAGGCGCGGGTGGGTTGATTCTAGGAACTTGAATTGTGAGAAGAGACAAGACGTTGGGAAATGAGTGACAAACGGTTACTCACCAGTGACTCACGGCCTACCCGTACCCGTACCCGGCCGCACCAGGGTCGCAAACGGCTACCCGTACCCATACCCGGCCGGGTACGGGTAGCCGGGTATCGGGTAGGGTACGGTTATCGGGTACCCGGTTGCGACCTCTGCTGAGTACGCATCTCGCGCGTTATCGCCGACTATGCTTTACTCCACATTGTATATTATCCGTTACAACGCGATTTTTCCACGACGCGGTGTTCTTCAGGAGCGCAACTACTACCGCCACTTCATAGGGGAACAGAACGTAACTTTATCGCCGGGCCAGGCCCCGCAGCATCGTCGTTCGCTGCAGCGGCGTCGCACTCAGATCGCCGACGTTCAGCTCGGTTGTCGTCCGTCCTCGCACCACGGCCACGGTCCGATCGCGAGGCCGAGTTGTTGACGACGAATCGTGGGGGGGCGGGCGATCGCGCTCGCTCGTCTCGTTTGCCGTGGCTTTGACCGCAGGCTGGCGCTGTGCGAGAAGGCCCTGGCCGAGTACCTGGACACCAAGCGCCTCGCCTTCCCTCGCTTCTACTTCATCTCGTCGGCCGACCTCTTGGACATTCTCTCCAACGGCACCAACCCTCAGCTGGTGGGAGAACCCAGCAGACCTCCGTAGCCGACCCACGTATAAATGATAATCATGAGTCAAATGCGATTTTTAGTCCACCGTGCCGATATTGTTCAGCGGCGTTTGTCGAAAGCGAGCAAACTCTGCGCCGGTTTCAGGCCTCTGGGTCTCATCAGCAGGGCGAGGCTTGTTGAACGAACGCCGCTGCTTTACCAGATGTTGTTGGCAAGAGGCAATTTCGCCTGGAAGTTAGTTTGTCTCTACGCGAGTCAGTCTGTCGGTCACTGGAGTAGATCTTAAGTTCGTAAGGCCGACCGGCTGGAACCAGGGGCCTATGGTGTTGATGATGAATTTTGTACGACGTTGGCTAAAATGGTCCAGCGGTGGCACGTTCACCGCTTGAGGTTCATGATTCGAATCCGTTAGGCCGCCCTGGTTATTGCTGCAGCATGTGGTATTACCCATGCGATACGCTCCGTTTGCTTCCCATTGGACGTCAATTCGACAAAGAGCCAGGCAATATTCTGTGCCGGCCGTCACGCTACAAATTTAAATAATATAATCACTCAAGCGGGATGACACCCAGCAGTAACATTTTTCCGTAAGGGTCCCCTCTACTTACGAACGAGTTAGGTTCCAGCGGTCTGTTCGTAACGCGATTTGTTCGTAAGTCCAACTTTATTCCCTTCGATTCGAAACATGTTGTACGGCGTGTACACTAAACACGGGGGAATGGCTTTAAAAGTTATATAATCTCCTGTAGATGTAGACGCCACTGGTTCTTCGTGTTCTACAGATGTAAATGCCACTGGTTTTTCACGTTCTGCAGATGTAGATGCCATTTGTTTTTCATGTTCTTTAGATGTAGATGCCACTGGTTCTTCGTGTTCTGCAGATATAGACGCCACTGGTTCTTCACGTTCTGCCGATGTAGATGCCACTGGTTCTTCATGTTCTGCAGATGTAGATGCCACTGGTTCTTTACGTTCTGCATGTGTAGATGCCAATGGTTCTTCACATTCTGCATGTGTAGATGCCACTGGTTCTTCACATTCTGTAGATGTAGATGCCACTGGTTCTTCACGTTCTGCAGATGTAGATGCCACTGGTTCTTCATGTTCTGCAGATGTAGATGCCACTGGTTCTTCACGTTCTGTAGATGTAGATGCCATTTGATTTTCATGCTCTGTAGATGTAGATGCCACTGGTTCTTCATGTTCTGCAGATGTAGATGCCACTGGTTCTTCACGTTCTGCATGTGTAGACGCCACTGGTTCTTCACGTTCTGTAGATGTAGATGTCATTTGATTTTCACGTTCTGTAGATGTAGATGCCGCTGGTTCTTCACGTTCTGTATATTTAGAAACCACAACCGCCATCTATTGCGCGGCGGTTGAACATTCGACTCTCGGTCCAAACAGGCAACTGGACGTACAGGACAGGCTTGTTTGTATCTCTGAAAGTTCGTAAGTCGAATATTCGTAAGTAGAGGGAGTCCCTGCACTATGAAACCGCCGCAGGACTGTGTCTGTGAAAAAACCCCGGCACCTACCTTCGTGCCGATAGCGCCGGGCTTACGAGAACGAATAGCGGGCAAATTCCAAAAGTGCTTTGGATCTATTGTGACTGCGATGAACCCCGCGCGCACGAATGCAACCGACCACCGCAGGTCCAGCGCCACCTGTCGAAGCTCTTTGACAACATGGCCAAGATGGAGTTCGAGAAGGGCCCAGGCGACACGGAGACGAAGATCGGGCTCGGCATGTACAGCAAGGAGGGAGAGTTCGTGGCCTTCAATGCGCCGTGCGACTGCAGCGGCCCGGTACGACACGCTCGCACCTCGCGGCGACAAGGGGCCTGGGTTCCATTCCCGGCTCGGTTACCTTTCTTGTATTCATGGTTCTTTCGGTAAAGTCACGTAGAAGGGAAATAATAAAATAAGATAATTGTTGATAATTGTTTTTTTATCCTTCTTTCTGGCAACAAAACTGACACCTTTTTACAAGGAGTCATGTTTGCATAGACCACAATACCTGCAGTCATAATGCAAACAAAAAACATAACTCTGATAATGTGCACTGTCCTTGTTTGCATTATGACTGCAGGTATTGTGGTCTATGCAAACATGACTCCTTGTAAAAAGGTGTCAGTTTTGTTGCCAGATAGAAGGGTAAAAAACCAATTATCATATTTTTACTGGCAAATGAGGTTCCAATGGTGAAAATAATTGTTTTTTATATTTATATTATTTTATTATTTCCCTTCTACGTGACTTTACCGAAATAACCATGAATATGAATCCCTGCATTCACGAAAGCTTTAAATCAAAATTTAACTACCTTTCTCGTGTATGCAGTTTGCTTGTTCTCCCCCTGCTCTACGTGGGTTTCCTCCTATAGCTCAAATAAAAACCGCACAATGTAACCGTACGTATCTATGTTGAACTTCTTTCGCGCTGTACGTAGCCAACCGTGCTATCCCGAGTGTGCGGGTGAAAGACAACAAACTAAACACAAAAAATCCATTTTAAAGAAATTCGTTTTCAATCTAGATAATTGAAAAATGCACTTCTCCATTGGCTTCCTAGTATCGGAAGGAAGGGCGTGCCAGGTGGCTGCAGAAGCGCTTCTGAACGCGCGCGATTGAGCGATCGTCTTTGTTCGATGGCTAGCAAAATGTAACTATGTATGTATGAATGTTGAACTTCTTTCGCACTGTACGTAGCCAACTTCTAATCGGAGGTGCGGTGGAAAGACAAATTCCTAAACACAAAAAATGAGTTTTCATATCTGGTGTATGTCAAAAATCCAAATTGTAGGACCAGTATCTGCAAACCACCCGATTGGGATTAACAGCATCGTTCCATCGACTGTGGAAAATCTGCAGGACCATCCTGAGGTTTTCCTGGCTAAGCAGGCCGATTCAGCTTAGCAGGCCTATTAAAAAAGTGCCGTGGGACTGTCTTCCTGCAGGTGGAGGTCTGGCTGAACAGGCTGCTGGACAGCATGAGAGACACGGTGCGAAACGAGATGATGGAGGCAGTGGTGGCTTACGAGGAGAAGCCAAGAGAACAGTGGCTCTTCGATTATCCGGCCCAGGTGAGAAACAGTGACTTCCTTCTGATGCAGGTGAGATGCAGTGACTTCCTTCTGATGCAGGTGAGACTCAGTCACTTTCTTCTGATCCAGGTGAGATGCAGTGACTTGCTTCTGATCCAGGTGAGAAACAGTGACTTCCCTCTGATCCAGGTGAGACACTGTGACTTCCTTCTGATGCAGGTGAGAAGCAGTGACTTCCTTCTGATGCAGGTGAGATGCTGTGACTTTCTTCTGATCCAGGTAAGACTCAGTGACTTCCTTCTGATGCAGGTGAGATGCTGTGACTTTCTTCTGATGCAGGTGAGAAGCAGTGACTTCCTTCTGATGCAGGTGAGATGCAGTGACTTCCTTCTGATGCGGGTGAGACGCTGTGACTTCTGATGCGGGTGAGACGCGTTGGTGTCCGACGCGTTGGTTCTGCCCGTGCGTTGTCTCCGCCGGGCCAGGTGGCCCTCACGTGCACACAGATCTGGTGGACGACAGAGGTGGGCATCTCGTTTGCTCGCCTAGAGGAGGGCTACGAGGGCGCGCTCAAGGAGTACTTCAAGAAGCAGGTGGCGCAGCTCAACACCCTCATCTCCATGCTCATCGGGCAGCTGACGCCCGGGGACCGCCAGAAGATCATGACCATCTGCACCATCGATGTGCACGCACGCGACGTCGTCACCAAGATGATCGCGCAGAAGGTCGGGGATGCCTTCTTTTTCTTCTTCCTCCTCCTCATCCTCCTCCCCCCTCCTCCTCCCCGCTCCTCCTCCCCCCCTCCTCCCTCCTCCTCCCTCCTCCTCCTCCTCCTCCTCCTCCTCCTCCCTCCTCCTCCTCCTCCCCTTCCTCCTCCTCGTCCTCCTCCTCTTCCCCCCTCCTCCTCCCTCCTGCCCCTCCTCCTCTTCCTCCCTCCTCCTCCTCCTCCTCCCTCCTCCTCCCTCCTCCTGCCCAAGCTCTGTGGTCCTATATCCCCGTGAGTGTTTGTGAACGGACGGACGGGGGGGGGGTGCGAACGCTGAACCCCGTACAGGCGGAAATAAACCCACTTGCTGTGCTGCCATTGTACCCTGACCATAAGGCAGGGTATGGCCACTTTGATGCCCATGATCACAAGTTTGACCCCCTGCAGCCGCTATGTAAGAAGAGGAATACATCATCGATTCATTAAAGCTGAATATTTTAAGCGATTGCATTTATCATTTTTATGCTAATTCCATGTGTGTGTGGCGTGTGGAGCGGTGGTGTAGAGGTTAGCGCACTACGCTACGAACCCGGCGACCCGAGTTCGACTCCCGCTCACGGCCAACACCGGTGACGATTTTCTTAACCGGTCTTGGACCTCCTCTAGGTCGACTGGGCCTCAAACGAGTGTCTGGTGCAGTGTGTGTAAACATCACCACTGGGGAGACAAAGGCGGCCGGGCGTGGTGCTGGCCAGCCACCCCCCCTCGCTCGCTAACAGCACTTGGCGGGGAGGGTGGGTCTTTGTGCGGTGTGCGCAGGTGGAGAACTCGCAGGCGTTCATTTGGCTGTCGCAGCTGCGTCACCGCTGGGACGACGAGAGGAAGCACTGCTACGCCAACATCTGCGACGCGCAGTTCCTCTACTCCTATGAGTACCTGGGCAACACGCCTCGCCTCGTCATCACACCGCTCACCGACCGGTACGACTCACCGGCAACAAGCCATCGCACAGCTCACCGATCGGTATGAATCACCAGTGTCTAGTCATCGCACAGCTCACCGACCGGTACGACTCACCGGCAACAAGCCATCGCACAGCTCACCGATCGGTATGAATCACCAGTGTCTAGTCATCGCACAGCTCACCGACAGGTACGACTCACCGGCAAAAAGAAATAGATTCAATGTAACCGACGTTTGAAATATGACCTGCAAATGACTTGAAAAATCTTGGCAGGACCCACCTGACAAACGAGTCTTGAGACTCGGTGAGGTTTTCTACCCGAGTAAACAAACGTCCCCTTTTGCCTCTGCGTGTGACCCCCCGACCCCCTCCCCCCTACCTCGCTGTCAAAGGTGCTACATCACGCTGACCCAGTCGCTACACTTGACCATGAGCGGAGCGCCAGCGGGGCCGGCCGGCACCGGCAAGACTGAGACCACCAAGGACTTGGGCCGGGCCCTGGGAATCATGGTCTACGTGTTCAACTGCTCCGAGCAGATGGACTACAAGGCGAGTGGGCAGCGAGCGTCGCGTCGCCGTCGTTTTAAATTCGAGCGCTGACGCAAACGGTTTATTTCGCCCGCGAGAATCATTCCGGAGCGGTTGAGAGCGTCTTGGTTCGTGCGAGTAACTTTTCGTCACGCCGTGCGTCCGATTTGTCGTCATGCTAAAGTCGATGGAGGGCTCATGCTGCTCGAATAAGGAAGTTGGGGGGGGCGGTAGGGCCCCCCTTTTTGGTGTCTGGGATGAGCTTGGGGCCGGTGACGCGGTCAAGCGGTAGCGTACCTTGCCGCCCGTCGTAAGGGGTTCTTGGTTCAATCTTGGCGGCCGCCCTGGTTGTTATTATTGTTGTTGCTACTGTGGGTATTAACAACAAGGAGGTAAAATGTCGATTGAAAGCTTTCGTGAGTGCAGGGATTCATATTCTTGGTTCCTTCGGTAAAGTCATCACGTAGAAGGGAAATAATAAAATAATAAAAGTAATACTATATAATTCTCACGACGTTTCGATTGCAACACAAGCAATCATCATCAGGTGTGAAAACCACGGCAAGAACATTTGAAAAAAGTGGCGTTTGTTTCTTAACGTCAGCACCACGGACAGCAACTGGAATACTGTTAAGAAAAAAACGTGGTGAGATGTTAACTCCCTCGCCCGCTGTACAGGAGGTCGTGGGTTCGAGCCTGACCCTGACACCTGCTGCTGTATATGTGGAGTTTGCGTGTCTCTCTTTCTCTCTCTCCCCGTGGTCGCGTGGAATTTTGTCCGGCTCCTCCGGTTTTTCCCTCCACATTTAGAATCAACGTCACGCGTTCAGAGTGTTTGGCTGCAATGCATTCCCCACGCAATGATGATGATGAGCCACTTTGTTGAGCGATCATTTGCGATCGCCAGGTCGCTTCTCAAAAAGAACTATACAGCTCAGGTGGGGCCTCACCTGGTTAAATAAGAAAATAGTTTAAAGTAGTTTTATAGATGAGACGCGTGATGCGAGGCGCTTTTAGTTAATAATAATAAAATAAAAATTTCGAAAGCGCAATCAAGTAAGCGCCCAGCGGCACAATGCAAATCCATTTTGATTCCTGAAATGTGTGTTTGTTGTTGTTGTTGTCATTGTCGTCGTTGTTGTCGTTGTTGTCGTTGTTGTCGTTGTTGTCGTTCACGATCATTCCTTGCCCCGCGTGTTCCGCGTGCAGTCGTGCGGGAGCATCTACAAGGGGCTGGCTCAGACGGGGGCGTGGGGGTGCTTTGACGAGTTCAACCGCATCTCGGTGGAGGTGCTCTCTGTGGTGGCCGTGCAGGTGAGTGCTCCGGGTTCACTAACTAACTCTCTAACTAAGTCACTAACTAACTAACTAACGATCTAACTAAACACATTCCTGCGGAGGGAGCTGGTAGGAACGTTGGGTTGCTCGATCAATGGCCAGGGTCAACGGCGGCGTGGTGTATTCCGCAAATATGCCCGACTGTGAGGGCGGGCACAAGCCGGCGTGAGTAGGTTAAACGTTGAGTTTTACAAGGGCACCACGGGGTGACCAGCCCCTCCCCACCCAGCGCCACACCTCCCACCCCCCACCCAGCCCCTCCCCACCCTCCCCACCCAGCCCCTCCCCACCCTCCCCACCCAGCCCCTCCCCACCCGCGAAATTTGTGATTCACGAGGGAGGGAATGTATCCCTCGCAAATAACGAGGGAATACTTTACCCAGCAGGCGTCAGGGTCGGGATCGAACGCACGACCTCCTGTACACCAGGCGAGGTAGTTAACATCTCATAGCCACCGTGGTTTCACAGCAAGAGACCCCCCCCCCCTCCCACCGCCTGCCATGTTGGCTCACGGTCGATACGCTCACGCCGTTCTCGCCGCGTTTCGCTCGCGTCTGCCGACACTGCAGGTGAGTGGCCTTGAGCACAGCCAAGTGGGGCTGGAGCACGACGCGTCGATCGAACGGTCGAGGGCCGATGGTCAATATTTTATAATAATAATAATAATAGTTAAAGTTTTTTATTTTATTTTATATATTTACCAGATACGGCCCACTGAACTGTGCAGCACTTGATACACCACCTGAAGACGGAGGCTTGTGTTGCCTCCGAAACGTCGTGTTTTTTTTTTTTACCTACGTGACTTGACCGAAAAAAACAAAGAGTATGTGCAGCTCTCTTTCTGAAGCTCACTGGCCATCACAAACTACAGCCCAACGAAGCGGCTTGTCGTGTGGAAATTTATCGCTGTCCAAATACTCCAAACGCACGACGTCGATTCTAAATGTGGGAGGAAAAATCCTGAGGACCCGGAGAAAAAATCCACGTGACCACGGGGGGAGAGAGACATGCAAACTCCAAGCAGGCGTCAGGGTATGGAGAATGCCTCGCAGAAGTGGGTATCACATAGCTACGCTCGAGTGACATGAAGGTGCAGCCCTGCAATTGCTCGCTCACGCCAACGCTGACGGACGGACCCCCGTGTGAGCGAACTTCAGAGGGGGCATTGGGTCTATCCTTTCACTTCTTTCTAGATTTGAAGCTTTCGAAAGTCACGTAGGTAAAAAATTTAAATTAATAAAAGTAAAATAAAAAATAAAATAAAAATCACGACGTTTCCACCTGAAGATGGAAGCTTGTGTTGCCTCCGAAACGTCGTGATTTTTATTTCATTTTTATTTTACTTTTATTAATTAAAATTAAAATTTTTTACCTATGTGACTTTACCGAAAAAAACCTAAGAATATGAATATCTATCCTTTCACGTTTGACGAGACTTGTTAGAGATCGAGTGCAGGGACCCACAGTTAACCCCACCACACGCGGCCCTGCCGATCGACTTAACTGTGCCGTTATTTCTACGACTGTCAGGACATGGAGTCAAACCGGTGTCCTCTGGATTGCGAGTCCAGTGCTCTGCTGAGCCGCTACACCACTTTTGGCAGTTCCTCGAGAATAAGAGCAACAGAGTTATTTATATATATAAAATAGCTATCACAGAGTTATTACGCATGCCATGCGGGAGGGGCGTGTGGCAGAGGTCGCAAACGGGTTTGATTCCTTACCCGTACCCGGCCGCACCAGGGTCGCAAACGGGTACTCGTACCCGGCTACCCTTACCCGGCCGGGTATCGGGTAGGGTACGGGTACCCGATTGCGACCTCTGGGATGAAGCCATGTTGCAGGCGCGGGTGGGTTGATTCTAGGAACTTGAATTGTGAGAAGAGACAAGACGTTGGGAAATGAGTGACAAACGGTTACTCACCGGTGACTCACGGCCCACCCGTACCCGTACCCGGCCACACCAGGGTCGCAAACGGCTACCCGTACCCGGTCGGGTATGGGTAGCCGGGTATCGGGTAGGGTACGGGTATCGGGTACCCGGTTGCGACCTCTGGCGTGTGGCACAGTTTTGCGCCAGCTGTCGTGGAGTACGGCGGTCTTGTCGCTACAGTTTTCTGCGTTGAGTAACGACGTCTTTAAAAACGACGGCGCTGCTACGCCTCTAAATAAAATGAACGCCGAGCCGCTCGTGCGTTCCGGGATTCAGCGGTGAACGGGACAGGCACACCCTGCGACTCGCTGCAGATGTCTCGGAACGGGAGATGGTTAAGCCCACCGTTGGTCGGTCCACGCGTAAATGAATTCACACGCAGTGGAGCGTGGCAGTCGCAGCGTGAGTCTGGCGACAGGCGACAAGGCCGAGTCCGTTCCCGCTGCTGTTTCCAACCACCTCCGATTAGCACGGTTGGCTACGTACAGTGTGAAGGAAGTTCAGCGTACACACATGCAAGTATTTAAACAAGTATTCTTTCTCCAGCTTCATTTGTTCAAACAGCCGGTTCAGACTTTGTATGTATGTATGTTGAAATTCTTTCACACAGTACGTAGCCAACAGTGCTAATCGGAGGTTGCTGGGGAAGGACAATAAACTAAACACAAAAATCAGTTGAAAATAAATGGGTTTTCAATCTAGATTATTTTAAATTCGCAACGGCAGAGTTCAGCGTAACAAAACCAAAAAATAAAAGATAAATTACATTTCCTGCACAAATGTTTGTCACGAAAATGTTGGTTTTCCAATTTTCCAGATGTCTAATTTACAAGCATTGAATCGACTACATTTGTACCAAAGGTCAGATCTCTAGCCCGTCTACAACATCGGTCCGTTGTACAAGTCACTCTACATATGCCAGACAATCCATCACCGGTGTGGAGCCAAAGCAAAAGGCCCCGTCACAGAGACGACCTCTCTCTTTGTGCCGATGCGTGTTGCTCTCTCTCTGTGCATCTTTATGATGTCTGTCTGCTTATATGTCTGTCTATAGTTTTCTGGTTAGATTTTTGTTGCTATTTCTTTCTGTTATACCTGATGATGATTGCTTGTGTTGCAATCGAAACGTCGTAGTATGCTATTATTTAATTTATTATTTTATCTTTATACGTGACTTTTCCGAAAGAACCAAAGAGTAATTCCTGCAGTCACGAAAGCTCCAACTTAAGAGGGAAGAAAGACCGTTCGTTCGTTCGTTCGCTCGTTTATTTTGTGTACATCAAAGCAACCGAGTCGGATCAGCGACGACCGTTCGTGCGCGTGCGGGGAGCTCAGGTTCGCCCGCGCGAGCGCGACGGTCGGAGAGAAAGTCAAGTGAACTCAACAAGTGCACCCTGTCCCTTTGAGACCGGCACGAACGGGTGCCAACTCAAGTGGCTTGCCAAGCGGTGCCTCTCCGTGCCTCCTTTGTTCGCTGTGGGGGAGCTTGGAGGAGGGCGGCTGTTGCTGCTGCTGCTGCGTAGGCAGGGCGAGTGCGAGGCAGGCTGTGGGGGGGGGGGGGGATAATGTTTGGAGAAGTGACGGAGAGCGGCAGGTCCGGGCAAGTCGAACGGCCCGGCAGCTGCCTGGTAACGGCACTGAGGACATAGAATCCATTCAGGTCTCTCGCCAAGCTTGAGAAGGGCCCGCGGAAGTGGATGTCACCGAGCTACCTCTGAAAATCACTTCAAGTTGACCTCTGGAGAGGGCAGAGGGACTGGTGTTTAAACATCACTCCGGCTCCGCATATGAGAGGAATATTCTTCGTGTGACGGTCAAACTGATATATTAATTCTCAGAGCTGGAGTTTAGCCAAATTAGCCAAACCAAGGTTAATGTTGTTTCGATACCGTTACTGGTGACCTGAGAGATCCCATCACCCCGTACGTATATATGTTGAACTTTTTTCGCACCGTACGTAGTCAATCGTGCTAATCGGGGGTGCGGGGGAAAGACAACAACCTAAACACAGAAAGCAGTTCTGAAGGAATGAGTTTTTAAACTAGATGACTTAAAAGTGCATAGCTTCAGTGGCGTCCTAATATCGGAAGGGAAGAGCGTTCCAGACGGCTGCAGAAGCGCATCTGAAAGCGCCGTGCAATGCAGTGACCTCACGACACTTTAAGCAATGTTGGTTAAAACCCAGACTCGAACCCAGGCTTTTGGTGGTTCTGGTTCATTGCTCCGAGCCATGAGCCACCCCTGCCACCTCTCTCTTAAAGGCTGACGATGCCCTGTGCCCAAAGCGTTCACTTGGACACGGCTGGCAGCTACGGTGACAAGAATGACGCGATGGAAAATTATATTCGTTGTCCGCCCCCCCCCCGTCCTTTTTAAGAGCAGCAATTTTTACGTCTCAGTAAGCATTCAAATAACTTTGATTGTCGTGAAAGATGATAATGCTTCTCCGTTAAGCCGGGGTTTCTCAAGCGTAGCGAGCGAGCGCGTGGATGGTCTGAGGCAGGTGGCCAATGACTACATGAAAGAAAGTTCACGTTTCAGTGTTTAGCTTGCTTTAGCAGGTAGGGCTGTATTCAAGAGGCACAGTCGGCATTTTTTCGTAGGCCCTAGGCCCTTTACTTAGGCCCAAGGCCCCTTTAGTTTTCATAGTTTTTACAAACTAAAGGGCCAACGAAAAAAAGTGTTGACCACGTTCTTTTGTTTGTACGATCAAAAATGTAACCAAGATATCTTCTTGAATAAATACATTTACATAGCAAGGATAGGCACAGCGTTTTAAATGAAATCCGCTTACCCGCGGCACACGGCGCGCTCCCATCGAATGAGGGCACAGACGAAACAATGGAGCGTATCAGCAGTAACGAAATCTATGCGGCGGCTGGATGAAGTACCGTGGTGAAACAAGCGGAGTGACATTGGCGGTAGTCGTGACGTGGGGCAGCAGCAGCACCAACTGTAGGAAGTTGTCGCTAGAGGCCTACGCAACAGAAGTGCCTAGGGGCCTACAATAACCTTAATCCGGCCCTGTTAGAGAACTTAAGCGATCAGGAGCAGTAGAATTTCGAGTAGCTACCTGGTGCATTAGTTTGCCAGTGGAGGGCAGTGATTGCAGTGGGGCTTTGCCTGGTCGGATTGGGATGGTGTCGATTTATTTGTGTGTGTGTTTAGGAGATTTGTTTATCTCTCATGTACTTTGCACTCCTATCGTGTTTGTGTATTGCTTGTTGTTGTCACGTTCTGACCCCGTGCCCCTAATGAACATCTGTGTTAAAGAGCTTTATTGCTCATCAGATTCCTCCAGTCTAAAGAATCCCGATTGAATAATTTGCAGGTAATTTTTCAGAATTCGGATGTTTGGCCAATGCCAGTTACATTGTATGTTTGTTTTAGCTATGGGAGCAAGCCGGGGGACCCAGAGGAAACCCATGCGGAACAGGGGGAGAGAGAGAGAACGTACAAACTCCATACGGGAATGCGCCCAAGACAGGAATTGAACCCAGAGCCTTATTGCTACGAGGCGCGAGCGTTACCACTGCGCCACCGTCCTGGCGGTCTGATGCCAGGGCCGGGTGCGTGACACATGCAGGGCACCGTGATGCCACATTACGAGAGCACCCGTGCTCGTACGCACGTACGTACGTTGAACTTATTTTCGCGCCGTACGCACGCAAGCCAGCCGCGCTAACCGGAGGTGCGGCTCGCAGGTGAAATGCATTCAAGACGCCATTCGGGACAAGAAGAAGAGGTTCAACTTCCAAGGCGAGGAGATCAACCTGGTGCCATCGGTCGGCATCTTCATCACCATGAACCCGGGCTACGCCGGCCGCACCGAGCTGCCCGAGAACCTCAAGGCCCTCTTCAGGTGACCGTGGGAACGGCTGTTGGGCTCCCCCCCCCCCCTCGTGTGACCAGGAGAGTCTCAGTGGGCGAGGGCCAGGCCCCCGGACTGGGCCATTGGAGCAGCAGACCGTAGGGCAAATGCCCATTCCGAGAGTCGGTAGGGGGGCCGGACTGCGTGGGGAAATTACTTCCCCAATATTTTGTCAGCTCTAACGTGTGCGCTTCATTGCTTGTTGACGCTCTCGGTTGGCCTTAAGTCCCATCCACATTATCGTCAGCCCCCTTAAGAAGATTCCTTCTCACCGGCGACCCCATTTGTGTTTTTGGACCCGGCCCCGAACGGGCCCAGTGAGGATCGCACGGCAAAATCACGCTAACACGTCGTCACAGATCGAAACGTCGAGCTTGTTTGCAGTTTGTCATCGCATAACCCACAAAGTAAAAGAAAAAAAAATCAGTCGTGGACAAAGAGACGGTGAAAAAACGAAAAGTGGAGGTCGCCCTGTGTGCCATGCCGGCCTTCATAGGTGTCTACTCGCTAACAGCCCCAACAGTCCGTTAAAGGCTACACGGGGGGGAGGCGATCTTTGTTCTTTTGGCGGTTGTGTGCAGGCCGTGTGCGATGGTGGTGCCGGACTTCGAGCTCATCTGTGAGATCATGCTGGTAGCCGAGGGCTTCATCGAGGCGCGGCTGCTGGCTCGCAAGTTCATCACACTCTACCAGTTGTGCAAGGAGCTGCTCTCCAAGCAGGTGGGCTTCCCGGCCGCGGAACATCGCGGCCATTCATGCGACATAAACTGTTGCACTGGTAGGAACCTCCTGGTTACACCAGCCCACTGGGGATTATTGTGTCCGTCCGTCCATCGTGCAGGGAGGGGTTGGGTGGGGAGGGAGGGGATGGGTGGGGAGGGGAGGGTGGGAGGGGCTGGGTGGGGAGGGTGGGGCTGGGTGGGGAGGGGAGGGTGGGGAGGGGCTGGGTGGGAAGGGTGGGGAGGGGCTGGGTGGGGAGGCACTGGGTGGGGAGGGTGGGGCTGGGTGGGGGGTTGGAGGGGTGGGGCTGGGTGGGGAGGGGCTGGTCACCCCGTGGTGCCCTTATAAAACTTAACGTTTAACCTACTCACGCCTGCTTGTGCCCGCCCTCACAGTCGGGCATATTTGCGGAATACACTATGCCGCCGTTGACCCTGGCCATTGACCGAGCAACCCAACGTTCCTACCAGCTCCCTCCGCAGGAATGTGTTTTATCTATGCTAATGATGGAGCAAGTGCTCTGAGCGAAAGAATTTTAACATACATACGTATGTAACTGCTGCACAACCGCTCCCCACAAAAAAAGACAAAGATGCCACCGTATAGCCGTTACAGGCTGTTTGGGGTAAGTGCTGTTAGCGAGCGAAAAGACAAAGATACCCCCGTAAAGACGTTAAATATTAATCTAGATGTGAAGTTTTCGTGACTGCAGGGATCCATACTCTTTGGTTCTTTCGGTAAAGTCACGTAGGTATAAAATAAAATAAATTAAATCACGACGTTTCGATTGCAACACAAGCAATCATCATCAGGTGGGAAAACCACATCAAGAGAAATGTTTTTTTTTCTGCTGAAGTGGGAGAGAGATGCCGTAGTAAGAGGTTATGTAGGTGTTCCGTTACATATTGTTGGGGCAAGTGGTGTTAGCGAGCACCCACCCAAAACGCACGCACCTATTTCTCCATCTCCCGCTCGCTGTCTCCCAGGACCACTACGACTGGGGCCTGCGCGCGATTAAGTCCGTGCTGGTGGTGGCCGGCTCGCTCAAGCGCAGCGACCCGGACCGCCCCGAGGACCAGGTGCTCATGAGGGCCCTGCGCGACTTCAACGTCCCCAAGATCGTGACGGACGACCTGCCCGTCTTCATGGGCCTCATCGGAGACCTCTTCCCCGCTCTGGACGTCCCTCGCAAGCGCGACCCCGAGTTCGAGCGAGCCGTCAAGGAGTCGGTGCTCGACCTGAAACTTCAGGCGGAGGACAACTTTGTTCTCAAGGTAGCGGAGTTTATTGATTGTTGTTCTTACTCTACTTGTTTGCCCCGTAAGGCCTCGCTGAATCTCAGCAGGGAGAAATATTAAGCGATTTTTATTTTACCAGGTAAGGTTCCACTGAGCTATGTAGATTTTTTTTAGAAGCCACCTGGCTATCACAAATGAAAGCCCAACGAAGTGGTTTTATCATCACGTGGAAATTGATAGCAGCCAAATACTCTACACGCGCATCGAAGTGAAATGGGAGCTACGCAACTTTTAAATCATCGTCTAGATTGACAAACTCATTTGCTTGTTGTCCTTTCCCCAAACCTCTCCTTAGCACGGTTGGCTACGTACGGTACGAAAGAAGTTCAACATGGGCTATTACCTGTTTTTCCACAAATGGTAGCTCAACAAAGTGGCTTGCCGCTTGGAAATTTATCGCAGCCAAATACTCTACACGCGCGTCGATTCTAAATGTGGAGGGAAAAACTGGAGAGAGAGAGAGAGACGCAATCTCCAAATATACAGCAGCAGGCGTCATGGTCGGGATCGAACTGACGATCTCCTGCATACCAGGCGAGGTAGTTAACATCTCACCGTGGCGTAAAGTTAATTCCAAGTATTCAGGTGTCAGGGTCGGGATCGAACCCACGACCTCCTGTATACCAGGCGAGGTAGCTAATAATAATTATTCTATTTGACAATGCTCATCCCATCCCAGGATCGCAATGTGCAAAGCACGAAAAGCAGGAAACAAAAATCAGAACCAGGGGTACAACCGACCAAACTAGAGAGAGGGAAGGCCACTTTAAAGAGATGGCTTTTCAAAGCAGACTTGAACATTATCAGTTTCATCTTCTTGGTTCTTTCGGTAAAGTCACGTAGGCGGAAGAAGAGCACCTCCAACCCAGCTTAAATATACGCTCCAAGCTTGGTGGTGTTTCATTCTTCACCTGAGGACGGCTGCTTGCGTTGTAGCCGAAACATCGTGAGAATTATATTTTATTATGTTATATTTTTATTCTTTTATTATTTTCCTACTACGTGACTTTACCGAAAGAACCAAGAAGATGAATCCCTGCAGTCACGAAAGCTTTAAATCGAAATAAAATCATCAGTTTCCTTCTCGCCACCGCGGGACCCCCGGATTAAAGCGCGACCACCTCCCCGCATGCGCCCGCAGGTAGTGCAGCTGGAGGAGCTGCTGGCGGTGCGGCATTCGGTGTTCGTGGTGGGCGGCGCCGGCACGGGCAAGTCGCAGGTGCTGCGCTCGCTGTACCGCACTTACCAGTTGGCGCGGCGACGTCCCGTCTGGGCCGACCTCAACCCCAAGGCGGTCACCAACGACGAGCTGTTTGGCATCATCAATCCGGCGACCCGCGAGTGGAAAGACGGTATGTCGAAGGTCAAAAATGATCTCGTCGCTTCTGAGTAACCTCTTTGTAACATCATCGGTCGAACACACAATCTTACCCCGCACCTCTGATGAGCACGGTTGTCTATGTGCGTTGCGAAAGAAGTTCGTGAGCTGAACCAATGGCTTGACAATGTGTCGAGGGTCATAGGTTTTTACCCCTTTCAACTGGTACAAAACTGACACCTTTATACAAGGCACCATGTTTGCAATAATCACAACACAAGCAGTCAACATGCAAACAAAAAGAAACAACTCTGATGATGATAATGATATGCACTGTCCTTGAAGTTGATTGGTTCACACCCGAGACAGCTTTTCTTAGAGCCTAGTCTCCATTGGTATTGGACCAGATGACTCCAAAAGGCGTACAACTCAAAGACAGCGCACTATCAGAGTATTGAGAGCTCGGGGTAAGCATTTACACTACGAGATAACGTGGCACGCGATTCTAGGCGTGCGTCGCGAATGTGAGAACCGATTTGCACGCCGGGGGCCCTGACGTGAAACCACCTTGTGTTTTGTCGCTCGTAGCCAAACAGGCTCAGTGGCCGTGAGGCCGCGTGGTTCCGGGAGACGGAGGCACGGCAACGGGCGGTGCGGTCCACAGATAGATACGATCCACTCACCGGACTGAGCCTTTGGATGACATCTATCTGTGTGGAGCTTTTCGGTGTTGTTCCCCTCGCCGACGTGGTGTTTTCTTTTGGGTGCTCCTGGTTTTCTCGCACGTGGAGCCAAACGCTCATGAATCGAATTGGTCAAACACGGGAAGGTAGCAGGGCCCACCTGAACAAGGATGACACGGTGGCGAGATGTTAACTTCCTCGCCTGGTATACAGGAGGTCGTGGGTTCGATCCCGACCCTGACACCTGTATATTTGGAGTTTGCATGTTCTCTCTCTCTCTCCTCGTGGTCGTGTGGGGTTTTCTTCGGGTCTTCCGGGATTTCCCACCGCATTTAGAATCATGTTTTTAAGAGTATTTGGCTGCTATAAATGTCCACATGACGATAACCCACTTCGTTGAGCTATCATTTGTGGCCAGGTTGCTTCTGAAAAAGATCTGTTACGGCTCAGTGGGCCCTTGCCTGGTAAAATATACAGCAGACGTCAGGGTCGGGATCGAACTCACGACCTCCTGTATACGAGGCGAGGTAGTTAACATCTCGCCACCGCGGTACATTCTTGGCTGCCGCCCCCGCCTCCCTCCCCCAGGCCTCTTCTCAACGATCATGCGCGACCTGGCCAACATCTCGCACGACGGGCCCAAGTGGATCGTCCTGGATGGAGACATCGACCCCATGTGGATCGAGTCCCTCAACACGGTGATGGATGACAACAAGGTGAGGCGAGGCCGCACGTGGCGGCTCCGATGGGCTCGGTTGATTTGCACGTATGTACGTCGAACCTTTTTTGCACGGTACATATGATGTCATTTTATTTTAGTCATCGGCCGATGAATGAGTGTGACGGCCACGTGTCCTCGCTTGACCGCCAGGTGCTGACGCTGGCCAGCAACGAGCGGATCCCTCTCAACCCTACGATGCGACTTCTTTTCGAGATCAGCCACCTCCGCACGGCGACGCCAGCCACCGTCTCCCGAGCCGGTGTGTGTCTGTGTGTGCGCGCGTGTATGTGTAGTAGTGGGGAGCGGTGGTGTAGCGGTTAGCGCGCTGCGCTATGAACCTGGCGACCCGGGTTCGATTCCCGCTCACGGCTAACACCAGTGACAATTATCTGAACCGGTCCTGGGCCTCCCCTAGGTCGACTCAGCCTTAAACGAGTACCTGGTGCGGTGTGTAAACATCGCCACTGGGGAGACAAAGGCGGTCGGGCGTGGTGCTGGCCACCCCACCCCCTCGTTCGTGTACCGTTCTGGTCTTCATAGGTGCTCGCTAACAGCACTTGCCCCTACAGTCTGTTAAGGCTATACGGGGGATCTTTGTCTTTGTATGTGTAGTGGGCTCGAATTAGGTGCACACACACACACACAGCTTGGAGGCAACACTATTTATTAAACGGTAAGTAATATAACACCGCACATGAGGTGGTGATCACCTTCCTCAACTCACTAATCACTCTGGAACACGACACAGAGGGGACCAGGCAGGCTGCGGGCTGCCTGGTCCAGGACGACGACCCGGGATTTGAGGACCGATGATGTCGTCTTCACTTCGGAGTTCAACAGCCTCGCTCTGCGTTCACACCACGCTTATATCCGCTCCGGCGTGGCCGGCTCCGCCCAGGCGTGGCCGGCTCTGCCCAGGCCACGCCTCCCTTCCCAGGCCACGCCTCCCTTCCCCCACCTCTGGGAAGGTCTGGGTCCCTCCACCACGTGACCCCCCAGGCACCCCCTTGGGGCCCCCCAGCCCTCGTACGGGCCGACACAGTAGTGACGTCCTATGTCGCTACATATGTACGTGGGAGTGGCGGTGTAGCGGTTAGCGTTACGTTGCGCTACGAAACTGGCGAGCCGGGTTCGGTTTCCGGCTCACGGCCAACACCAGTGACGATTATCTGAACCGGTTCTGGGACTCCCCTAGGTCGACTCAGCCTCAAATGAGTACCTGATGCGGTGCGTAAAAACATCGCCACCAGGGAGACAAAGGCGGCTGAGTGTGGTGCTGGCCACCCACCCCCTCGTGTGCCGTTCTGGCCTTCATAGGTGCTCGCTAACAGTACTTGCCCCGACAGTCTGTCAAGGCTATACGGGGGATCTTTGTCTTGTATTTACGTGTGTATGTTGAACTTCTTTCGCACCATACGTAGCCAACCGTGCTGAACGGAGGTGCCACATGGGCTCTCACCCGGTCGCAACATCCACCCGTCCCTCCCCGTCCGGCGACTCTGTGTGGGCTAACGTCGCCTTGTGACCCTTGCAGGAATCCTCTACATCAACCAGGCGGACCTGGGGTGGAACCCGCCGGTGAGCAGCTGGGTGGACGGGCGGGAGGTGCAGTCTGAGCGGGCCAACCTCAGCATCCTCTTCGACAAATACCTGCCCATGTGCCTGGACACGCTACGCACACGGTAACAAACTAAACAAAGACAGAGGTCTCCTCCCCACCACCCGTATAGCCTCAGTAGAATTTTGGGGAAAGTGCTGTTAGCGAGTAGCACGTATGATGATGATGATGATGACGACGACGACGGGGATGAGGGCTGTGGTGGATTTGTGCCCCCCCGTGAGTTAGTGAGTTGAGCGTCGGTCAACATGGGTTCCTGCAGGACGAACAGGTCTCCCATCGCACTTCTGACACCGCCGCATCGACCGCTGGCGTGCGTGCGTGCGTGCGTGACCCCACCTATTTGCAGGTTCAAGAAGATCATTCCCATTCCGGAGCAGAGCATGGTGCAGATGCTGTGCCACCTGCTGGAGTGCCTGCTCACGCCCACCAACACGCCGCCCGACAGCCCCAAGGAGCTCTACGAGCTCTACTTCGTCTTTGCCACCGTGTGGGCCTTCGGCGGGGCAATGTTTCAGGACCAGGTGAGTTGGGCGTGACGGGGGTGGGGGGGCGGGGAAATGTTTCAGGACCAGGTGAGTTGGGCGTGACGGGGGTGGGGCAGAGGTCGCAACCGGGTACCCGATACCCGTACCCTACCCGATACCCGGCTACCCGTACCCGGCCGGGTACGGGTACCCGTTTGCGAGCCTGATGCGGCCGGGTACGGGTACGGGTAGGCCGTGAGTCACTGGTGAGTAGCCGTTGGTCACTCATTTCGGGTAGGGTACGGGTACGGGTAGGGAACGGGTATCCGTACCCGGCCGGGTACGGGTACCCATTTGCGACCCTGGTGCGGCCGGGTACGGGTACGGGTAAGGAATCAAAACCCGTTTGCGACCTCTGGGGTGGGGGCAATGTTTCAGGACCAGGTGAGTTGGGCGTGACGGGGCGGGAGGGGGTGGGGCCCGGCGCGGAGGCTCGTGCCTCACAGCAGGAAGGTTGCCCCTGGGTTCGATTCCCAGCGCAGGAACCGCCTTTGCGTTCGGAGTTCGTGTGTGTCGTACACCCTGCACCAGCCGACGCAGCCATTTCCGCGCCGAACACTGCTCGAAAGCATTCGTGATCCGCGATGGAGCAGAAACGTCTTCGATTGCAGCTGCTTCTTCCCTAGGCAGGGAGAATTAACGATTCATCGATGCAACGAATTAAGTAGATTCTTTCAAAGATTTAAAAAAACGTGTCTTTTCCCCCCAATGTTATTTATTTTTCGTGATTCGTATGTACGTTGAACTTCTTTCGCACTGTATGCAGCCACCGGGGGTGCAGGGGAAGGACAGCGCAGTGGAAGTTAAAGATTCCAAGACGTTGTTCACGAAAGAGCCGGCGCCACGGTCCAAAATTTGCCAAATTATGAAATGTCCTAGGAAATTATTCAATTGGGATCAGATAGAGACAAGGATCCCCCCCGTACAGCACCTATGTAGCACCTACATGAATGCCGGCACGGCACACAAGGGGGTGGGTGGCCAATACCACGCTCGGCCTCTCCCCAGTGATGATGTTTACTACACACCGCACCAGGTACTCATTTGAATACTGAGTCGACCTCGGGAAGGCCCGTGACCGGTTCAGACAATCGTCACCGGTGTTGGTGGCCGTGAGCGGGAATCGAACTCGGGTCGCCGGGGTTCGTAGCGCAAGCGCGCCATCCGCCGCACCACCTGCCCCTCTCCCACTCAGCAGCAGCAGCAACAACATTGCTCTCCCTCTCGGTGTCCGTGAAAACGTCGGCGATGATCGCCCCTGAGGCTGCGACGAGTGACCGCGCCCAGTGCCCGGACGTTGCCAAGCTGACCTCCCCGAACCCTGCCCCCCCGCAGCTCGTTGACTACCGCATGGAGTTCAGCAAGTGGTGGGTGACCGAGTTCAAGACCATCAAGTTCCCGTCGCAGGGCACCGTCTTCGACTACTACATTGACCCCGAGAGCAAAAAGTTCGAGCAGTGGACAAGACTCATCCCCAAGTTCGAGCTGGATCCGGAGATTCCGCTTCAGGTGAGGCACGGCGGTCGGTCGGTCGGTCGGCAGGTCGCGTGTGGGTACTCCCGCTGCTTGCAAAACGTCTGGCCGCCGTGGGGAGTGGGCCAAAGTTCCATATTTGGGGGGGGGGGGGCCCTCAAGAGACATTTCTTTCAATTATTTTAACTACCAACTACCTCGCCTGGTATGCAGGAGGTCGTGGGTCCGATCCCGACCCTGACGCCTGTTGTATAGGTGGAGTTACTATGTTCTCACTGTCGTCGCGTGGATTTTTCTCCGGGTCCTCCGGTTTTTCCGCTCCCCATTTGGAATCGACGTCACTCGTTCAAAGTATTGATAAGCCACTTCGTTGGGCTATCATTTGTGATGGCCATGTGCGCTTCTACACAGCTCAGGGGGGCCTTACCTGTTAGCGTAAAAAAATGGTCGAGTGTGCTCGGCGGATAAGGAGAAATGTGTCGCTGTTGGTTCGTCGCCGCCGCGTCTCGCAGGCGTGCATGGTGCACACGATGGAGACGATGCGCGTGCGCTTCCTCATGGACCTGCTGATGGAGCGCCGGCGGCCCGTCATGCTGGTGGGCGGAGCCGGCACGGGCAAGTCGGTGCTGGTGGGCGACAAGCTGTCGGCGCTGGACGGAGACGCCTACGCGGTGAAGAACGTGCCCTTCAACTACTACACCACCTCCGCCATGCTGCAGGGTAAGGAGCCCCGGGGCTTCTGCTCCTTTTCCACTGGCACATCCGAGCCGTACCAAGCCCCCGGGGCCGTCGTGGTACCGGAGCGGGGGGTTGCCGCTGAGCGGTTGCCGTGCCGAGCCGGAGCCAAACCACGAAACGCCGGCCGAATCTGGCTGGAGGCCAAGCAGGGCCAGGGGCGTGGCTAATGGATTGACAGGAGGCTCTTGCGTGCACATTTTTAGTCACCCTGAGATTAACACGTAGGCTTTCGCGACCAATATTATTCATAATCAACGTTTTTGGGTTTAGAACGCAGACTGTTTTAAAAGGTTTGAAATGGGTGAAGCCAAACGGTCATAAAGAAGTGGCCGGGGCTGGTGATGTTAATGTGACAAATTAGCATGATGTTAATGTGAGAGATTAGCATGATGTTAATGTGAGAGATTAGCATGAATTTAGTGTGAGAAATGAGCGTGATGTTAATGTGAGAAATTAGCATGCAGCTGTAAGATAGGAGGAGAGTGGCCTCCTGGACGAGGACACGGAAGTGGCTATGTTAATGTGAGAGATTAGCATGATGTTAATGTGAGAGATTAGCATGATGTTAATGTGAGAGATTAGCGTGATGTTAATGTGAGAGATTAGCGTGATGTTAATGTGAGAGATTAGCATGATGTTAATGTGAGAGATTAGCATGATGTTAATGTGAGAAATTAGCGTGATGTTAATGTGAGAGATTAGCATGATGTTAATGTGAGAGATTAGCATGATGTTAATATGAGAAATTAGCATGTAGCTGTAAGATAGGAGGAGAGCGACCTCCTCGACGAGGGAGTGCATCCCAAAGGGTGCAATCCAAAGGGCATGTGAGTATGAGAGTGCAATCCAAAGGGCATGTGAGTATGAGAGTGCAATCCAAAGGGCATAAGAGCATGAGAGTGCAATCCAAAGGGCATGCGAGTACAATAAAGAGGACATGTGAGCATGAGAGTGACACGGCCGTGGCTGCCCCCCAGCCGTGCTGGAGAAGCCGCTGGAGAAGAAAGCGGGCCGTAACTACGGTCCGCCGGGCACCAAGAGGCTGGTCTACTTTGTGGACGACATGAACATGCCCGAGGTGGACGCCTACGGCACGGTGCAACCGCACACGCTCATCCGCCAGCACCTGGACTACAACCACTGGTGAGCGGGGAGGGGGGGGGGAGTAGGTGGAGGTGGAACAGCAACAGCGGCACCCTTGGCCCCTGCGGATTCCGAGCCGGGCCGTTGGGGCTCGCGACGCCGTGGCGCGAGGGTTTGTCGCCTCTTTGCTGGTTCTGTTCCCAGGTAGTCTCTTTCGTGGAAGCAAGTCTGTAAGTCATCCCGGGACATTAAAGTTTTCTTTTCAATTGATAGTAAAATAAGTAAATTTTTATTTAGTAAAATAATTTCTAATCATTATTATAATTATTCATCATCACCATCACGATCACGATCCATGGGGCAGATAGCACGTGAGGTTTCCTCTGTCTCGTGCCGATATGCTGAAGTAGTGCACCACATCGTTCTAGCACCTGATGTCTCTGTTAGGTCTTCATCTCCTGCCGGTTCCTTCCATTTTCCCGAACAATGCGCTTTGCATTTTTCCTGTCCTTTTGACCTCCCGTCGTGCCGGGAGATCAAAACGAACCGGTAGGACGTGGGGGGGGGGGGGGGGGGTAATCTGCGTCGCAAGTTCAGCGTTGCCAACCGTTCCACCACCGTGGCCGCACGGCCCAGCGCCGTGTTCCACGCGCGCCGCCGATCACCGCTGCGTCGCGAGCGTGACGACGGCACGTGACGCGTGCGTCTGCCCCCCGTGCGCAGGTACGACCGTCAGAAGCTGAGCCTCAAGGAGATTCACAACGTGCAGTACGTGGCCTGCATGAATCCCACCGCCGGCAGCTTCACCATCAACTCGCGTCTCCAGGTGCCGTTCCCCCCCCTCCACCCCAGCACCCCCCCCCCCAACCCAATCCCCCCTCCCGATCGCAGACGCTTCTGCCTTAGGCAGGGAGAATTGACGTTTGATCGATGCGCCGAGTAGAGTAGATTCTTGAAAGGAGATATTATTTTTTTACTTTTCCCCCCAATGTTATTTATTTTTAGTGACTTGTACGTATCTTGAACATCTTTTGCACCTTTCGATTTAAAGCTTTCGTGACTGCAGGGATTCATCTTCTTGGTTCTTTCGGTAAAGTCACGTAGAAGGGAGGTAATAAAATAATAAAAATAAAACATAATAAAATAATAATAAAATAATTCTGGATTTATTTTATTATGTTTTATTTTTATTATTTTATTACCTCCCTTCTACGTGACTTTACCGAAAGAACCAAGAAGATCTTTCGCACCGTACGTAGCCAGCCGTGCTATTCGGAGGTGCGGGGGAAGGACAACCAGCTCAACACACAAAGCAGTTCTAAAGAAAGGAGTTTTCAATCTGGATTTAATAGTGCATAGCTTCGGTGTCTTCCCAACGCTAATCTTTCCTGTACTTTGCACTCCTTTTGGTTGTATAGCTTCTTGTGTAACGTTCCGACCCCCATACCCCGACTGGACATTCGAGCTTTACAGATCGTCGGATTCTTCTAGTCTAAAGATTCCCGATTCTAGATTTGAAGTTTTCGTGACTGCAAGGATCCATACTCTTTGGTTCTTTCGGTAAAGTCACGTAGGTAAAAAATTTAAATAAATTAAATCACGACGTTTTGGAGGCAACACAAGCTTTCGTCTTCAGATGGAACCGTCACAGCAAAATTTGATAAAGTGACAAAAAATAAAATAAAAAATAAAATAAATTAACTCACGACGTTTCGGGCGCAACACAAGTGTTCTCCATCAGGTGGGACCACCACAGGCAGAAGCAACTGCTGGAATGGGTAAGAGAGCTGCAGAGAGCTAGATTTTATTGATTTTCTTTTTCTTTTTTTAACTTTTATTATTTCTTACCTACGTGACTTTACCGAAAGAACCAAAGGGTATAGATTCCCGATTCCTGCTTCTGTTATCCCCGATCGTGCAATCGGCGTCGCGTGGTGAGGCGAGGAAAGTCGTGCGTAGAATCTCTCGGAGCGGCGAGTCGGCCCGTGGTGCTGGGGAGAGGGGCGGCATGCTGGACGTCGCCTTGCCGTCACGCGCCAGTTTCGTCCTCGAGACGATGCGGTTTAAAATGTCACCGCTGCGGCTCGCCGAGTCTCGGAATTCTCTCTCTCTTTCGTCGCTAGAGTCCCGCTGAATTGTGATGTTTGGACCACTGCCGTGAATGAGTGAGTGAGTGCGTGTGTGTCCGTGGGCGGCTTCATCAATCGCTGTGTTCTCCCTGTTCCCTGGAGGAACCCCCGAGAGGGAGGGTTCATTCTAGCTCTGCCAGATGGAGTTTGGCCAGAAGGCGTCATAAACGCCTGTCCCTCTGGGGTCTCTAGAGGAGCGATGATCACAACAACGAGCGAAACCTCACTTGGCACAGTAGGGGGTACAGCTGGTGCATCTGCCAGTCATCTCAGTCAGCCAACCCACGGCACCTGGGTCCGTCCCGTAACCTCCTGTCGGCGAGCCTTCGACACTTCACGTGGCCTCAAAGTGCACCTGGCCTGGCACAGGCGTCACGGTGACGTCACCGTCACTTAGTGGCGAATGGCGGGTATTGGTATTGGCTTCATCAATGGGGGGGGAGCGGTGGCACAGCGGTTAGCGCGCTGCTGCGCTACGAACCCAGCAGAGACCCGAGTTCGATTCCTGCTCACGGCCACACGATGCATCTGAACCGGTCCTGGGCCTCCCCTCGGTCGACTCAGCCTCAAATGATGTCCTGGTGCAGTGGTGTGTGAACATCGATGGGATAAACGAGAGAACACCGCACGTCCTTACGTCATTGTCCCCCCCCACCTCCCGCCGACCTCCCGCAGCGCCACTTCTGCGTATTTGCGCTCTCCTTCCCGGGCTCCGAGGCGCTGTCCAGCATCTACAGCTCCATCCTGGGGCAGCACTTGCGCGGCAGCAGCTTCCCTGCGGCCGTGCAGAAGACGGTGCCGGCGCTGGTGGGCCTGGCGCTAGCGCTGCACCAGAAGGTGTCCTCGGCCTTCCTGCCGACGGCCGTCAAGTTCCACTACATCTTCAACCTGCGCGACCTCTCCAACGTTTTCCAGGTGCGCCACGGTTGGCGAGGTGTTAACTTCCTCGCCTGGTATACAGGAGGTCGCGGGTTCGATCCCGACCCCGCTGAGGCCTGTTGTATATTTTGAGTTTGCGTGTCTCTCTCTCTCCCCGTGGTCGCGTGGATTTTTCTACGGGTCCCTCCGGTTTTTCCCCCTCTACATTTAGAATCTGGCTGCTAGAAATGTCCACGTGATGATAAGCCCACTTGGTTGGCTTATCATCTGTGATGGCCAGGTCGCATCTGAAAAAGAGATCTACATAGCTCAGTGGGGCCTTTACCTGCTAAAATTAACAAAAATAGTTTAGTAGTTTTAGTATCGACTCCTGAGCCCCACTGGGCCACGTCTTGCGTAATCGATCTCTTTGCCATGTCCGTGTCGCCAGGGCATCCTATTCTCCACGCCCGAGTGCATCAAGGTGCCCCAGGACCTGATGAAGCTCTACCTGCACGAGTCGAACCGCGTCTACCGGGACAAGATGCTGGACGAGAAGGACTTCCAGAACTTTGACAAGATCCAGGTCGACACCGTCAAGAGGTTCTACGATGTGAGTCGCCGACGGGCGGAAAGCGCTCACCGTCGCGGCCGTCAGCGTGGCGGTCACTCTTTACTGCGAACATTTCGGTGGCGAAATGTTGACTACCTCGCCTGGTATACGGTCGTGGGTTCGATCCCGACCATGACGCCTGCTGCATATTTGAAGTTTGCACTGTCCTTTCTCCCCGTGGTCGCGTGGATTTTTTCTCCGGGTCCTCCGGTTTTTCCCTCGACATTTAGAATCAATGTGCGTTTAGAGTATTTGGGCACTGTAAATTTCCACACGATAAGCCACTTTGTTGAGCTGTTATCTGTGGCCAGGTCGCTTCTGGGCCTTACCTGGTAAAATAAAAAATAGTTTACTTTAGTTTGGCTTTGCGCACGTGTGCAATGCGGGGGGGTCGTGCTGACTCTCGTAAAGGTGATCCAATGAGAATGAAACTTCAGTCTAAAGTTGTGCCGCTGTTAGGGACTCACCCTTTTGGAAAGTGGCCACGCTGATCAAAGCGTCCATCGCCACAAACTTACGCATAAAGCGAATGTCCCAACGCGTTTTCTGCCGACACACGCGCATCGGCTCCCGTACCGTCGATCGATACTTTAATATTTTTTGTTCATTTTTTTTTGCGCTCGTAGTTCATGAAAGTTGGTAAACGGTGAAGCGGGCACGCGTGCCCTACTTTAGATCGGCTCTTGAGCGCGTGGCTCGCTCGCAAACGCTACGAGACGAGGGAGATCGGTGCGGCGGTGGCTCCGCAAACGCCACCGTGCGTGCCACTCGCCCCCCACTCGCCGTCGCTTAAAAGTAAAAAATAAATTCCAAATACGACGCCGTTTTCAATCCCCGCGCTGCCCTCCCTCTAGGACATAGACGAGACCCTGGCGCAGGCGCAGCAGATGAACATCTTCTGCCACTTTGCGAGCGGCGTGGGCGAGCCCAAGTACCTGCCGGCGGCCAGCTGGGAGTCCCTGAACCGCATCCTCGTGGAGGCCCTGGACAACTACAACGAAACCAACGCCGTCATGAGCCTGGTGCTCTTCGAGGACGCCATGGCCCACATGTGCGTGCGTGCGAGTACGCGTGTCTTTGTGAGCGTGGCCGCATGTGCGTGCGTACGTGCGTGGGTTTGTACGCGCGTGTGTATCTTTGCGTGAGTGCGTGCGAGTGCGCGTGTCTTTGTGAGCGTGGCCACATGTGCGTGTGTACGTGCGTGGGTTTGCATGCGTGTGTGTATCTTTGCGTGCGTGCGAGTGCGCGTGTCTTTGTGAACATGCGCGCGTGTATTTTCACGCGCGCATGCTCACAAAGACACCACTGACTTGCGTAGTAAAAAGAATAATTCACACCGTGCTAAGATTGGGATTCTCTCACTTTGACCAAATTCCAGCTCTGAGAATTCTAATGATCGGTTTGACTCGGGACAGGTGGGCAGTTCTGGCCCGTTTCCGTGTGAACAAGACGTCACTTGAAGGGATCTCGAAAGTAGTTCAATGATAGCATTGGAACCTCATTTGCCAGTAAAAAATATGATTATTGTTTTTTTACCCTTCTATCTGGCAACAAAACTGACACCTTTTTTACAAGGAGTCATGTTTGCATAGACCACAATACCTGCAGCCATAATGCAAACAAAAAACACAACTGTCCTTGAAGTTGATTGGTCCACACCCGAGACAGCTTTCCTTAGAGCCTAGTCACACATGGGTTGGACCAGATGACGCCAAAAGGTGCACTATCAATTATTATAGTTCAATGATATCCACTTCCGCGGGCCCTTTTCACACACAGTGGGTTGCATTGCTTCGCAAGAGTTTCCCGAATGGATCCGTGGTCTCGCGTGACGTGACGCCGATCACAGGATCAGGATAAAACATTGGGGGAATAACAAACACCCACCAACAATTCGAAGCTGTTTTTGTGTCCTCGTGCGGTGGACGGGGGGGAGCAGCTGCCGCATAAACCGCATCCTGGAGTCGCCGCGCGGCAACGCGCTGCTGGTCGGCGTCGGGGGCAGCGGGAAGCAGAGCCTCACCCGCCTGGCCGCGTTCATCAGCTCCATCGAGGTCTTCCAGATCACGCTCAAGAAGGGCTACGGCATCCCTGACCTCAAGGTGAGGCTTGCTTCCGCCGGGCCGCCGCCGTTACATCTTTCTCCCAACCTTGCAGCCGGGACAGCGCCGGGGCTTTGCCGAACCAGCCCCGGCACGGCTCAGGAGATGCCCGCTCGGTTATCTTGGTGTGCAATTAACCCCCTTGCCGTTACGAGGCTGTCCGCAAGTCGCAGGGTGGGGTGGGTGTCCCCGTTCGCCGCTGAATCTTGGAACGCGCGAGCGGCTCGCTCGGAGAGGCGGAAGCGGCGGCGCCGCCGTTGCTTTTTGAAGACGTCGTTACTCGCCGCAGGGAACCGTAGCGGCACGGGTGGTCACCGGTGTATTAGAAACACGCATCATGGGACCTCCTTTGCCAGTACCAAAATATGAGAATAGGTTTACAATTGAACTGAGCTATTAGCTTATTTTTTCAGAAGCGACCTGGCCACAAATGAAAGCTCAACGAAGTGGCTTATCACGTGGACATTTATCGCAGCCAAATACTCTAAATGTGTGTTTCTGAGAATACGTTTTCCCCTTTTATCTGGCAACAAAACAGGTGTTGAGATGTTAAAACACCAAACTGAAACCTTTTACAAGGAATCATGTCTGCATTAACCACAATGCTTGTGGTCAGAATGCAAACAAAAAACATACTCTGATAATGTATGCTTTGTCTTTGAAACTGAAAGCTGTCTCTGGTGTGGACCAATCAGTTTCAAAGACAGTGCATATATTATCAAAGTATTTATTCTGCTTGGACTCTGACCACAAGAATTGTGATTAATGCAGACATGATTCCTTGTAAAAAGGTTTCAGTTTTGTTGCCAGAAAAAAGGGGAAAAACCCTATTATTATATTTTGGTACTGGCAAAGGAGGTCTAATGATCAAATTCTCGTTTGCTGTGTGGGTCCTGTCCCGACCCCTGTAGGCCGACCTCGCGAACCTCTACATCAAGGCTGGCGTGAAGAGCCTGAGCACCTTGCTACTGATGACGGACGCCCAGGTGGCCGATGAGAAGTTCCTGGTTCTGGTCAACGACCTCCTGGCCTCGGGTGAGCCTGGGTGACGAGGCCCGATGAATTGCAACTCGCAGCTCTACGGCACGCCTGGCAAAACACATGGGCAGGCTGCAGCGTGTGCAGCGTTCTCTGGCGCGTGACGGTGACGGGGCACTTCAAGATCCGACGCCGTGTATGTCCAGTGCTTGCCGAGCTGCATTGGCTTCCGTTTGCCGAACGATTACGTGATAGTAGAGGTTTTTTTTTTTTGGGTTAGATCGTGTAAATATTTAAATGTGTCATCAGCAATATGGAGATTTTGTCAGGTGCTCTCAGTGTTGCCTTGTGGTGATGTCACGGTTGTTGTGGTGGTGGAAGTGATGATGTGATGCTTTTTGTGGTGGTGATGATGTGACGGTTGTTGTGGTGGTGATGTGACGGTTGTCGTGGTGGTGGAGGTGATGATGTGCCAGTTGTTGTGGTGGTGGCGATGTGATGGTTGTTGTGGTGGTGTAGGCAATGATGTGACGGTTGTTGCGGTGGCGATGATCTGACGGTTGTTGCGGTGGAGGTGGTGATGTGACGGTTTGTTATTGTTGCGGCGGTGGTGGTGGTGGGGCCTGCCTCGCGTGTACGCAGGCGAGATCCCGGACCTGTTCCCCGACGACGAGGTGGAGAACGTCATTAGCAGCGTGCGCAACGAGGTGAAGGCTGCCGGCCTCATGGACACGCGCGAGACCTGCTGGAGGTTCTTCATCGACCGCGTGCGCAGGAACCTCAAGGTGACGGGATGCGGTGGAGTAGCAAAGCTGGTTGTAGGAGGCAGCGCAGGCAATATGGGCGGCAGGGTGGTGACGCACTGTCAACGCTCGTGCCTCACAGCGAGAAGCGCCCAGGGTTCGACACCTGACTTGGGGTGCCTTTTCTATTTGGAGGTGCGGGATCGGACGCGCTTTCCTTTCATCGCTCAAAGAAAACAGTAAAACGTAACCGGTATTGGCCAACCGTCCCGCGATGCAGTGACCGTCTTTGTTCGACGGTTAGCCGAAAATCCATTGCGAGGATGACCGGAGCTCGCGTGATGGTTTATGCTCCCGAACGGGATCAGCAAGGTATTGTGGTTAATTTGTGGCGAGCAATCTTCGTTCGGCAACTGGAAGCCAATGCAGCTCAGCATTGCAGTACCCCATCACGTCACGTGCCAGAGAACGCTGTACACATGGCTGATGCATCTACATCAGCCATGTTTCCCCACGACGGCCTCACTGGGGTGCCGCGGTGGCAAGAGGTTCACTACCTCGCCTGGTATACAGGAGGTCGTGCGTTCCATCCCGACCCTGGCGCCTGCTGTATATTTTGAGTTTTAATGTTTTCCCCGTGGTCGTGTGGATCTTTCTCCGGGTCCTCCGGTTTTCCCCCCCACATTTAGAATAAACGTCACACTTTCAGAGTTCTTTGGCTAATATACATTTACACGCGATGATGATAAGCCACTGCCTTGGTGCTGTCATTTGCGATCGCCATGTCGCTTCTGAAAAAGAGCTATATAGCTCAGTGATGCCTTACTTGGTAAAATTAAAATAGTTTAGTTATAGTTATTTATGAGTCTCAAGACCCCCCCCCCTGCCGCTCCCCCCCCACCGCAGGTGGCGCTGTGCTTCTCTCCCGTGGGGAACAAGCTGCGTGTGCGCGCCCGCAAGTTCCCGGCCGTGGTCAACTGCACGGCCATCGACTGGTTCCACGAGTGGCCGCAGGTGGCACTGGAGTCGGTCAGCCTGCGCTTCCTGCAGGAGACGGAGAGCATCGAGGTGAGCGGAGGGTCCACGCGGAAAGCCCCCAGGGGATGTGGAGCGCCAGCGAGCGTCACACACAAGGGCAGGACACGGCCCCGCTGCTTGATTTTGGTTTTGATTTAAAGCTTTCGTGACTGCAGGGATTCATCTTTCGGTAAAGTCACGTAGAAGGGAATGACGCTGTCTTTCCGACAGCCCTGTTCTTCACCTGAGGACGGCTGCTTGCGTTGTCGCCGAAACAGTCGTGAGAATTGTATTTTATGATGTTTTAATTTAATTATTTTATTATTTCCCTTCTACGTGACTTTACCGAAAGAACCTAGAAGATACTTCATTTTGGTGGCCGCAAATTCGGACTTTTTCTCCCGGGTTGGGTAGGCGGCCTAATTTTTTTAATTTTTTTGACTGAATATATTTCCCCGGTCGCTTGCGGACAAGGAGCAGGCACCTGTGGATTGTGCCGCGGTTGCTTTAATGGCAAAAATATAAAATGAAAAGTACACGCCGTCCGCTTCGCAGTGGATGTTAAGGGTCCTGAGATTTTATTTCAGAAAGAGTAGTAGGCCACGTTCGCCGGTGTCACGTTACCATGATGCCTAATTTGATAAATTGCTCCCAAATCGGTAAGATGGGAAAGTCCACATAGTGACGGCACCCTCCTCCTTTCGGCTGGCTAATCCCTACTTTTTGGTCGACTGCTGTGTTCACCTTGCGCCAGTGGCCACTGAGGGTCTCCTAGGCTGGCCGCGGTGGTGAGATGGTAACTCATACTCTTAGTTCTTTCGGTAAAGTCACGTAGGTAAAAATGAAATAAAAATTTATAAAAATAAAACAATAAAATCACGACGTTTCGGAGGCAACACAAGTCTCCGTCGTCAGATGGGACCATCACAGCCAGATTTGCTTTACCGAAAGAACTAAGAGTATGAATCCTTGCAGTCACGAAAGCTTCAAATCTAGAAGATGGTAACTCCCTCGCCTGGTGTACAGGAGGTCGTGGGTTTTATCCCGACCCTGATGTTTCTTGTATAATTTGGAGCTTGCATGTTTTCTCTCTCCCCGTGGTCGCGTGGATTTTTCACCGGGTCGTCCGGTTTTTTCCGTCCACATTTCAAATCGACGCGCGTTTGGTGTATTGGGCTACCGCTATGAATTTCCACGTGATGATGATGATGAGACAACCAGATCGCTTCTGAAAACGAGCTACGTAGCTCAGTGGGGCCTTAACAGTCAAATAAAAAATAGTTTAGTTTAGACCGCAGCGGGGCGTCGCAACGGTCTAAGATGAGACGCGATTCCAGCCGCTGTGATTCACCGAGGCATTTGAGCGAGCGCCCTCCAAATCCTTATCGTTGCCCTCCCGCCGTCCTTCCTCCCTCTCCGTGTCTCTCCAGCCGAGCGTGCGTGAGTCGGTGAGCAAGTTCATGTCGTTCGTCCACACGAGCGTGAACGAGATGTCGCGGCAGTACCTGGCCAACGAGCGGCGGTACAACTACACGACGCCCAAGTCCTTCCTGGAGCAGATCAAGCTGTACCAGAGCCTGCTGGCGAGCAAGCGAGCGGAGCTCACCGCCAAGATGGAGCGTCTGGAGAATGGCCTGCAGAAGTTGCAGAGCACCTCGGCGCAGGTGCGGCTCCTCTCCGTGACGCTTGTGGACACATGGCCGGCTTCGTGAACCATTTTACCACCGGTTTCTTTCAAATCTCCAACACGACCACGTGAGAGAGAGAGAGAGACGGACACACGCGAACTACAAATATACAACAGGCGCCGTCAGGGTCGGGATGGATCCCGTGACCTACGGCGCATCAGGCGAGGTAGTTGACAACGCACCTGCCCTTCTTGGTGGTTTCTCTGCCGAGCAGCGGCCCCGGCACGGGGTCCACCGGCATCTCGCCACCATGGCGCAAAGCGTTTGGGGGAGGTGGCGGGGGGGGAAACGGTCTCGCCTCTCTTCCCACGCTCGCCGCTCGCTCGGAGTTGCGGAGCGATCTCGCCGCCGTCTGAACTTGGTCGACCGCCCCCCCCCCCCCCCCGACCGCTCTCCCTCCGCCTCGCCCGCGCACGCAGGTGGACGACCTGAAGGCCAAGCTGGCGTCGCAGGAGGTGGAGCTGAAGCAGAAGAACGAGGACGCCGACAAGCTGATCCAGGTGGTGGGCGTCGAGACGGAGAAGGTGTCCCGCGAGAAGGAGATCGCCGACGGCGAGGAGGCCAAGGTGGCCGTGTTCGCCGAGGAGGTGGGCAAGCAGCAGCGCGATTGCGCCGAGGACCTGGCCAAGGCCGAGCCGGCGCTGATCGCCGCGCAGGATGCCCTCAACACCCTCAACAAGGTGCGGCGTCACCGGGGTTTGTTTTTCAGTGAGCGGTTCGGTGCGTTGATGGGCGCTCGGCTTAATCCCGGGGCACCACGGTGTGCGAGATGTTAACTAACTCGCCCGGTATGCAGTAGGTCGTGGGTTCGATCGCGACTCTTGACACCGTTTCTCTCTCTCTCTCCTCGTGGCCGCCTGGATTTCTCTCCGGGTCCTCCGATTTTTCCCTCTGCATTTAGAATCGACGTTTGTACCGCCATGCATTTCCACGTGATGATAAGCCACTTCGTGGGGCTATTATTTGTGATGGCCAGGTCACTTGGTAGGGCTCAGTAGGCCCTACCTGGTGACATAAAAACAACATATAGTTGTTAGTGTTTGTAATCGGCGGCCCCTCGGACGGACGAACGAGTCATTTCAATGAGCGATTTGGCTGATGAACGAGTGATTTGGCTGATGGACAGTTGGAATCATCGAAGGGCAGTTGGGCATTGTCGCCTGTTATCTATATTTTTTCCATTCAAAGAAATACGTGTGATTGACGAGCGTGCCGTTTCTTCGAGGGGCTCGCACTGCGAGCGCCGGGCCCTCCCGCTAACGCCCACGCGGTAAGGTGCGGTGCGGTGCGGAAACGCAGCCTCTTGACACCGGTGAACTTTGACCGTCGCTCGCCCCCCGCACCCCCCCCCCCCCGGGCCATCCCCCCCCCTCCATCCCCCCCATCTCGCAGAACAATCTGACGGAGCTGAAATCGTTCGGCTCCCCGCCCCCGGCCGTGATCAACGTGACGGCGGCCGTGATGGTGCTCATGGCTCCCGGCGGGCGTATCCCCAAGGACCGCAGCTGGAAGGCGGGGAAGATCATGATGGCGAAGGTGGACCAGTTCCTGGACTCGCTCATCCACTTCAACAAGGAGAACATCCATGAGAACTGCCTCAAGGCCATAAGGCCCTACCTGCAGGTGCCCCGTGCACACGCGCCGTGACCTCCACCCACCACCCCCGTGCACACACACCGTGACCTCCACCCACCACCCCCTTACACACACACACACCGTGACCTCCACCCACCACCCCCGTGCACACACACCGTGACCTCCACCCACCACCCCCGTGCACACACACCGTGACCTCCACCCACCACCCCCGTGCACACACACCGTGACCTCCACCCACCACCCCCGTGCACACACACCGTGACCTCCACCCACCACCCCCGTGCACACACACCGTGACCTCCACCCACCACCCCCGTGCACACACACCGTGACCTCCACCCACCACCCCCGTGCACACACACCGTGACCTCCACCCACCACCCCCGTGCACACACACCGTGACCTCCACCCACCACCCCCGTGCACACACACCGTGACCTCCATCCACCACCCCCGTGCACACACACCGTGACCTCCACCCACCACCCCCGTGCACACACACCGTGACCTCCACCCACCACCCCCGTGCACACACACCGTGACCTCCACCCACCACCCCGTGCACACACACCGTGACCTCCACCCACCACCCCCGTGCACACACACCGTGACCTCCACCCACCACCCCCGTGCACACACACCGTGACCTCCACCCACCACCCCCGTGCACACACACCGTGACCTCCACCCACCACCCCCGTGCACACACACCGTGACCTCCACCCACCACCCCCGTGCACACACACCGTGACCTCCACCCACCACCCCCGTGCACACACACCGTGACCTCCACCCACCACCCCCGTGCACACACACCGTGACCTCCACCCACCACCCCCGTGCACACACACCGTGACCTCCACCCACCACCCCCGTGCACACACACCGTGCCCTCCACCCACCACCCCCGTGCACACACACCGTGACCTCCACCCACCACCCCCGTGCACACACACCGTGACCTCCACCCACCACCCCCATACACACACACGCGCACAACGCTTCGTAAAAGTTGGAATCCTTCTCTCTGCCAGGATCCGGCGTTCAATCCCGAGATGATCCAGGCCAAGTCGCTGGCGGCCGGAGGCCTCTGCTCGTGGGTGGTGAACATCGTCCGCTTCTACGAGGTCTACTGCGAGGTGGAGCCCAAGCGACAGGCACTGGGCAAGGCCAACTCTGACCTCGCCGCCGCCCAGGACAAGCTGACGAGCATCAAGGCGAAGATCACCGTGAGTGCCTCCCTCCGCTCTGCTGGCGGCGAAAGGGGCACGGAAGGAGCCCCGGTGTTGCAATGTTGTCTTGGGTGTCGGGTGGGGGGAGGAGTTAAATGATGACTACAGTAGAACCCCTCTTAACGACCACCTCTGTTTATAGTAGTATAGTGTATAGTAGTATAGTGTATAGTAGTGTAGTGTATAGTAGTGTCACGTAGGTAAAAAATGAAATTGAAATTGATAAAAATAAAATAATAAAATAATAAAAATCACGACGTTTTGGAGGCAACACAAGTCTCCGTCATCAGGTGGGACCGTCACAGCCAGATTTGCTGTCACAGGCAGATTTGCTGTATCTATGATACAGATTTGCTGTATCAATCAATGATACAGCAAAAGTATGAAGAGAGATTCGTTTTGAAAACAATGCAGAGTCAAGTAGAGTCGCAGAACTCGAGACTCGAACTCGGGGCACAGCTCTCCGCCCGCGTTTTCGCGTCACGTCTGGGCGTTGGTTCGGCCCGACGTCCGACGTTTCGCTCCACGTGCCGCTGGGAGGCTTCTTTGGATCCCCACGTGCGGAGCGGAAGGTGGCATGTTGGCGGGGGTGGCTCAGAGGTCAGAACCCTGAGTGACCGCGCCGCCCGGAATTGTTGCGTCTCACAACGCAACCCCTATGTGAAACAGAGCAACAGAGGGCAACCGAGTTCACGGTGTAGCCAACATCGTGGCAAGGCGGGCTCCCAAGTACACGTTTGAGGTTTGCCGCAGAGCCGTCCGAGGTTTTTTTGGGCCGGTAATGCACGACGATGGGGCATGGCGTCCGACGCTTTCACGGCACGCGTGCTCGGGTGGGAGGGTCGTGAATTCACTTCCCTAAGGGTTGCTCCCAGCGCGCGGAGCGAAACGTCGGCGGACGTCGTGCCGAGCGGGCGCACGGCGCGACCCGCACGCGCGCGTCGGGAGAGGCCGCTGTCGCGAGCGGGATGGTGCCGTTCGGCCGGGCGGGTGCCGGGCGGGTGCCGGGCGGGCGCTAACCCGCGGACGCCGCCTCCCTCCGCAGGAGCTGAACACGAACCTGGCGAAGCTGACGGCGCAGTTCGAGAAGGCGACGGACGAGAAGCTCAAGTGCCAGGCAGAGGCGGAGAGCACGGCGCTCACCATCTCGCTCGCCAACCGCCTGGTGAGCGGGCGGACGCACGCACGCGCACGCACGCGCCCCGCTTTCCGCGTTCGGTTCGTCGCCCTCCCCCCCCCGAGGAACGCAATGACACCCGTGGGCCTGCTGGCGCGCAGGTCGGTGGCCTGGCCTCGGAGAACGTGCGCTGGGCGGAGGCCGTGGGCTCCTTCCGGCGCCAGGAGCACACGCTGTGCGGGGACGTGCTGCTCGTCACCGCCTTCGTCTCCTACTTTGGCTACTTCACGCGCCGCTACCGCCACGAGCTGATGGAGGGCCAGTGGAAGCCCTTCCTCAGCCAGCTGAAGGTGATGGGGGCTGGAGAATCGGAATATGTATTTGCATTCTACATTTGAAGCTTTCGTGACTGCAAGGATTCATATTCTTAGGTTTTTTCGGTAAAGTCACGTAGGTAAAAAATTAAAATTAATAAAAGTAAAATAAAAATAAAATATAAATCACGACGTTTCGGAGGCAACACAAACGTCGTGATTTTTATTTTATTTTTATATTACTTTTATTAATTTTAATTTTTTACCTACGTGACTTTACCGAAAAAACCTAAGAATATTTATTTGCACTTGCGGGAGGAATTACAATGAGCCTACGAAGCTCTTTTTGCACAGATGTCCAGTAGGGGGGAGCAGGTCAGAACGTTACATACAACAAAGAGGACGATAACAAGATATGAGTGCAAATTATTAAGCAAGGTAATCAAATATCTTAAAAATATATACAAATAAAACTAAGCTATTTTTTTTATCTTACTAGGTTAAGCCCAGCCTGGGGCGGTGGGCGTGGGTTGCCACCTGTGCTGGTTTAACCGGGATAATTCCTCTTGATTGAGTTGGCTGCCAGCATGTTTAGTACATCAGAGGGTGGCAACTCTAGCTGTGGGGTAGCCATAGATGGGCCATCTCCGGGTTCATAATTGATATTTGGGTGAGAACGACGTGTAAGTTAAATGTGCGCATGTATGTTGAACTTCTTTCGCACCTTATACAGCCAGCCGTGCGAATCGGAGGTGCGGGGGAATGACAACAAACTCAACACAAGCAGTTCGAAAGAAATTAGTTTTCAATCTAGATTTAAAAGTGCATTGCTCCAGCGGTTTCCTAATATCGGAAAGGAAGAGCGTTCCAGACGGCCGCAGAAGCGCATTTGAAAGCGCGCGATGCAGTGACAATCTATGCTCGACGGCTAGCCAAAAGCCGCTGCTGCGAGTGTGTGTTGCTAATGTGTGTTGTACACCCTTCACCACCTGACACAGCCAATTCGTGAAGTTGCAACGGTTGTCAGCAATCTACCTGACGATGCTTGTTGTAACTACCGGCGAAACGTCGCACTACCAAATCGTAAAACGCCTGTCGATTGCTCTCAAACACTGGTAGTGCTGCAGCAGCAGTAATGCATTTGGCACATTTTTTCATCACTTGACACGTTTTTAATTGGCCCTGTTGGGTGGAGGAGGTTGTACGACACACAACTTACTTACGCGGCGATCTGACCCCAAATTCAAATATGAATCATAACAGTTGTTGCGAACGCCTGCACCGTGTTAAAGGGGCACCACGGTGGCGAGATGTTAACTACCTCACCTGGTATACAGGAGGTCGTGGCTTCGATCTCGACACTGATGTCTGTATATGTGGAGTTTGCATGTTCTCTCACCCCGTGGTCTTGTATGTTTTGCTCGGGTTCTCCGGCTTTCCCCCTCCACGATTGAAGTATTTGGCTGCTTTAAATGTCCACGCGATGGTAAGCCACTTGGCCTATCATTTGTGATGGCTAGTTACGTTCTGAAAAACAGCTAAACAAATACATCTTGATATAAAGCTTTCGTGACTGCTGCAATTCATACTCTTTGGGTCTTTCGGTAAAGTCACCTAGATAGCAAAATAATAGATCACGACGTTTCGATCGCAACACAGGCAATCGTCTTCTTTACCGAAAGACGCAAAGAGTAGCTATATATATAGTTCAGTGGGCCTCCTTACCTGGGTGAATAAAAAAAATAGTTTGATGGCAACGTAAAAAACGATTTACTTGCATCTGAGCCGCCAGGTTCCCATCCCGATCACGGAGGGGCTTGACCCGCTGTCGATGCTGACGGACGACGCCGACATCGCGGCGTGGCAGAACGAGGGCCTGCCGGCCGACCGCATGTCCACCGAGAACGCGACGGTTCTCACGGGCACGCAGCGCTGGCCCCTCATGGTCGACCCGCAGCTGCAGGGCAGCAAGTGGATCCGCAACAAGTACGGCGATGGCCTGCGGATCGTCCGCATCGGCCAGAGGGGGTGAGTGACCGTGGCCCCAGTGACGACCGCCACGGTGGCGAGGAGATGTTAACTACCTCGCCCGGTGTGCAGGAGGTCGTGGGTTCGATCCCGACCCTGACGATGCCTGCTGTATATTTGGACTTTGCGTGTCTCTCTCTCTCTCTCTCCCCGTGGTCGCGTGGGTTTTTCTCCGGGTCTTCCGGGTTTTTCCTCCACATTTTAGAATCAACATAAGCCACTCCGATTAGTGCGGTTGGCTACGTACGGTGCGAAAGAAGTTCAACATACATACACACTTCATCTTATGAAAACACATTGTCCTGCGGAGGGAGCTGGTAGGAACGTTGGGTTGCTCGGTCAATGGCCAGGGTCAACGGCAGCGTGGTGTATTCCGCAAATATGCCCGACTGTGAGGGCGGGCACAAGCCGGCGTGATTAGGTTAAACGTTGAGTTTTATAAGGGCACCACAGGGTGACCAGCCCCTCCCCACCCAGCCCCACCCCTCCCACCCCCCACCCAGCCCCACCCTCCCCACCCAGCCCCTCCCCACCCCCCCATCCAGCCCCTCCCCACCCTCCCATCCCCACCCAGCCCCACCCTCCCCACCCAGCCCCTCCCCTCCCCACCCAGCCCCTCCCTCCCCACCCAGCCCTTCCCTGCGCGTCGGACGGACACAATAATCCCCTGTGGGCTGGTGTAACCAGGAGGTTCCTACCAGTAAAACAGCTGTATAGCTCAGTGGGCCTTACCTGGTAAATAAAAAAATGTTTAGTTTTTAGTTTAGTTTAGACCACGGCTGCGTACGACCGTGGCTGTGAACACCGAACCGTGAGCCACATAGCCACCTCGTGCCGCCCCCGAATATATTTAACTTTGTGCGAGTTGACGGATCGTTCAGAGAGTCGCGTGCGCGTAGCCACGGCATTGTCCGAGCGATGCGGGATCGAGGTTGGCGGATCGCACAGACGACGAGCATCGCGGTCGGCGTGCACGCGTCTGCACGCCGGCGGCGCTGTCGGCGCGGCCGTGACGCGGGCGACGTCACGACGCCCGTTGCCGCTCCCGCCGCTGTCGCAGGTATCTGGACGTGATCGAGATGGCGCTGTCGGCCGGAGACACGGTGCTCATCGAGAACCTGGAGGAGGCGGTGGACCCCGTGCTGGGGCCGCTGATCGGCAGAGAGACCATCAAGAAGGGCAGGTGCGTTGTTGACTACCTCGACCTCGTGTGCGGGCGGTCGTGGGTTCCATCACGCGGTCTATGGCTCGTGGGCCTCATCCTTGCTTCAGCTTGAGCCATTTGTGTTTTTGGAAGAGAATGGCTCGTCCCTGGATGCCTCTGCGCAACGTAAGTTACTTGAAGTCTCCACTGGAGGGAGGGCTGGCACTGTTTGTGTCAAGGTCGTGTGCATCGTAATCTTTGTGTTGCTCTTAACAGTCGCGTTCATCGCTGTGCGTGTTGCGGTGGGGGACGGTGGCGCAGCAGTTAGCGTGCTGAGCTAGAAACCCGCTCATGGCCACCGACAGTGACGGTTATCTGAAACCAGGTCCTGGGCCCTTCCCCTAGGCTGACTCAGCCTTAAAATTAATACTTGGTGTGTAAACCTCAGCACCGGGGAGACAAAGGCGGCCAGGTATGCTGCTGCATACATAGCTCCAGCGGCTTACTAATATCGGAAGGAAGAACGTTCCAGACGGCCGCCGAAGTCCACCTCAAAGCGCGCGACGTGGCGACCGTCTTTGTTCGATAACTTCATCCAAAAGCTGCCGCCGCTGCTGCTGCTGCTGCTGCGAGGGTGAGCGCACGGGTGACTGAAACCCGACTCTGAACTCACATCCTCAGTGGTGCCAGCTCAGTTGCTCCACCATGATGAGTTTCCCTCCTCGGTCACCGGTGACCGGAGCGCGACCGTCATCGCCGGTTTGCCTGACGGTGGCAGGGCGTCAACCGCGGGGCCTCCGAGTGACGTCGGCTTTCGAACGGCGCGGTTTACTCAGCGCGGCGACGTCTGCCGGCGGTCACCCGCCTGTGGGGCAACCGCCCCTTGCACCTCCCGTCCGCTCGCAGGTACATAAAGATCGGCGACAAGGAGTGCGAGTACAACGCCAACTTCCGGCTCATCCTGCACACGAAGCTGGCCAACCCACACTACCAGCCCGAGATGCAGGCGCAGTGCACGCTCATCAACTTCACGGTGACGCGCGACGGCCTTGAGGACCAGCTGCTGGCCGCCGTCGTCAGCATGGAGCGGCCTGACCTGGAGGAGCTGAAGGTGAGGCCGGCGGCGTCATGACGACGGACGGTGACGACGGCGGTGGCGACGGTGGTGACGGTGACGGTGATCGGTCGGGGGGGGCGGCTGTCGGTACGGATGCTGCTGCAACAACTTTGCTCCCCTCTGCCCCTCCCCCGCGCCTTCGCCAACCTGCACTGACCGTTGTTGCGAAAGTGCAGTATCGGAATATTCATTTTATAAAGCTCTTATTTCGCAGATGGGAGGAATCCGATGGGCTATTAAGGTCTACACTGAGACATCTCCTTTAGCAGTGGCAAAATATAGTAATAGGTTTTTACCCTTTCAACTGGTACAAAAACTGACACCTTTATACAAGGCATCATGTTTGCAATAACCACAACACAAGCAGTCAAAATGCAAACAAAAAGAAACAACTCTGATGATGATAATGATATGCACTGTCCTTGAAGTTGATTGGTCCACACCCGAGACAGCTTTTCTTAGAGCCTAGTCTCCATTGGTGTTGGACCAGATGACGCCTTTTGGCGTCATCTGGCTGCTTGTGTTGTGGTTATTGCAAACATGATGCCTTGTATAAAGGTGTCAGTTTTTGTACCAGTTGAAAGGGTAAAAACCTATTACTCTAATAAGGTCTACTTCACAGATGCCCAGTAGGGCGCACGGGGGGGTCAGAACCTTACAACAAGAAACACAAAACAAAAGCACGAAAGGAGTGCAGAGGTGTGGGAAAGGCAAGCCGTGCTAAACCGCGGACCGACGAAACTCTGTACCCACGCGGTTAGCAAACCGGTATGCCGAAGGAAAACCGTGGACACAAATACCCGCAGGTGCGAAAAACGCAGTTAGTGAGGGATTGCTGTATATTGAAACAACCGCCGTATTGTTTTCATTTGTCCTGATTTCTTTTGGCTTCAATGCTGTGCTCTATATATTTTTAATTTTTGTGACCTTGGTATAACCCTGGCTCAGAGTCGCGCAAATGTGACTCTTCTCCTGGTCCCTTGAGACTGCCTCACTTTCTGAGCCCGTGCCCCTACTGGAGATCTGTGAGAAAGAGCTTCATAGCTTGTCGGATTCCTCCAGGATAAATAAAGATTGTGATTCTGGTTGTATGTGTGTATGTATGTTGAACTTGTTTCACAACATACGTAGTCAACTGTGCTAATCGGAGGTGCGGGGGAATGACAATAAACTAAACACAAAAAGCAGTTTTATGTACATACGTATGTTGAACTTCTTATGCACCGTACGTAGCCAACCGTGTTAATCGGAGGTGTGAGGGAAGGACAACACCGGTTCTAAGAAACGAGTTTTTCGATCCAGAATAAACAAAGCTTCTGATTCTGGTTGAACTGAACCAACTTGGCACTGGACCGACACGCGCGGCGGTGGATTGACGCGTGGGCGTGCTCCGTCTCTCCTCCCCGCAGTCGAACCTGACCAAGCAGCAGAACGACTTCAAGATCACCCTGAAGAACCTGGAGGACAACCTCCTGTCGCGCCTGTCGGCCGCCTCGGGCAACTTCCTGGGCGACACGGCGCTCGTGGAGAACCTGGAGACCACCAAGCGCACGGCGGCCGAGATCGAGGAGAAGGCACGGCCACGCCGGCGGCGCACCGCGAGCGATTCATGCGCGATGTCTGCGCGTGGCAGCGTACTCGAGATGCTACGCGCGGCCGGCGGGTCCCCGCATTGGAGCCTGCCGAGGCAGTCGTAGGCACAGGAGGAGGAGGGGATGGCAGAGGTCGCAAACGGGTTTTGATTCCTTACCCGTACCCGGCCGCATCAGGGTCGCAAACGGGTACCCGTACCCTACTCGATACCCGGCTACCCGTACACGTACCCTACCCGTACCCGGCCGGGTATCGGGTAGGGTACGGGTACCCGATTGCGACCTCTGGGATGAAGCCACGTTGCAGGCGCGGGTGGGTTGATTCTAGGAACTTGAATTGTGAGAAGAGACAAGACGTTGGGAAATGAGTGACAAACGGTTACTCACCAGTGACTCACGGCCTACCCGTACCCGTACCTGGCCGCACCAGGGTCGCAAACGGCTACCCGTACCCGGCCAGGTATGGGTAGCCGGGTATCGTGTAGGGTACGGTTATCGGGTACCTGATTGCGACCTCTGTGGGATGGTTGCGTAGCGCAGCGTCTGCGCTTATCAGCGTACTGATGCCGCTGTTAGGCGGACAGCAGCCTTGCTTTGCAGTCTACGGAGGCAGTCGTAGGCACAGGACGGTCGAGGGCCCGGGCTTACATGGGGGCACGGACGGCTGGGGGTAAGGCACGATAGACATGAGGGAGATTCATTGGATTGTCACCGTCGAGATTATATCATCACGCTCATAAAGATTCGATTTCGAGCCGATGCTTGATGCAGCCCGATTTGTTTTCGTGAACCAAGGGAGCACCTTGAGCTGCTTTTGGGGCCGTGAACTATTGCTTTGCTTTGCTCATACCGAGCTGTACCCCCCCTCCCCTCCCCCCCGCTCTCTCCTCCACATCTGTTCTTCATCATCATCATTGTGATGATCATCGCGATCGACGTAACAGGTCAAGGAGGCCAAGGTGACGGAATTGAAGATCAACGAGGCGCGCGAGCACTACCGGCCGGCGGCGGCGCGGGCTTCCCTCCTCTACTTCATCATGAACGACCTCAACAAGATCCACCCCATGTACCAGTTCTCGCTGAAGGTGAGTTCCGTCGCACTCACTCGAGGTGAGGTCACACGCAAGGTGAGGTCTCACTCCAGGTGAGGTCACACGCAAGATGAGGTCTCACTCACTCGCTCGCTCGCTCTTTCGAGGTGAGTTCCATCTCACTCACTCCAGGTGAGCTCTCACTCACTCCAGGTGAGGTCTCACTCCAGGTGAGGTCTCACTCACTCCAGGTGAGGTCTCACTCCAGGTGAGGTCTCACTCACTCCAGGTGAGGTCTCACTCCAGGTGAGGTCTCACTCACTCCAGGTGAGCTCTCACTCACGCAAGGTGAGGTCTCACTCCAGGTGAGGTCTCACTCCAGGTGAGGTCTCACTTGAGGTGAGGTCTCACTCCAGGTGAGGTCTCACTTGAGGTGAGGTCTCACTTGAGGTGAGGTCTCACTCCAGGTGAGGTCTCACTCCAGGTGAGGTCTCACTTGAGGTGAGGTCTCACTCCAGGTGAGGTCTCACTTGAGGTGAGGTCTCACTCAAGGTGAGGTCTCACTCCAGGTGAGGTCTCACTCAAGGTGAGGTCTCACGCAAGGTGAGGTCACACTCCAGGTGAGGTCTCACGCAAGGTGAGGTCTCACTCCAGGTGAGGTTTCACTCCAGGTGAGGTCTCACTCCAGGTGAGGTCTCACTCCAGGTGAGGTCTCACTCCAGGTGAGGTCTCACTTGAGGTGATGTCTCACTCCAGGTGAGGTCTCACTCACTCCAGGTGATGTCTCACTCCAGGTGAGGTCTCACTCACTCCAGGTGAGGTCTCACTCCAGGTGAGGTCTCACTTGAGGTGAGGTTTCACTCCAGGTGAGGTCTCACTTGAGGTGAGGTCTCACTCAAGGTGAGGTCTCACTCCAGGTGAGGTCTCACTCAAGGTGAGGTCTCACGCAAGGTGAGGTCACACTCCAGGTGAGGTCTCACGCAAGGTGAGGTCTCACTCCAGGTGAGGTTTCACTCCAGGTGAGGTCTCACTCCAGGTGAGGTCTCACTCCAGGTGAGGTCTCACTCCAGGTGAGGTCTCACTTGAGGTGATGTCTCATTCCAGGTGAGGTCTCACTCACTCCAGGTGATGTCTCACTCCAGGTGAGGTCTCACTCACTCCAGGTGAGGTCTCACTCCAGGTGAGGTCTCACTTGAGGTGAGGTTTCACTCCAGGTGAGGTCTCACTCAATGTGAGGTCTCACTCACTCCAGGTGAGGTCTCACTCCAGGTGAGGTCTCACTCCAGGTGAGGTCTCACTTGAGGTGATGTCTCACTCCAGGTGAGGTCTCACTCACTCCAGGTGATGTCTCACTCCAGGTGAGGTCTCACTCACTCCAGGTGAGGTCTCACTCCAGGTGAGGTCTCACTCCAGGTGAGGTCTCACTTGAGGTGAGGTTTCACTCCAGGTGAGGTCTCACTCAATGTGAGGTCACACGCAAGGTGAGGTCACACTCCAGGTGAAGTTTCACTCAATTCCCTTCCTAACGTACATGTTGTTTACGTCGTTTATTGTGATCCTAAGATCACTGTTTCATTGCTTTTATGGCTTTATTTTGGTGATTTTCGAAAAGTATTTTGGTTTGGCCATGTTTGTTTGTTGTAGTACAGAGTTAGACTGATGGCCTTAATCTAAGTTGTCTTGTGGTTGTTGTTGTTTGACTTGCATCCCACTGGGATATTTGCACAGGGTTGGTGTACGGTGATTTTTCTACAATATTTTGCTGTCTTTTCTTGGATTTTCTGTTTGCACTTAGTCACTTTAAGATGTTTTCTTGTTCATGTTTTAGTTTTTTGTTTGTTGCGGTTGCACCCGATTCAAGAGCCGAATGGCTCACAGGGCTATACCTAATAAATGAAACTTTGAAACTTTGAAAACTTTGGTTTAGGGCTACGATTTTGGCTTAGGTTTTGTGTCCTGTTAAATGGGCTTTGAGGTGTCATTCCCTGGCTCACCAGGAGAAGGCAGTACGGGACAGACTGTTTCCCCTTCGCACGCACAGGGGGATTTCTCCGGGAGCTCCGGTTTCCTCCACGTATAAGCACTCATTAATTGGCCGACATCATCTTACTTACTATAGGACCGCAGGAGCTTGGGCAATCATTGGCGCTGGCTTGGTGTCTTCGAGAGCGAGCGAATGCCGTGCAACGTAAGACGTTGACATTGTGATGATGACATTGAACCCTTTTCCGTCCCGTTCACCGCTGAATCTGGGAACACGCGTGCGGTTCGGCGTTAATTTTATTTAGAGAGGCGTAGTAGGGCCGTTGTTTTTAAAGATGTTGTTACCGCAGAGAACCGTAGCGACACAACCGTACTCTGCGACGGCTGGCGTATGTGTATGGGAAAGGGTTCACATGACGTTGGTGGCGATGACGATGATGATGATGACGATTCTCTGTACGGGGAAAGCCTCGCCTAGTCTCAACGAGACGGACGGTGAGCACAGGACGGAGAGGAGCCGGTTGTCAACTGCGATGGCGACCCACCGATGGTGATGCTTTTGATTGCTTTTGATTGGGCGACGGCCAGAGGTCGCAACCGGGTACCCGATACCCGTATCCTACCCGATACCTGGCTACCCGTACCCGGCCGGGTACGGGTACGGGTACCCGTTTGCGACCCTGGTGCGGGCGGGTACGGGTAAGGAATCAAAACCCGTTTGCGACCTCTGGCGACGGCTCGTGACGCGGGCCTAACGTCGAACCGCGTGCGCGCGCGCGTGCCCCCCGGCGCAGGCGTTCAGCGTGGTGTTCCAGATGGCGGTGCAGCGGGCGGCGCCGGACGAGACGCTGAAGCAGCGCGTGGCTAACCTCATGGACAGCATCACCTTCTCCATTTTCCAATACACGACTCGGGGGCTCTTCGAGTGCGACAAGCTGACCTTCACGGCGCAGGTCGCCTTCCAGGTGAGGACCCCCGGTGCGTCGGCGAGACGTTAACTACCTCGCCCGGTGTGCAGGAGGTCGCGGGTTCGATCCCAACCCTGGCGAGACGTTAACTACCTCGCCCGGTGTACAGGAGGTCGTGGGTTCGATCCCAACCCTGGCAAGACGTTAACTACCTCGCCCGGTGTGCAGGAGGTCGTGGGTTCGATCCCAACCCTGGCGAGATGTTAACTACCTCGCCCGGTGTGCAGGAGGTTGTGTGTTCGATCCCAACCCTGGCGAGACGTTAACTACCTCGCCCGGTGTGCAGGAGGTCGTGGGTTCGATCCCAACCCTGGCGAGATGTTAACTAACTCACCCGGTGTGCAGGAGGTCGCGTGTTCGATCCCAACCCTGGCGAAATGTTAACTATCTCGCCCGGTGTGCAGGAGGTCGTGGGTTCGATCCCAAGCCTGGCAACGCTTGTTGTATATTTAAGGTTTGTGTGTCACTCTCCCTCTCTCCCTCGTGGTTGTGTGGATTTTTCTCTGGGCACTCTGGGTTTTCCCTCCACGTTTAGAATCAGCATCACACATTAATGCCAGTAGCACCCCTATAACACTGTACGTTAATTTTATATAAAGGACCAAATCCCACATACGGCCACCACCAAGCAAACGAAAACCCTACTACTACCACCACTACCACCAAGCAAAATCAAAAATGAATGAACAAATTTAAGGAATGGATGTTTCCGCGTGGGTTTCCTCCATCGTCACCGTGATTCCGTCCGGTGTCAATATGTCCGTGTCTTTCTTCTCTTCCCGTAGCTATGATATCACCGGTTTTAGCACAAAGCATCTCAGTTCTTAAAAGAAATGCTGCCAACTACTAAATTGGGACTACGTGTGGCTACATCATCCCCCTCTCTGCGAAAGCTTGGCAGGACCCTCCCGAAAAAAGATTCTTGAGAATCGGCGAGGCTTTGGCCTACTCTTCCACACTGGCCAGATTCCTTGGACGAGGCTGGAGTGCCCACTACTTTACCCCGCCACCCTGATTTGTGCCATCGTTGTCCGCCCACAGGTGCTGCTTACGAACCGTGAGATCATCCCGCAGGAGCTTGACTTCCTCCTGAGATTCCCAGCTCAGCCGGGAGTGACCAGTCCCGTGGACTTCCTGTCAAACCAGTCGTGGGGCGGAATCAAGGTTCGTGTGCAGAGCATTTGTACTGTCGGTATCTGCCCGCGACTTAACCGGGTCCTAAGAGTTGATGGGTCTTCGGCCCAGTAAAACCCAATGACTGCACAAAAAGAACGGTCACATTACATGCTCTTTGGTTTTTGTCGGTAAAGTCACGTAGGTGAAAATAAAAATGTATATTTAAAAAACAAAACAAATTTTTTTTATTTATTAAATATTCTCACCTACGTGACTTTACCGAAAAAACCAAAGAGTATGGATCCTTGCAGTCACGAAAGCTTCAAATCTAGAATTGGTCACATTACATTCGGCTTTTCACTTGTACGTTCTCGTGGATTGCGATGCGGGTATTGCGTCGACCGCACGGCATGCCCAACCACCGCGACGCCAAAGTGCCCCCGATGAACGGGTGACGGTCGCGAACCGGCCGGCCATCGAGTCTGTGCCCACGGGCGACGACGCTCTGCGGTTAGGGGTCGCGAGAGCGAACGTTCTTATCGACCAAATTCTCGCCGACTCGCGGTCGGAAAGTTTAGGACCGTGTTGTCATCGTCGTCGTCGCCATCATCGTCAGGAATGATTTACGTAAAAAAACCCCAAGGGAGTTCGTTGAGGCTAATGCCACGTTTGCATGAGCCACACGACTCAAAGTAGAATCAGAAAATGTAATTATCCTGGAGGAATCCGATGAGCTATGAAGCCCTTTTTCACGGATGTCCTATAAACTCGAGCTTCCGTCGAGGAGCATAGACGCAGTGCAGGACAACGGTGAATTCGGAGGCGCTGCCCTCTGCCTGCAACGTAGCTCGGAAGCGCACGCGGCTGCAACCGACGAAGCAGGCGTGCTAAATTTCGATTCAAAGCTTTCGTGACTGCAGGGATTCATCGTCTTGGTTCTTTCGGTAAAGTCACGTAGAAGGAAAATAATAAAATAATAAAAATAAAACATAATAAAATAATTCTCACGACGTTTTATTTTATTTTGTTTTATTTTTATTATTTTATTATTTTCCTTCTACGTGACTTTACCGAAAGAACCAAGACGATGAAGTGGCGTGCGCACCGTCCGCCTGTCCTGGCGATGTCCAGGCTGTCCCGAGATCGGGCGCGTTGCGGCTGATGTGGTCAAATGCGTGGGCATTAAGCACGATCGTTTCCGTGACGTAATTATCTGTTTCATTGAATATTACCGCGTTGTTTAGATGGAATAATTTGTATAAATAAAAGGCGTTGATTCTTATACGCGCGATTCAGTGCACGTACTTTTATCCTTCAGAGTCAATGTTGGTAATTTAGATGTGTCGGTACGTCCATAAATTAGCAGGCACCGCTCAACGCATTGGCATGCGCGCTTGCTCCTGTGTGAGTGTGTGTGTATGGCACAAGCGTCGTAGTGACGTCACCGCCACTTAGTGGCGAAAGGCGGTTGTTGTTGTTGTGGGGGGCGGTAGTGTAGCGGTTAGCGCTACGCTGCGCTACGAACCTGGCGACCCGGGTTCGATTCTCGCTCACGGCCAACACCACCAGTGACGATTATCTGAACCGGTCCTGGGTCTCCCCTAGGTCGACTCAGCCTCAAATGAGTACCTGGTGCGGTGTGTAAACATCGCCACTGGGGAGACAAAGGCGGTCGGGCGTGGTGCTGGCCACCCACCCCCTCGTGTACCGTTACGGCCTTCATAGGTGCTCGCTAACAGCACTTGCCCCTACAGTCTGTGAAGGCTATACAGGGGATCTTTGGCTTTGTGGGGGGCGGTAGTGTAGTTGTTTGTGCTCTTCGTTACGAACCGAATGCTTGAACTGGTTCCTAGGCCTCCCCTAGGTCGACTCAGCCTAAATGACGTACGTGGTGTATTGTGTAAACATCAGCACTGGGGAGACAGAGGCGGCCGGGCGTGGCTTTGACTACACCATGCCTTCGTGCGCCGTACCTGATCTGGCGAGCAATCGAAACGAAGACAGTCACCGCATTTGCGTGTGATCAGATGCGCTTCTGCGGCCGTCTGGAACACTCTTCCTTCCGATATTAGGAAGCCACTGGAGCGATGCACTTTGAAATCATCTAGATTGAAAACTAATTTTTGTTTAACTACTTTTTGTGTTTAATTAGTTTTTTCCTTACTCCACACCTCCGATTAGCACGGTTGGCTACATCCGGTGCGAAAGAAGTTCAACATACATGCACACCTGCCGTCGTAGGCACTGCTCGCTAACAGCACTCATCCCAACGTGGGCAATCTTTATGCACCGTCCGTGCGCGTGCTCAGGCCCTGTCAAACATGGAGGCGTTCCAGAACCTGGACCGGGATATCGAGGGATCGGCCAAGCGCTGGAAGAAGTTCGTGGAGTCGGAGGCGCCCGAGAAGGAGAAGTTCCCGCAGGAGTGGAAGAACAAGACTGCGCTGCAACGTCTGTGCATGATGCGCTCGCTACGCCCCGACCGCATGACCTACGCCGTGCGGTGAGGGCGCCGCCACCAGGAACCCCCCCCCCCCACCTCCCCCCACCACTCCGAGTGTTAAGCGCGCAGGCGGCAAAGCTGCACCGGGGATGACCGAGTAGGCCCGAGGGCTTGTGCCGGGTCCGCAGGGCTACGGCGAGGACGAGTGGGACCTATCGACTCGTATAGACACCTGCGGATTGCATGGAGACCCATAGACTTACGTAGAGACCCGCAGACTGAAATGAAGACCCGTAGACTTACGTAGAGACCCATAACATTTTTTCGATTTAAAGCTTTCGTGACTGCAGGGATCATCTTCTTGGTTCTTTCGGTAGCGTATATTTAAGCTGGGTTGGAGGGGGAAGAGCGCCTTGACAAGGCCGAAAGAACCAAGAAGATGAGACCCATAACACTTCCAGTCTGTCGAGGCTAACACGGGGGGTGGGGGGACCCTTTGTCTGCTCGCTACTCGGCACAGGGACTTTGTGGAGGAGAAACTGGGCAACAAGTACGTGGCCGGGCGCTCGCTCGACTTTGCCGCCTCCTTCGAGGAGTCGGGTCCGGCCATCCCCATGTTCTTCATCCTCTCACCGGGCGTGGACCCGCTCAAGGACGTGGAGCGGCACGGTGGGTTGCGCACGTGACTTGGTCGGCGGGGGGGGGGGGCACAGCGGAGCCGCTCCTGCCCCCCCCTTTGCGAGATTACCTACTCGCACGGCTCCCCGTGCGGAGTTTGTTTGTTTCTGTCTTCACACTCATCTTCTTTGTTGTTTCGGTAAAGTCATCACGTAGAAGGGAAATAATAAAATAATAAAATTTAATTCTCACGACGTTTCGGCCACAACGCAAGCAGCCGTCCTCAGGTGAAGAACAGGGTTGTCGGAAAGACAGCGTCTGAATGAAACACCACCAACCCAGCTTAAATATACGCTCCAACCCTGGTGGCAAGGTAATTAACATCGCGTGGAAATCTATAGTAGCAGCCAATTAATCTAAATAACCTCAACTTAAATTTCGATTTCAAGCTTTCGGGACTGCAGGGAATTCATATTCTTGGTTCTTTCAGTAAAGTCACGTAGAAGGGAAATAACAAAATAATAAAAATTAAACATAACAAAATGAAATTCTCACGACGTTTCGGCCACAACGCAAGCAGCCGTCCTCAGGTGTCTTTCCGACAGCTCTGTTTCTTCACCTGAGGACGGCTGCTTGCGTTGTGGCCGAACCGTCGTGAGAATTTCATTTTATCATGTTTTATTTTCATTATTTTATTATTTCCCTTCTACGTGACTTTACCGAAAGAACCAAGAATATGACTTCAACTTGTCAGGAACCTCTTGAAACAGACTCTTGAGTCAACAGCGTGTGGCTCGTCCCGCAAGTCTGGACATCTTTGAGAAAGAGCTTTACGGCTCATCGGATTCCTCCTCCAGCGCAAATAAACATTCCGATTCTGAGAATCGGCACCTCGACGCTCCGTCTTCGTGCGCGCGTGCAGGGAAGAAATTGGGGATCACGTTTGACCAGGGCAACTTCCACAACGTCTCGCTGGGCCAGGGCCAGGAGGTGGTGGCCGAACAGGCGCTGGATCTGGCCGCCAGGGAAGGCCACTGGGTCATCCTGCAGGTGAGGGCATGCGCGTGGACGGGCCGGGAGGGCTCGCGGTTGTGTGTTATCTTCTTGGTTCTGTCGGTAAAGTCACGTAGAAGGGAAGTAATAAAATAATAAAAATAAAACACAATAAAATAATTCTCACGACGTTTCGGCTACAACGCAAGCAGCCGTCTTCAGGTGAAGAATGAGACACTGCCAAGCTAGGAGCTTATATATAAGCTGAGTTGGAGGTGGAAGAAGAGCGCCTTAACAAAAGAATATGCATATCAAGAGGAATTTAGCATATTCATGGGTTGTGTGTTATTTGAGGTGGCCGGGTGGCTCGGAGGTCGGGCGGCTGAGCCAGATCTTCTGAGGTCCCGGGATTGAATCTGGGTCTCGGCCACCTTTGGGGTGCCGTGGTGGCTATGAGATGTTAACTACCTCGCCTCGTTCTCCCGCCGGCAGAACATCCACCTGGTGGCCAAGTGGCTGGGCACGCTGGAGAAGAAGCTGGAGCAGCTGGGGGGCGAGTCGAGCTCGCCCCTCTTCCGCGTCTTCGTGAGCGCCGAGCCGGCCTCCTCGGCCGACTCGCACATCATCCCGCAGGGCATCCTGGAGACCTCCATCAAGATCACCAACGAGCCGCCCTCTGGCATGCACGCCAACCTGCACAAGGCCCTGGACAACTTCAACCAGGTGACCGTGACTCCTCCCGTTCGAACGGCGGGCTCTCTTCCGAACGGCATGGCGGGATCTTTAACGACGGGCAGCGTGTTTTACAGTCGGTTCGCCACCCCCATGGGTGTTAACTAGGGTGGCCGACGGGCTCGAACCGCGTACCCATGTGATGAGCGGAAAAAAAAAATCGCACAAACTGCCCCGGCCACGCCGAACGCCCGCGTGGTGCCGCCGATCCGATGAATCCTAGATTGAAAACTGATTTCTTGAGAACTGATTTATTGCGTTTCGTCTGTTGTCCTTCCCACACACGTACGATTAGCGTGGTTGGCTACATACGGTGTGAAAGAAGTTGAACACACACACATACATATGATTGCCTCGATCCGGTGCTGCGGTTGAATTTAAAGCGCCAGCCAGTTTGTCATCGGGGGTGCCTTGCCTCAGCCTCGGCGTCACACGGAAGCGGTGGCGCCACCCGATAACCTCCGGTTGGCGCATCTTCAGTCGGCGGTCGATGATCGACGCGGGCTGTGACCCTTCTCCCCGTGGTCGACCCCCGCCTCCCTCCCCCCCCCCCCGTGATCCCTGGCTCAAACAAATCACGGCAGCCAAGAGCGGCTCACGCGAACGCTGTCGCGAGAGTTCGCGTGTTCCTGCGCGCGGGACGGCCCCGTCACCGCCGACGACGAGCGAGCGAACGGCCGTCGCTGGCGCAGAAGCGCGGGCGGCCCGGGGCGCTAACCTCGTGCGTGCGTGCGGGCGACGCCGTCGTTTCCGTCGCTTCCCCTCGCAGGACACCCTGGAGATGTGCGCGCGGGAAAACGAGTTCAAGAGCATCCTGTTTGCGCTGTGCTACTTCCACGCGGTGGTGGCGGAGCGGCGCAAGTTTGGCGCGCAGGGCTGGAACCGCAGCTACCCGTTCAACACGGGCGACCTCACCATCTCCGTGAACGTCCTCTACAACTACCTGGAGGCCAACTCCAAGGTGGGGCCTTTGTCGCACGGCGGCGGCGGCGGCCAGCGCGCGCGCCCGACGTGGTTCGCTCCGCTCGTTCGTTCCAGGGAAACCCGCACGGAGTCTCCAGGCTCTCCTTTTTGTCCAGGAGGGGTCCTGCCAGGTTTTCCACAGTAGGGGGTGGGGGTGAGGGGGGCGACGTTGCCATTCCAATTGAGTCATTTGAAGGTTTGTTTAAAAAAAAAGATTTTACCAGGGATGGCCCCACTGAGCTATGTAGCACCGAAGTGGCTTATCATCTCGATTTAAAGCTTTCGTGACTGCAGGGATTCATCTTCTTGGTTCCTTCGGTAAAGTCACGTAGAAGGGATATACGCTCCAAGCCTGGTGGTGTTTCATTCAGACGCTGTCTTCCCGACAGACCTGTTCTTCACCTGAGGACGGCTGCTTGCGTTGTGGCCGAAACGTCGTGAGAATTATTTTATTATGTTTTATTTTTATTATTTTATTATTTCCCTTCTACGTGACTTTACCGAAAGAACCAAGAAGATGACTTTTCACCGTCACGTGGAAATTTCTCCGGGTCCCTCCGGTTTTTCCCTCCACATTTGGAATCAACGTCACGCTTTCAGAGTACTTGGCCACTATACATTTCCACGTGGCCACAAGCCACACTTCGTTGAGCTGTCATTTATGAAGGCCTTATCTGGTAAAATAAAAATAGTTAATTGTTTAGTTTGTATCAATGGCGTAGTGACTACACGATCAGCTCAGGGGGGTACGGCAATTGATCAGGTGCCACCCCCCCCCACCCCCAATATTTGATTTGCACAATTTGCGGAAGCCAAACGTCGCTTCTGAAAAGGAGCCGTACAAGCTCAGCGGGCCCTTACCTGGTAAAATAAAAATATATTTTACCGTGAAACGGGGAAGCACCCTCGTGCCAGGCAGCGTTACACACATCCCACGCCTGAGCCCGATTAATTCCTTCCCCGTGCCGCTGGTTTCCTCCCGCCACCGCCCCTGTCGCAGGTGCCCTGGGACGACCTCCGCTACCTGTTTGGGGAGATCATGTACGGCGGCCACATCACCGACGACTGGGACCGGCGTCTGTGCCGCACCTACCTGGAGGAGTACATCCAGCCCGGCATGCTGGACGGCGAGCTGTACCTGGCCCCCGGCTTCCCCATCCCGCCCAACTCCGACTACAACGCCTACCACCAGGTGCGCCGCCCTCTTCACCTGCCGCTCGTCCGCCTCACTCCGCCCCCCCCGTGTCGACCAGCCGGCTACCCGCCAGGTGTCGTCAATCTGATTGGTCACCCACTTTCCTGTCCGATGGGCCTCACGTGTACGTATGTCTGCGCGTTGGCCTTCTACCGCTCCGTGCGTAGCGCAACCGTGCTCATCAATTCTACAAAGTGTGATGCGAATCGTAATTCACCGAAAGAGGAACAACTTCTTCGGGGTAATTTTCTTTTACCCCGATGTTGTCCGCGTTCGCGTCACGTGACGGAGCGTTTGTGCGGATCTCCCGCAGAGTGGAGCAACTTTCCGCGTCAGAAAAGGGCCCGCGGAAGCGGCTAATGCAGAACCACCTCTGAGATTCCTCGAAGTGTCGTCTGCTCGACACGCAGCATTCGCCGCTCGCTCTGTGGCGCAGAGTGCAGTTTGCCGTACGGCGGTCACACGGGATCTTGTGTTACGTGCAGAATCTATTTGTTGTTGTTGTTGTTATCGGAATCAGAATATTTATACCGCAGGACGGAATCCGGTGAGCTATGAAGCTCTTTTGCGACAGATGCCCAGTCGGGGCACGGGGGGTCTGGAAGTTACAACAACAAGCTCAGCGAAGTGGTTTTGCACGTGCAAATTTATAGCGGCCAAATAATCGATATAATATAAACGCACGTTGATAATAAATGTTGAGGAAAAAACTGGAGGAGAAAAATATCCATGCGACCACGGGGAGAGAGAGACACGCAAACTCCAAATATACAGCAGACTTCAGGGGCGGGATCGAACCCCTGACCTCCTGCATACCGGGCGAGGGAGATGACATCTCCTAGCCACCGTGGATTCCTCCTTCACGAATGAATCCTTCCGCTGCTTCTGTTCCTCCGACCCCCTCCCTGCTCCGTGCGCACCGCCGCCCCCTCCTCAGTACATTGACGACACGCTGCCGCCCGAGTCCCCCTACCTCTACGGGCTGCACCCCAACGCGGAGTTTGGCTTCCTGACGCAGACGTCGGAGAAGCTCTTCAAGACGGTGCTCGAGATGCAGCCCAGGGACAGCAGCGGCTCCGAGGGGGGCGGCTCCACCCGCGAGGAGAAGGCACGCACGGCACACACACATGACACACACATGACATACACGCACGGCACACACATGACATACACGCATGGCACACACATGACATACACGCACGGCACACACAAACACGGCACACACATACACACGCACGGCACACACACGACACACACGCACGGCACACGCACACACGGCACACACACACACACGCACGGCATACACACGACACACACGCACGGCACACACACACACGGCAAACGCACACACGGCACACACACACACACACGGCACACACACACACGCACGGCACACACACGACATACACACATGGCACACACACACACACGGCACACACACACACGCACGGCACACACACGACATACACACATGGCACACACACACACACGGCACACACACACACGCACGGCACACACACGACATACACACATGGCACACACACACAGCACACACACGCATGGCACGCACACGACATACACACATGGCACACACGGCACACGGCGCACACACACGGCACACACACACGACATACACACATGGCACACACGGCACACACACACGGCACACACACGGCACACACACACGTGTACAAAGATAAAGATCCCCTAGTATAGCCTCAACAGATTATTGGGGCAAGTGCTATTAGCGAGCACCTATGAAGGCCGAAACGACACACGAGGGGGTGGGTGGTCAGAACTATGTCCGACCACCTTTGTCTCCCTTGTGCAGATGTTTACACACCGCACAAGGTACTAATTTGAGGCCGAGTCGACCTAGGGGAGGCCCAGGACCAGTTCAGATATTCGTCACCGGTGTTGGCCGTGAGCGGGAATCATCGAACTCGGGTCGCCGGGTTCGTAGCGCAGCATGGCGCTGTAACCACGACGCCACCGTGCAGTGCCTGCGTCCACAGAGTTCCCCAAAGCAGGTAGCGAGGGTCGACCCGGCGCAGCGGGAGAGAATTAAAAAGAACGATACAAATATATAAAAATATCCAAGCGAGCAGAGGAGGGGGGGAGTAAACTGGCACGCGTGCACGCACTTACCCTCGTAACGCTCGTCTCATGCGCGTATTTGTGTGTGCCGTGTGTGTGTTGTGTGTGTGCCGTGTGTGTGTTCAGTGTGTGTCTGTGTTCCGTGTGTGTGTGCCGTGTGTGTGCCGTGTGTGTGTTCCGTGTGTGTGTGTGTTCCGTGTGTGTGTGTGTGTGCCATGTGTATGTGTGTCGTGTGAATCTGTGCCGTGTGTGTGTGTGCCGTGTGTGTGTTCTGTGTGTGTGCCATGTGTGTGTGTGTCGTGTGAATCTGCAATGTGTGTGCGCCGTGTGTGTGTGTGTGCGCCGTGTGTGTGTGTGCGCCGTGTGTGCGCCGCGTGTGTGTTCTGTGTCGTGTATGTATGCCGTGTGTGTGTGTGTGTTCCGTGTGTGTGTGTGCCATGTGTATGTATGCCGTGTGTGTGTGTGCCGCGTGTGTGTGTTCCATGTGTGTGTGTGCGCTGTGTGTGTGTGCCGTGTGTGTGTGTTCCGTGTGTGTGTTCTGTATCGTGTATGTATGCCGTGTGTGTGTGTGCCATGTGTGTGTGTTCCGTGTGCGTGTTCCGTGTCGTGTGTATGCCGTGTGTGTGTGTGTTCCGTGTTGTGTATGTATGCCGTGTGTGTGTGTTCCGTGTGTGTGTGTATGCCGTGTGTGTGTGTGTGCGCGTGCCACGTGCGTGTGTGCAGGTGAAGGCCGTGCTGGACGAGATCCTGGAGCGCATGCCGGAGGAGTTTGGCATGACGGAGCTGCTGGCGCGCGCCGAGGACCGCACGCCGTACGTGGTGGTGGCGCTGCAGGAGTGCGAGCGCATGAACCTGCTGACGCGCGAGATCCGCCGCTCGCTGCGCGAGCTCGACCTGGGCCTCAAGGTGAAGGGAGGGGGGGGGGGCCACGGCGAGGGGCCGAGGGGGGGTTTGTAGTCCGCTGCCTTCGCCGGGTCAGAGGTCGTTGGAGGCCCAGCAAGGGTGACCCCGGTGTATTTATAAAAAGAAAACTAGGTTGAAAATTCATTTAATTTAGAACTGCTTTTTGTGTGTTTAGTTTCTTTGTCCTTCCCCCTCCCCCCGCCGCACCTCCCATTAGCAGGGTTGGCTACGTACGGTGCGAAAGAAGTTCAACATGTATACATACAGAAGTTCAACATACATACATACAAACATTCTAGAGGTCCCAAACTACGGACCATTTCATTAGAGCTGCATTTTGCATTTAGTTTGTTGTCCTTCCCAACCGCCGTGATTGAGAGTTACGACCTCACCACGACCCACCCCCCCTCCCTCCCACCCCTCTCCCATTCACTTAAGACTTACCACCCATTTACGAGCCGCAATCAGAGCCCATCAGATTTACGAGAAATTTCCAGAATCATTTTCTGCCCTCGGAGCTCCAGGACCTCTGCGGTGCCGGCCCAGCGCTTTGGCCGCCCCACCCCACAACGAGTCGCGCATGGGTTTGACTCGTTTCCGTGTCCCCCCCCGCCGCCCCCCCCTCGTGCGTACGCGCGCACGCGTCTTCCGTCCCGCAGGGCGAGCTGACGATGACGGGCGACATGGAGGCGCTGCTGACGTCGCTGTTCTTCGACCAAGTGCCCGAGGGGTGGACCCGGCGTGCCTACCCGTCCATGCTGGGCCTGGCGGCGTGGTTCATCGACATGCTGCAGCGCGCGCGCGAGCTCGAGGCGTGGACGAGCGACTTCGCGCTGCCGTCGGCCGTGTGGCTCACGGGGTTCTTCAACCCCCAGTCGTTCCTCACGGCCATCATGCAGTCGGCGGCGCGGCGCAACGAGTGGCCGCTGGACCGCATGGCGCTGAGCTGCGACGTCACGAAGAAGGCGAGGGAGGAGCTGGGCGGGCCGCCTCGCGAGGGCGCCTACATCCACGGCCTCTTCATGGAGGGCGCTCGCTGGGACACGCAGGTGCGTGTGCGCGTGCGAAGTGCGTGTGTGCGTGGAGCGCGTGTGTGCGTGCGTGTGCGCGTCTGGAGCATAGCGGTCAGCGCGCTGCGCTACGAACCCGGCGACCCGAGTTCGATTTCCGCTCATGGCTACCAACACCGGTGAGGATTATCTGAACCGGTCCTCGGCCTCCCCTAGGTCGACTCGGCCTCAAATTAGTACTGTGGTGCGGTGTATAAACATCGCCATGAGGGAGACGAAGGCGGCCGGGCATGGTGCTGGCCACCCACCCCCTCGTGTGCCGTTTCGGCCTTAATAGGTGCTCGCTAACAGCACTTGGCCCAACAGTCCGTTGAGGCTATACGGGGGATATTTGTCTTGTCTGATGTGTGGGGATCCCTCCTGAAGGGACATCTGTACCAGAATCCGAATCGTAATATTTATGTACACTGGAGGAATCCGATGAGCTTTCAAGCTCTTTTTCACAGATGTCCAGCTGGGGCACGGGGTCAGATCGTGTTTACTTAAGCGATGAATCATAATTTTGGTCGCGAACGTCTCCTGCACGTTAAACGTAACTGATATTGGCCGGACGTTTCAATCGTTCAAAACGTGCTTGCAATTGGCGCAAGTCGCAACCGTCCGATGCTGACGCGAGTCGCTGGGTTCACTGCGCCGCTCACCCTCCCCTCTCTCCCCCCGTGACCCGTCCTGTGCCCTCCGACCTCCGCCGCTCGCAGACGGGGATGATAGCGGACGCTCGTCTCAAAGAGCTCCTGCCGCCGCTGCCCGTGGTGTTCCTGCGCGCGGTGCCCAGCGACAAGCAGGACACGCGCAGCGCGTACGCGTGCCCCGTGTACAAGACGCGCCAGCGCGGCCCCACCTTCGTCTGGACCTTCCACCTCAAGACAAGGGACAGCCCCGCCAAGTGGACTTTGGCTGGAGTGGCCCTGCTGCTGCAGTCTTAGCTCGGGAGCTCGGCTTCCCCGGCTAATAGAGATCCCACCCGCCCAATCAGCACCTTATCCACCGAACCACCCACCCGACCCAACCACCCAACCACCAAATCACCCACCCAATCACCCACCTACCCAATCAGCACCTTACCCACCGACCGACCCACCAACCCACCCACCCAATTACCCACCCAATTACCCACCCAATCGCCCACCCACCCAACAACCGAACCACCCACCAAATCACCTACCCAACCACCAAAGCACCCACTCAATCACCCACCTACCCACCGACCTACCCACCAACGCAGCAACCCACCCAATCGCCCACCCAACCACCAAATCATTCACCCACCCACCCACCAACCCAACCAACCACCCAATCACCCACCCACCCAATTATATACCCACTGACCCACCCACCCAATCACCCACCAACTGACCCACCCGCACAATCACCCGCCCACTCTTCGCCCATGATTGGCAGCGGCACACAAGCAAGTAAGAAAAATAATCCTCGGGTTGCCCCGACGTGTTAAGTTGCCGTTGCGATTGGCAGTGGGGGGGGGGCTCTAGACGTAAGCAAGATAAGCAAAAGATTAGGGGGGCCCCCACGCAGCTCACGAAGGGGCGGGCGGGGGGGGGTGGAGTGGGGTGTGCCAAAACCAGCTCAAATTCAGATTTTTTTGTGAAGAAATTTTTTACAAATTATCGCAGCCCTAGCAGCACTCTTCGAGCAAATGTCATTGCGAGAAGTTCATTGACTTCACTGCTCGACGACGATGACCGTGGTAGGAGTTCGCCGGTGGCGGCGCGCCCATCGTGCGATGTTTGTCGCCGTCACCCTGACGCTCCGGCCGCCGCGGCCGTTCGGCAGGCGTGGCCGCAAAGTGGCGACATCCCCCGTCCACCGAGGGATTTGTTTAAACAACGGGGAAAGTCTCGTAAAATCCTCCGCCTGTGTCCACCCAGCAGCGTGGATGAACACGCCACCACCACCGCCGCCGCCGCCGCGATGGCTAGTCGATCCGGCATGGTCGCGTGCGGTGGAGTAAAGTGTGGGTAAATCCTCCTACACCTGTGGCCAGTGTAGAACAGCTGGCGGGAGGGAGGGCTCGTTATGCTCGCCTCCTTATTGTTCGCGATTTGGGGTTGCGGTACAATTCACGACTTGCGTTGTTGTTGTTGTTGTGAATCTCGTGCCCGTAGTGGCCATGTGGGCCGACCGCCTTGCAACGTATCGGGTGAACATTCGCGGGCGTTTGTCACGCTGCTATTGGTCGGTCTTGGCGGTCGTTTGACCGTACTTCACCACACTGGTCAGCGCGCGTTGCTGTATGGGAGGGCTTGCCCAGGACCGGATGAGATATTTCTCACCCCTGACGCGGTGGGGCCCGTGGTCGGGAATTGAACTCAGGTTTGCTGGGTTCATGGCGCTAATTGCTTAGCCACCACTCCGGCTCCCTCTACCACGGCATGCAACGCGAACGAAAACTTTCGTTACTTTTTTACGCACTCGATTCGGCGAATGTATCTCGAGAATAACAATCATCGACTGCGATCGATGGAGCTAAAAAAGCAAGGAGCGCAGTGTAACGGGTGTTGGCAAACATCTAAAAATGCTGAAGCATAAACACTGAAAAATTACTTAATTGGGATCAAAGACAAAGATCCCCCCCCCCCCTCCCTCCTGTTTAGCCTGTAACAGACTGTTGGCGCTGTTGCTGTTAGCGAGCACCTATTAAGGCCGGCACGGCACGCGATGGGGTGGTTGGTGATGTTTTTCCGCACCGCACCAGGTATTCATTTGAGGCGGAGTCGACCTAGGGGAGGCCCAGGACTGGTGCAAATAATCGTCACCGGTGTTGGCCGCGAGCGGGAATTATCGAACGCGTAGCGCTGTAACCGCTTCGCTACTGCCGCTCCCCACAATTTGAGATCACCACACGGCAAAAAATTACTCAGTTGGGATCACACAGCAGTAAAATCAGTCCCTCTTGCGAAACACCTGGCAGGACCCTCCTGCAACAGAAAAAAGAGTCTTGAGACTCAATGTGCCTTTCCTGGGTAAAAAAAAAACCCAGCATGATGCTGTAATCGTGGATCATTTACAAAAAAAAGTCGATGTCTCGTCGTGAGGTCCGCATGGCCGTGGGATGTACCACTGTGTGCCAAGGGAGAAGGGGGGGGGGTGTTTTTGGTGGGGTTGATTTTTGTTGTTGTTGGCTCAAGCCGCGTTGTGTGTACGTCGCATTAGACAGTTGTTTTTGCTGCGTTTGTATTCCAGCCGGAGGTGTTCTGCGCAACGCGTTGCCACGTCCAACGTGTTTCTGCGAAATAAAACGTAATATATTTTACCTGTTCAGTGTCCTTCATTGATGTGTCCGCTGCACTTAGCGGACTCGGATTTCAATCCAGGGAGGTCACTGGTTCGGTTCGATCTTCCGATGCGGAAGTTGAAACTGTGATGCATGTTTCTCAAATCACCTCCTGCCCCCCCCCGAAATGGTTACGCCGCAGTTGAGATGATGGGCACGTGGTTAGGAAGGCCCCACTAAACTCACAGCTTCTTGATTTGAAGCTTTCGTGACTGCAAGGATTCATATTCTTAGGTTTTTTTCGGTAAAGTCACGTAGGCGAAAATTTAAAATTAATAAGAGTAAAATAAATATAAAATAAAAATCACGACGTTTCGGAGGCAACAGACGGAAGCTTGTGTTGCCTCCGAAACGTGATTTTTATTTTATATTTATTTTACTTTTATTAATTTTAATTTTTCACCTACGTGACTTTACCGAAAAAAACCTAAAAATATCGCAGCTTCTTTTTTAGAAGCGACTTGGCGAGCACAAATGATAGCTCAACGAAGGTCAACTATATCACGTGGACATTTATAGCAGCCAAATAACTCTGAACGCGTGGTGATGTTGATTCTAAATGTGGAGGGGGAAAAAACCGGAGCACCCAGAGAAAAAAATTTTCACGGCGATCATGGGGAGAGAGTCACGCAAACCCCAAATATACAGCAGCAGGCGGTCAAGGCTGGGATCGAAACCCACGACCTCCTGTACACCAGGCGAGGTCGTTAACATCTCACCACGGAGAGAGACGCAAACTCCAAATATACAGCAGCAGGCGTCAGGGTCGGGATCGGGATCGAACCCACGACCTGTAGACCAGGCGAGGTAGTTAACATCTCACCACGGAGAGAGCCGCAAACTCCAAATATACAGCAGCAGGCGTCAGGGTCGGGATCGAACTCACGACCTCCTGCATACCAGGCGAGGTAGTTAACATCTCACCGCACGGTGTGTGAAACCTCAGCGCTGGAGAAACAAACATGGCCAGGTATGGTTCTGGGCAACACCACCACCATCGTCTTGTGTGGGCACCGGTGCCGGATGTAGCATGATGTTATAAAGGGGCCATAAATAAATAAATTAAAACTATTAATATTAAAATAAAAAACATTTTACTTGCAGAGTAAAGTAATTGTATTTTTTCATTTGCTATACGGCCAGATAATACGACAAATCGCTAACCATAAAAACCGAGTCGTTCGTAAAAGTTGAAGGGCGGTATAGTACTGTAGGGGTGTCAGGGGAAGGATTCCCACCAATAGGAGGGTTAGTGGGAGGGGTGATCGAGGAGATATAAGGAGAGAACGGGCGGGAAGAGGGGGCCTTTGGCGGGAACGAGATTGGGACGGCCGGGGACAGGTGTGGATGGAAGGAAAGGAATAAAGGACGAGACCCCTGCAATCTGGTGTCGGCTCCCCCTTTACAGTACTATAGTAATATAGCAAGTGCAGAATCATTGAACTGGAATTGATAGCTTGAAAGCATTTAGCGCGGGAGCCCTTGAAAGTGCGGGGCCCGTAGCATATGTAGTTGCTACTTATGTAGCAACTACATATGTAGTACACATGTAGCTACATCTGTAGCTACTTTTGCCACTACGATAATCAAACAACGGACTGCACGCCACGCTGGCCTTAATAGACGCTTGCGAACAGTAGTCTGTGTGGCTGGCTGGTGCGTTTGCAACCCAGAGGGTTGTCGGCACAGTGTTGGATCTATGATGTACTCTGCACAATGAAGCGTTGGCACGGAGGTATCATAAACCCCGATACGTGTACTCTGCCTGATTGCGATGTTGCTTTGCTGATCTAGTTAGGGGCTCGCGACCACGCGCTTAATGGACTCGATGGGGTTCAGCGAATTTCGTTAAATCTCGTGTCATTTGAATCAGTGCAAGTGCTGGCTCAAGCGTTGTAAGTTGGCGGGGGGGGGGGGGGGGACACCGCGCACGTGCTTGGAATTGTTTAATCGTTGGGGGGGGCCCTTTGACCGATCTTGGCCACGCTAGTCAGGAGCAGTAGGAGCAGGAGGAGTAGCAGCAGTAGCAGCAGGATGAGTAGCAGCAGCAGGAGTAGCAGTAGCAGCAGGATGAGTAGGAGTAGGATGAGTAGCAGCAGTAGCAGCAGGATGAGTAGCAGCAGGAGGAGTAGCAGCAGTAGCAGCAGGATGAGTAGGAGCAGGAGGAGTAGCAGCAGTAGCAGCAGGATGAGTAGCAGCAGCAGGAGTAGCAGTAGTAGCAGCAGGATGAGTAGCAGTAGGATGAGTAGCAGCAGTAGCAGCAGGATGAGTAGCAGCAGGATGAGTAGCAGAAGTAGCAGCAGGATGAGTAGCAGCAGCAGGAGTAGCAGCAGTAGCAGCAGGATGAGTAGGAGTAGCAGGAGGGGTATTGCGTCCCGTGTCCAGCCAGCGAGGCTCGTTTCGGCCACGGCGCTTTCCACACGAGTCAGCAGACGCGGGAGCCATCGCTCACCCAACCACAGCTACTGCGAATGACCTCCCCGTTTCTTTATCCTCGTCGTTATTAATATTCTGCTGGGTTACCCTGGGAAGCCGCGGCCAGCCTCAAGACTGCTTCCTTTTTTTGCTTTTTCAGGAGGGTCCTGCGAGATGTTAACTACCTCGCCTGGTGTACAGGAGGTCGTGGGTTCGATCCCGACTCTGACACCTGGATATTTGGAGTTTGCACGTCGCGCGCTCTCTCTCTCCCCGTGTTCGCGTGGATGTTTTCTCCGGGTCGTCCGGTATTTTCCGTCCATATTGAGAATCCACACCACGCGTTTAAGAGTATCTGGCTGCCATGAATGTCCACGTGATGATGATGGTGATGATCAGCCCACTTCGTTGAGCTATCATTTGTGATAGTCAGGTCGCTTCTGAAAAAAAGCTACATCGCTCAGTGGGGGCCTTACCTGGGGTGGGCCTGGGTGGGGAGGGGAGGGTGGGGAGGGGCTGGGTGGGGAGGGTGGGGAGGGGCTGGGTGGGGAGGGTGGGGCTGGGTGGGGGGTGGGAGGGGTGGGGCTGGGTGGGGAGGAGCTGGGTGGGAGGGGTGGGGCTGGGTGGGGAGGGGCTGGTCATCCCGTGGTGCCCTTATAAAACTCAACGTTTTACCTAATCACGCCGGCTTGTGCCCGCCCTCACAGTCGGGCATATTTGCGGAATACACCACGCCGCCGTTGACCCTGGCCATTGACCGAGCAACCCAACGTTCCTACCAGCTCCCTCCGCAGGACAATGTGTTTAGTATCAGTGGTGTAGTGACTACATGATCAGCTCAGGGGGGGGGGGGGGGTGTGGCAATCGGTCAACTGCCCCCCCCCCCCACAATATTTGATTTGCGAAATTTGCGGAAGCTCAAATGTCGTTGCCGCTCAAATTAAATTCAAACATAACACGTGGAACGCAAATGAAAGCGTTCTCAGTCAGGAGGACATTAACTTAGGCCCGCGTTTTAAAGTCCTGTTCTTTTGTTTTATTATCAACACTGTTGTCAAGGGGGGGGGGGGGGGTGCCCACCAACTCGTAGCTTTGTTCATCGAGAGGAGGTGGGGTGGGGGGCCAAGGCACCCCCTGCCTGCCCCCCCCCCCTCCCACCACGAGTTTATGAGTTGTTGTTGTTGTTTGCGGAGGGTGGGCATGGGGTGGTCGGAGAGCAGGGTGGTGGAATAATACTACAACTAATAATCATACTAATACTACTACTAATATAATCATACAAATTATAATATTAATAATACTAGTAAAAATACTACTAATAATACCAATTATAATATTAATACTACTACTAATACTAAGAATACTACCAATAATACGAATAATCATACCAATTATAATATTAATAATACTAATAAAAATGCTAACAATACTACTAATAATACCAAAATAATACTATAATAATAATACTTCTAATAATACTACAACAATAATACTATTATTAATAAATAAACTAATACTATTTGCCCAGCCTCGACTAAGCAGCCCGGGTTTTCAGTGGCGTGTGGATGGGGCGAGATCGTGAAACAAAAGAGAGGAATAGGAGGGAAAGGAGGGGGATGAGGAGGGGGAAGAGGAGGGGGAGGAGGGGAAGGAAGAGGAGGGGGATGAGGAGGGAGAGGAGGGGGAGGATGAGAGAGAGGAGGGAGAGGAGGGGGAGGATGAAAAGGAGAAAAACAGGAAGACGCTGCCGATCATTTTGATTTCATTGCCCCTTTATTACATATCTTAAATAATATTCATACGCAATCATAGTAAGTGTAATCATAATGGTAATAGAACCTAAAAAAAAAGGATTCGGTTGCAACACACATCTCATGAGCGGCTATTATTATTAATATTATAATATTTTTTTTTGGCGTTACAGGCCCTGTGGCAGGCCGGGGCAGGGTGAACGTGGCGAGAAGACACCACGACGGAGCGAGACCTCAAACACGACGCACCGCCACCCCCCGCACCGCACCGCAAGCTCCGAGCTGACGGATTCACGCAGCAGACAAATCGTGAGCGTGGATCACGGTGACCGCCACCGCCACCACCGTTGCCTGCCTGACGAAGTTCTGAGTCTCGGTTCCCTGGGTAGGTGGGTGGGTAGGTGGGTAATTGGGTGGGTTGTTGGGTGGGTACATGGGTAGGTGGGCAGGTAGGTGCGTGGGTAGGTGGGTAGTTGGGTGGGTTATTGAATGGGTACATGGGTAGGTGGGCAGGTAGGTGGGTGGGTAGGCGGGTGGGTACGTGGGTGGGGAGGGGGGTGGGTATTTGGGTCGGTGGGTGAGTAGGTCGGTTGGCACGTGGGTTACGTGAGTAGGTGGGTACGTGGGTGGGTAGGTAGGTAGGTGGGTAGGTAGGTGGGTGGGTACGTGTGCAGGTGGGTATGTGTCAATATACGGTACAACGTCTTCTTCTGCAAAGTATACCGGCAACGCGCACGGACGGGACTGAGCGACAAGGACAAGAAACGAAACCATCCACGCGAGGTCAACCTTTTGCTGTTGTTAAACGAAACCTTCTTAACGCGCAAATTATCGCCGAGTCTCGAAACTTCTTCACCGGGAAGGGGTCCTGCCTGCCACGTTTGAGACGTTTGACCGATCGCAACTGATGAGCGCGCGTCGGTTTCGTGCGGCAGGACAAATACCCAGCTAGTTTTCCCCGAGGAAACCCACCCACACCCACGTCGGGGGGGGGGGGGGGGGTAGGGGCGGACACAGGTGAATTCAACCCACACGCAACTCCAGTGGTTTCGCATCCGAAGCGGGCACCAGAGCTGCGAGGGCACACGTTGCGTGACCCCCCTCCCACCAACCCCCTTCCTCCTTCTACTACCTCCGAAGCTTCTCAAACCTCCAACAGCCGGTGGCGGCCCGCGCGCCCTTCCTTAGCCGCTTCCGAGCAGAGGTCGCAAACGGGTTTTGATTCCTTACCCGTACCCGTACCCGGCCGCACCAGGGTCGCAAAAGGGTACCCGTACCTGGCTGGGTACGGGTAGCCGGGTATCGGGTAGGGTATAGGTGAGTAGGTCGGTTGGCACGTGGGTTATGTGAGTAGGTGGGTACGTGGGTGGGTAGGTGGGTGGGTAGGTAGGTGGGTGGGTACGTAGGAAGGTGGGTGCGTAGGTGTGTAGGTGGTTGGGTAGGTGGGTGGGTGGATACGTGGGTGGGTAGGTGGGTGGGTAGGTAGGTGGGTGGGTAGGTAGGTGGGTGGGTACGTGTGCAGGTGGGTATGTGTCAATTTACGGTACAACGTCTTCTTCTGCAAAGTATACGGGTATCGGGTACCCGATTGCGACCTCTGCTTCCGAGACTCTGCGCGATTGGGATGGTGGGGGGCGCGTTCGGGCTGACCTGGGTTTGCGATGCCACGCGGCGCAGTGTCCGCCGTAAGTGCCCAGACGTTGCACCCGAGTCAAGAGCCGCGTGGCTCAAAGGGCTATGCCTAATAAATGAAACAAAATGAAATAAACGTCTCCTCCGCCGTTCATTGCGCGTGGCGAGCGGCCGGTCACTTGACGGGTGCACCGCAGTGCGAACGCCTTTGCCGTGGGGCATTTGGCAGATATACGCTCCATTATAAAGGTTTTTTGGTGAGATCACGTAAACGTAAATGCGTCGCAACCCTTCACCATCCGGCACGGCCAATCGGTAAAAAAAAATGTGTTAACTAAACGATAATTGGTTTGAAGAGTGAATCCACAACATTTAGAATTTGTGTTGTACGACGTTTCGCTGGTAATTACATCCAGCATCTTGGGGCGATTTACCAGAATCACCCGTGTGGTGGAGAGTTTCGACACGTTTAAACTTACGCGATCTAACCCGAAAACCTTTGATTTGAAGCTTTCATGATTGCAGGAATCCATACTCTTTGGTTCTTTGGGTAAAGTCACATAGGTATAAAATTAATAGATCAAATAATAATCGTGATCTATTATTTTTCTTACCTACGTGACTTTACCGATGGAACCATATAGTAGCGAAAACACGTAGGTATAAAATAAAGTAAACCACGACGTTTCGGGCGCAACACAAGCGTCCGTCGTCAGGTGGAGTATGGATTCCTGCAGTCGCGAAAACTTCAAATCAAGATAATACCAAAAACCTTTATTGTGAATAATACTGGTCGCGAAAGCCTACGTGTTAAAACAGATTTACGCTGCTCGCGTTTAAAAAAAATAAAATCCAAATTATCGCCGGTCTTGTGTGCAGAATGCAATTTTTGGATATTTGTGAAACAATGGGGGGGATTGTAAAATAAAAACGAACAACCCTCAATTGCGAATAAAATTAAAGCCACCAAATTTCTGGGAGGCTCAAACGGGACGCATGGCAGCTGGCAGCTCCGCCTACTTTTACACCACTGGTCCCGCCCACTCAGGTAGCTTCGACCAATCAGGTAGCTCTGCCCGCTCAGGCAGATGCGCCCACTCAGGTAGCTCCGCCCACTTAGCTAGCTCCGCCCACTCATGTAGCTCCACCCAGTCGGGTAGCTCCGCCCACTCGGGTAGCTCTGCCCACTCGGGTAGCTCCGCCCACTCAGTGAGCTCTGCCCACTCAAGTAGCTCCGCCCACTCGGGTAGCTCCGCCCACTCGGGTAGCTCAGCCCGCTCGGGTAGCTCCGCCCACTCAGGTAGCTCCACCCACTCAGGTAGCTCCGCCCACTCAGGTAGCTACGCCTACTCAGGTAGCTCCACCCACTCAGGCAGCTCCGCCCACTCAAGTAGCTCCGCCCCCTCGGGTAGCTCCGCCTACTCAGGTAACTCCGCCCACTCGGGTAGCTCCGCCCACTCGGGTAGATCCGCCCACTCGGGCAGATCTGCCCACTCAGGTAGCTCCGCCCACTCGGGCATCTCCGCCCACTCGGGTAGCTCCGCCCACTCGGGTAGCTCCGCCCACTCGGGCAGCTCCGCCCCCTCGGGTAGCTCCGCCCACTCGGGTAGCCCCGCCCACTCGGGTAGCTCCTCCCCACTGCGCCACATCATGAGCTTCGCACGAGGCCAGATCATTTTGGGGACGAAGTCTCAATTTTCGCAACGACTTCATGGGGGCGAGGGAGCGAGGTTGGTGGGGTGGCACAGGGATGGCCTGTAAGGAACGACTGGTTCTGTCCAGGCCAAACCTGGGCATCGGGTGACTTTCGTATAAAGCTGCCGAAGGTTTTGACGAGCGTGACTTTTGGGTCAAGATCGGTCAGCGGGAATCGAACTCCGGGAAAAGGTTTTGAGTATCCTCCTCTCGACCTTCGCCACTCCGGAAGCCGCCCACCGCTGACGAGCGAACGTGCTGTGTTTTACCACGTCAGAGGCTCCGACTCCCCCTTCTTTTCCCACTGGCACATCCGAGCCGAGACAGCGCGGGTTCCCGCACGGTTACGGGGGGCGGTTTTCCACTGGCCGTTTTTGCCGTGCCGAGCCGTCCGTTCGCTCGCGATGCACGCACACGCGTGCGTGCCTCCGCTCATTCGAACGCGCGCGCGCGCCGCGAGACGTCTCGGCTCGGCTCGGATTCCGTGGCAGTGGAAAATCAACCGGGCGCCGCCATCCCGAGGCCGGGTGGTCATCTCACCCATTCAGCCGCGCCGCCAATGTCCCTCTGCCGTGGGTCAAAAAGGCTTTCCCAAAATTGGCGTAGGTGGGGAAGGGAGGGGGGAGGGGGGGTGTATTTAATATAAAGCAAATTCTTGATTAATATTCATATATATGTACGTATTAATGTATATATTTATATATGAATAATGCCTTATACGTATGCTTGCATGGATCCCGATGAGTGTTCGGCGTGCCAGCTTCAACGGCGGTGTTCGGCGAAGCCGCGCGTGGCATTTAGCCCGTCGCCAGGTCGCTCTGTAACTAAAACAACGTACGCGCCTTTACTACCCCCCCCCGGATAGAGTAAGGTGGGGGGGGGGCGGTGATGAGAGAGTTTTAAATGTACAACGAATGAGCAACGCGGAGGTGGAGAGGTAGGGGGGGAGGGCGTGGATGGGTGGGAAAGCGGTGGGGTTGGAACGCACTCGGACCGCGATGGCTTTTTATTTTTTTTCTCTCCCCCCCCCCCTCTCTCTCTCGATTTTTCGAGGGGATTTTACAAACGAGAGGGTAGAGAGAGAGGGGGGGGGGGGGCGACGGGAAGGTGTCCCGAGTTCTCCTCGTTGGGAGAGTGCGAGAGTCGAAGCTTGTCTTCCCGCACCTCGACTCAAAGGGAAGGACACACGAGGGGAGGGGCACGACAACAGATCGAAGCATCGGTTACGGTCCGTCGGAGCGAGAGGCCTCGGATGGCGTGGACGCGGTTGTTCGGTGGCTCGGGTTCGCAACGACGCGAGGTTGGGGACCCCCACAATCTGACAGCGAAAAAAACACGCAAACCCCCCCCCCCCCCCCCTTTAAAATACACGCGCGGATTTGATTTTTTTTTTGTACTTTTTTTACCCCGGTCAATAAATATTTTTTCGTTTCTAAATAGGTTTTTTTTTGTTGTAAAGCAAATATGTTTGAGTAGTAATAATAATAAGAATAATAATTATTATTTTGTTGAAAATATAAAACATTTCATGGCATGAACACGCCAAAGTAGGGAGATAATAAGAGTTAATGCTGAGATGAGACTTTGTACATCGGTAATATATATTTTTTTCAGTATTTTTTTGGGTTTTTTTTCCAATAGTTTTTATTTACTTTCCAGGTGTGTGACGTAGATGAGAGGCGGTAAACATTAATCTACTTCACAGCTGTCACGTTGGCTCCATTCCAGCGGCAGGTTGCACGCACACACACTCACAGACTCCTACATACACACACAGACTCCTACACACACTCACAGACTCCTACATACACACACAGACTCCTACATACACACACTCACAGACTCCTACAAACACACACTCACAGACTCCTACACACACACTCACAGACTCCTACATACACACACTCACAGACTCCTACATACACACACTCACATACTTCTACATACACACACTCACAGACTCCTACATACACACACTCACAGACTCCTACATACACACACTCACATACTTCTACATACACACACTCACATACTTCTACACACACACACTCACATACTCCTACATACACACACTCACAGACTCCTACATACACACACTCACTGACTCCTACACACACTCACACACATACTCCTACATACACACACTCACAGACTACTACATACCAACACTCACAGACTCCTACATACACACACTTACAGACTCCTACATACACACACTCACAGACTCCCACATACACACACTCACAGACTACTACATACAAACACTCACAGACTCCTACATACACACACTCACATACTCCTACATACACTCACACACACTCACAGACTCCTACCCACACACTCACATACTCCTACATACACACACTCCCAGACTCCTACATACACACACAGACTCCTACATACACACACACAGACTGCTACATACACACACTCACAGACTCCTACATACACACACTCACAGACTCCTACATACACACACTCACTGACTCCTACATACACACACTCACAGACTCCTACATACACACACTCACATACTCCTACATACAGACACTCACAGACTCCTACATACACACACTCACATACTCCTACATACACACACTCACAGACTCCTACACACACACACTCATAGACTCCTACACACACTCACAGAATTCTACACACACACAGACTCCTACATACACACACTCACAGACTCCTACATACACACACACTCACATACTCCTACATACACACACTCACAGACTCCTACACACACTCACACACTCACTCACAGACTCCTACACTCACTCACAGACTCCTACACACACTCACACACAGATTCACTCACACACGCACAGAGCGAGGGCTCCACGATCGTCAAGGTGGGGGAGGGAGGTTTCACTCTCCCACTCTGAGCTCACTACTCTCCAACCCTGAGCCCCCCGGCCCCACCCCCCTCCTCCCCACAGGTCTATTGTGACGTCACCTTCCACCGGAATGGCGCCGCCGCCTTGACAGGCACGGCGACTCGATAAAAAGAAGCGACTTAAAGGTTGAAACTGGATAAAGTTCACGATATCACCGGTAACTAAAATTAATCTTAAACTCACCCACCCATCCCTTCCCTGACCATCCCCCCCCCACCACCACCCACCCTCCCCAGTCCCCCCCCTCCCCATCTCCCAACCCCTCCCCCTACATCACCCTCCCGCCCGCTCCCCACCCTCCCTTCCCCTCCCCATCGACCGTCTTTAAATTGCACAACGCTGCCGATGGTAATGCAGGACACGGGCGCGCGATACCTTGTATTTTACTTCTGTTTTGGCAGAATCCACTGAGTTCGCACGACGGAGGAGGCCAGGGGGGGATCGCGAGCGCACGCTCCAGTGTCGCCGCCACCGCCACCGCCATCGTTGTGCTTCCTTGGAAGACTTCTCCGGAGTGCCGTTCACCGCTCGCACTGGACGGGAACGGGATACCCGGGGACGGAAAGGACGCGTTTGGGGTCCCCAACCGCCGCGGCGTCGATCGGAGCAGCAGCAGTGCAAGGTGGACGGACGCCGGCGTCGTGCGAAACCTCGTCCGTTGTGCGATCGTCGGGTTTCCGATCGACGGTCGTTGTCGTCAGCCCTTCCGCGCGGCGGGGCGTTGAGGGGTTCACCTCCCTCCCCCGGAGACGGTTGCCCCTGGAGACGGTTGCCCCTGGAGACGGTTCCCCCCAGAGACGGTTGCCCCTGGAGACGGTTCCTCCCGGAGACGGTTGCCCCTGGAGACGGTTCCCCCCAGAGACGGTTGCCCCTGGAGACGGTTCCTCCCGGAGACGGTTGCCCCTGGAGACGGTTCCTCCCAGAGACGGTTGCCCCTGGAGGTGGTTCCCCCCGGAGACGGTTTCCCCGGAGACGGTTACCCCTGGATACTGTTCCCCTGGAGACGGGTCCGCAGCAGGAAAACCGCCATCCCTGAAGGACCGTGTTTCGATAATTTGCATTTAGATAATTCCCGTTGTGTTTTGTTATTTTCTTTGTTGCTGTTTGTTCGGCGTTATATGTTTTGTTTGTTCGACGGCATTTGCGACCACCCCCCCCCCCCCCACTTAGCCCCCCCCCCCACGCTCCCCCCCGCCCCTCCCCATGCCCCCCCCCCCATTCTGCCCAAACGAGGCCCTGTAAGGCTGCAGGCAGGCGACGCGTTCATAGAAAAAATAATGATTGTTTTACATTTTTCCCTTCCCCCGTTTGTCTCCTCATATAATTGTCTGTCCGCGCTGTTCTCAAACACCTCTTGACCTCTGTGCTTTGGTCAGATGTACAAATTTCCTCGTCAATTTGTGTTTCTTTATTATTTCCACCCTCCCCCACCTACCCCATTACCCATTACCCGACTCCCACATCCCACCCCCCCAAAAACCCATTCCTTTTCCTATTTTTTCTTTAAATATTCACATTCTTTAGTGCAATTTTGAGGTTGGATGAAGCACTTTGAGAAAGAAAACACGAGAGAGAGAGAGAGGGAGAGAGAATTTACATCGGGTGTGTGGGGGGGATGGGGATCAAAACAGGGAACCCCACTCAGCTCCACTCTACACCCCCCCACCTCCCCCCCCTCCCCCCCCTCTCCCCACACGAGGTGAAGGCAGTCCCTCTTGTGATGCACCGACAAATGTAAAACTCTCCGCGCCGCTGGGACGACGTTTCGACTCCGAGAGGGTCACGGGACGAGCACCCGGGGCCGCAGATAACGCCCTGGGCCGGGATGGGGCAATGATCCTGACTCTGTAGATCCCCTCTCGCCCTCTCTCTCTCGCCCTCTCTCGCTCTCTCACCACCCGGCCACCACTGCCGCCACCGCCGTGACCCCGTTCGCCGGCGGGGCGCTCACAAGGCCGACGGTGCGGCTGCTGTGCCCTCTGCGCTAGCGGCCTCCCCCCTCCTCCTCTTCTTCCTCCTCCGCGGCGTTCACCACGCGGGGGGGGAGGGGTTTCTCATTTTTTGGCAATTTGCGCCGATTCCCCCCCCCCCCCGCACCCGCGGAGGCCGTGGCTGGGGAGAGGTTTTTATTTTTGTGCGCGAATCCAACCCGGGCGGCGCCCTCTCTCCGACGCGTGCCGTCCGGCTGCGGTGTCCGACGTTTCATTTCGCTCCCGCGTTGCTTGTGGCGGGTGGATTCTTCGTGACCTGATTTGGCCACGCAGCAGGGTTTGCCCGCCGCCGATGGTCTCGTTGATTGTTGACGATCCTTGTTGTTGCTGCTGCTGTTGCTTTCTCAGGCAGGGAACCCAACCGATTTCCCGGAGAGTCTCCCAGCAGCAGCAGCAGCAAGCAGCACGTGGAGCGAAACGTCAGACATCGTGCAACCCGAAATCGGACGGAGAGAAAGAGAGAGAGAGAGCTCAAAGCAAGGGAGCGGATTCGTTTCTCTGTTTTCTTTCTGCGGCGCACGATGGATGCGATGAAGATGCCGTTAGTCACAGTGCAACGTAATCTTTGAAGGAGGTCGATCGCTCGCCCGCTCGCGCGCCCGCCAGCCCCCGTGTTCGGCCGACGTGACCCCACATGTCTCCCCGTTGCTGCTGGTGGAGGGGGGCAGGGGGAGGCGGCTCCTCTTTCGCACCCCTCACTCCGACAGAATTTCCAGCCCCCCCCCCTTCCGTTCGGGTTTCGTACGCGCGCGCACGCACGATATCGGCGCCCCCTCCGCTTTGCGTTCCCGGCTCTGCGCGCCACTCCCACTCACTGCCAGGGAGCGGCATCGGCTTTCGGCAGACGGTGGTGGCGGTGGCACCGGCGTTGGCTGCCGCCCGTGCCGCGACGGGAGGGCGGCGGGGCCGCGCTTGGCTAATGCGCAGCCGCGGATTCGGTACCACCGCCACCACCGCCGCTCCACCCCCCCTCCTCCCGTGTGTACAAGACGATAAAATAAACTCCCAGCAAGAGGTAGCTTACTCTGACATCCAATGGATTGGCACGTTCCCCCTCTACTACCACTACATGGTGGTGGTTGTGGTGGTGGTCTCCATCAACCCCATAACACCTGGGCCTGTCCTGTGACCTCTGAAAGCCTCCCACCGCACTTCGCGTGGCCTCGAGGTGCATCTCGCCTGGCACAAGCGCCACTTAGTGGCGAACGGCGGTCGTTGTTTGTTGGTGGTTGTCGGGGGGGTGGGGCGTGGGGGCGTGGTGACGTGGCGTGCGAGCGCGTCACGAGTTCCGGTCGCGGTCGACGTCCGGGCTAGGCGGTGGCAGCCCTTTGCCGTCGCTGTTTTCTTTTTCAAAACTCCCGCCCCCTCGACGCGGTCGAATCCCCTGCGGGGATTCTCGCGAATGCCAGGGGGAGGAAGTGATGCGGGTTGGGGTGGATTGTGGGGGGTGGGGGCAGTTGGGAGGGGGGAGGGGCATGAAAGGCCGAGGCGTTTCCTGTCGATTTCGCGTGGCACGTGGGGAGAAACGTGCGGCCCGACCGGGATTAAACCACGGTTCGTGGGAAGGAGAAAATATAAATATATATATCAACACGCTGAGCTCGTGGGAAACGAGACGCCTCTACACATTAATCATTGGTTTTCATTTCGTCGCCTCTTCGTCTGACCGCCCGCCGCACGGCCGTGGCGGAGTCGTTCGTCCGCTCCTCGCGAATCTCGTTCGTTCGCTCGCTCGCACGGACGCACGCCACCGCACGCCGCCGCACGCCGCTGACCAATACCAAAAACCAAACCAACGCCCCCCCCCTCCTCCACCCAGATGGGGGTTGTAAGAGCGCGGACGGGGGAAAATTCTGCACTCGAAATATTCGAATGTTTAGCGGGCACCGACAGATTCTCTTAGTCTTGCCGGGCAGCCAGGGCAGGGAGGGGGTGATGGGTGGTGGGGGGGGGGGGGGCAGCGGGCTTTGTCAGCTAGGCCGTGCCCCCCCCCCCCACATTACCCACCTACTCCCGCCCCCCCGGGAAGGCCGAACCATCGGGAACCGAATCGCGTTAAAGCACCCGGAGGTGAGGATCTCGACAGTGGAGGGGGGGTTATGGTGGCGGTGGTGGGGGGGGAGCGACCTCTTGACCTCCGGATCGGCAAGTCAAGCCACCGCCGCCATGGCAAAGGCGCTTGTGCCGGTCCCAAATCTGCGTCGCTCGCTTTTTTTGCATTTGTATCGTCGGCCAAAACAAGACAAAAAAGCGGACCTGCAAGGGGAAAACCAAAACCAAATTACCTAGTGGCTAAACAGGCAGGTAAACTAGCCAGTGGGGGGGTTTTTCTCTCGGTTTTAGTTCTTGAATAGCCGCTTACCTTCAGGTTCGCTAGGTAAAGCGAGAATTCCCCTCCCCCCCCCACCGGGCTTGGCATTCCGTTTCGCTATATTCCGTTTCGCTATATTCAAGATTGAGCTGCGCACGCGTTCAGGCACGGGTCAGCGCCCCAAACTTTGAACTCTGAAGGCAGTTTGTAGACTGGTCGTTTGTTTGCCCTCCCTCCCTCCCTCTCTCTCGATCGCTCGCAATGCGTAGTAATAATAATGATGATGATGATAGTCCAGCGGCGATCAACGGATCCGCCGCCATCGCCTAAACCGACCGCATTGCCGAACTGTCCAGGCCAGCGCCGTTTATATTTTTTCGTGGCCCTGAAGTTTCGTTAAAGATTCCTTCATCGGCGCCGCCTCTATGGAAGTTGTTTGAGACGTCCTCTCCCAAAGTAAACCAGGCGTGGTGCGCTCATTTTTTTTGTTAAAATAATTTCGAGTTTACCACGGGACGGAAGGGGGGGTGGTGGTACGGGGAGTGCCGCTCATCGTTCTACCCCCCCCCCCACCCCTCCTCCCGGTAACCAACGGGATACGTCCGTACGTTTAGCGGCGAACCCCGAAATGTAAAACGCGTAGGAAAGCACCCGCGACGGTCGGGGGAAGGAAAGGAAAAAAAGATAAACCCAAAAGCGCCGCAACCTGAAAGTCCGAGCGTCCACTTCTGAAGGAATCGATGGCGGAGTAATCTCATGCATTCAGTACGCCGGTCGGTCTGTGGGTGTATAGGAAAGACGAAAGACAAAATAAAGTCGTTCCGCAGACGTCGCTTCGCCCCCCACCTCCCGCCCTTTCGCGTCGGAGGCTCCACTGGGTCGGGGCGACGGCCACCCCTGTCGCGGTCCCGGGACTCGGGAGAATCCGCGCAGATTTAGGGCCGTGGCCGTGGCCGCCTCGCGGCCGGACGCTGGCGGCGTTGCGACGGAGGAACCCTGTCAGCGTCGGGAGAGAAAAAAACCCCGTACAAAAGAAAACGAGCCGTCCCGGCCACGGCGAGCCAGGAGTAAAAACGGTCGCGACCCGGCGAGGTCACACGGTGACCTCGTTGCGGCTCTTGGTGCCCGCGTGTGGCGGCGTCTGCCACTGCTGCTGCTGCTGCTGCTGCAGCTTCTGCTGCGCCGCCGCGTAGTTCAGCTGCTCCAGCGTCAGGTGGCGGCGCCCGGCGAACGCCTGCCGCTTGGCCGTCGAGCTCGCCATGTTCCAAGTCCGCAGCGTCTCGGCCTGCGTCGGCGGCGGCGCCCGCGGCGGCGGCGGGCCCGGCGCGTCACCGACGCCGCCCCCGAGGCTCTGCCGGCGCGCCAGCCGGTGGGCGGTCGGCGTGGAGCGTGGCGTGTAGGGCAGTGTCGCCGTGTCGTCACGGTCGCCGCGCCGAACCCGCCCCGCCGCCCGGTCCGGCGTGGCGCTGTTCCCCCCGGCGGCCGAGGACGACCCCGACGAGATGACGGAGCGCGGCGGGAGCCGCGGCGGCAGCGCCGGCGGTGTGCCGACGCCATCGCGCTCGTCCGGCGAGCGCCGCCGGTGGCAGTAGCCGCGGCGCGCCCCCTGCGGCGCCGGCGGGTACTCGTAGTCCTCCGACGAGTCGCCGGCGAGCAGGTGGTGGTCGCTGCGGTGGAGCGAGCGGCGGGACAGGCGCTTGCGGCCGAGTCCCGGCGTTGAGCCGCCGTAGCCGTCCGGCGTCTGCGGCATGCCGGAGCGGGAGGCCGTGCCGTAGCGGGGGTCGGGCCGCGGCAAGCCGCCGCCGCCGCCGGCCCCTGTGCGGCGAGCGCCGCCCGGCGTGCCGGGGAAGTCGCGCGGCGTGCGGCGGCCCCCCACGTGGTGCCGGTCGAGCGAGTCCTGCGTGGGGTAGTGCGGCAGCCGCTGCGTCATCTGCCGCGGCTCCTTGTTGAGAGTGGGCGTCGAGCCGTAGATGTCCGTGTGGTACTTCCAGCCCTGGCGCGGACGCGGAGAGAGACGGAGACAGAGAGGGGCAGGGAGGGAGAGAGACAGAGAGTGACAGAGATGGGCAGAGAGGGAGAGAGACAGAGAGTGACAGAGAGGGACAGGGAAAGAGAAAGACAGAGAGGGAGAGAGACAGAGGGAGAGAGCGATGGAGAAAGTAAGGGGGAGAGACAGAGAGACAGGGAGAGAGATACAGAGAGAGATGATACATTACTAGACACTACACACCACAGGCCACGCACTGCCGTGGCAACCCCCTCGGCTATACCGCGCCACGCCGGCGAAACCTGCCGCCGGGAAAGCCCACCTTCTCGGAGCCCGTGCGCCACGTGCCGTAGTGGTGGTAGTGGTGGTGCTGGTGGCGCGGCTGCGTGGAGAAGCCCCGCGGGTCCCTCTGCAGGAACTCGTGGAGGAGCCGCTGCTTGCCCGGGTAGCCGTCGGCCTGCCCGTTGGCCTCGAGGCCGCCGATGCCGACGTACGGCGCGAGAGCGACGTCGGCCAGCGTCGGCGTCGAGCCGTAGGTGCGCACGTGCGCAGCCGCCGCTGCGGCCGCCGCTGACGCCGGCCGCTGCTTGCGGTAGTCCCACTGATCCCAGTGGTCGCGCTCGCGCTGCTCCCACTGCTGCTGCTCGCCGCCGCGTTGCTGCCGGTCGGGGTGCGGCACGCGCAGCGGCAGCGTGCCGCACGAGGCCATCTCCACCAGGTGGTGCTTCTTGGCGTAGTACTCGCTCAGCTCCTTGTCGGCTGCGGGCGGGGACGGTGGTGGGGGAGGTGGGGGGGAGGAGGAGGTGGGGAGGAGGGGGTGGGGGTAGGGGAGGGGGAGGGGAGGAGGGGAGGAAGGGGTGGGGAGGAGGAGGAAGGGGTGGGGAGGAGGGGGAGGAGAGGAGGGGGAGGGGGTGGGGAGGAGGTGGGGGGGAGAGGAGGAGGGGGGTGGGGAGGAGGGGGAGGGGAGAAGGGGGATGGGAGGAGGGGGTGGGGAGAAGGGGGAGAGGAGGAGGGGAGGGAGAAGGGAGGAGGGCAAGAGGGGGAGGGGGTGGTGAGGAGGAGGGGGGAGGAGGGAGGAGGGGGAGGGGAGTTCGACATTGAAACGCGAGTGACGTTTTTGACTGCAATCCGCCGCTCGACTCCGTGTGAGTCTCTGGGCCTGGCCAAGGAACCTCGCTGATTCGGGACTGCTCGTCGAGTTTTCAACTTTGTAGTTTTGTTGTCTCCCCCACAGCCCGGCCGCACCTCTGATTGAGCATCGATCGGCCACATTCGGTGGTGCAGAAAAAGAAATGTCTGCATGCGCACAAAAGACAAAACAACGATCCCTCCGCGTAGACTTAACAGACTGTCGGGGCAAGTGCTGTTAGCGAGCAGCACCTACGTGGGTAGTGATGGTGATGGTGGTGATGGTGGTGGTGATGGTGGTGGTGGTCGTGACGATGGTGGTGGTGATGCTGGTGGTTGTGGCGCTGGTGGTGGCGGCGGTGGTGGTGGTTGTGGTGGCGGTGGTTGTGATGGTGGTGGTGGTGATGGTGGTGGTGATGGCGGTGGTGGTCGTGGCGGTGGTGATGGTGGTGGTGGTGATGCTGGTGATGGTGGTGGCGGTGGTTGTGGTGGGTCACGTGCCGAGCCTCTTGAGCGAGTTGAAGCGCGCCAGCTCTGACTTGGCGGCCGTGAATGACGGCGCGAGGTGCTGGTGCGACTCCGACGGAGCCAGCGGAGTCATGAGCGCCATCGTCATGTGGATGTTGTTGACGCGCGGTTTCTCTGCGGATCGGAGGACGGAGAAAGAGCGGAGAGAGGAGAGAGAGAGAGGAGAGGGGGGTGGGCGGGGGGCACATAAAGCAAAGCGTTGAAAAAAAACGAAATGATGAACGAAGCAAAGTGCCGACTACACCGAGCATCTTCTTGTTTCCTCTGATCGTAACAAACAAGAGAGAGGAGAGAGAGAGGCGAGAGAGAGAGAAAGATGAGAGGGAGACTTTTAAACAACTTTTATTGTCACCAGCAGCCACAGCACTGGAGGCGATTTCGAAACGAAATACACAAAGTCGCCAGCAACACAATGACACAATAAACACACGGGCGCTGTGGCGTTGGATGCGCCGCGCACAACACGAAAAAAAAGCCACGTGGTGATGGTGCTGGTCATCGCGCGCGCCACGGTGACGAGCGAGCGCTTCAGAAGGTGAACACGAGGGGGGTGACGTCCACGCTGATACAGAGAGGGGCTTTTCCGGTTCTCCAGCGTTCGAAGAAGACGCGCACATCACCAACATGTGTGTGGTGCGCGTGTTCCAGCCCGAGCCGCGCCTTGAGCAGGCCTCTAAACACTGTAAGCAGCACAGAGCAGCCGTCAGTGTCACCTTGCAGAATATTTTTTCTCGTCTTGTACACCGCCGTCTTCGCTTGAGCACAAACGAAGTTGACGAGGTCATGGCGTTTGTTAGCCAGGTAAGGCACCACCCCATATACAAAGCTGCTGTTGTAGAAGGGCACCCCCAGTTTCCTGAAGACGTCCCCCAAAAGGCGGAACATTGGGTTGAGCCGCTGGCAGCGTAAGTACCGGTGGGGCAGATCCTCCCTGGCACCGCAGGACATGCACAAGTCTGTTACCCCTGGCGAGATTCGGCTAAGCCACACGGCCGATGGCAACGTGCAGTGTGTCAACCTCCACTGGAGGTCACCGCAGCGTTCGGCTACGGGAGACATTTTCTGTCGCGCTGTTTGTTGCCGGCCATCGGGGACTGATCACTGTTGTTGCAAACAAACAGGAATACGATAAGTGCATTTGAAAAATTCCCGCAAAGCTGGAGGGGGAAAACCACAGGCGCAGAAGGGGAGTCTAAAATTACGAACTAAACAATTTTTTTTATTTTTAAATACTTTATATTAAGTTCGCTTGCTTGCTTGCGTGCTTGCTTGCTTGCTTACGACCGTGCAAATCTTTCGGTCGTTTTTTAACCCACTTCCCGTGATCCAATCGAGCTGACATTTTGCACACAGACTCGTTGTGCGAGACAATTAATGTTCGTGAAAATTTTTTTTCCAAAATGTTACACTGTTTAGGGAAAACAAATTAAATATTTAATTACCAATTGCTTAATACTGGCCGACAATCATCTGACCCATAGGTGGCAGCCATCTCAAGCCAGAGGACGAGAGGACTCTCGCCGCCACGCATATAAAGGATTTATAGTGAAAAACTTTGTTTTTACTCGTTATACTTATTCCAGGTACGGCCGCAATGAAGCTCTATCGTTATTTTTTCAGAAGCGACTTGGTCATCACAGATGAAGGCTCAACGAAGTGGGCTTCTCGTCACCATCGCCGTGTGGGGTTGTATAGCAGCAGCAGCCAAGTAACTGTGAATGCATGACGTTGATTCTAAATGTGGAGGGGAAAAACCGGAGAAAAATCCACGCGACCATGCAGAGAGAGAGACACGGAAACTAAAAAAGATACAGCAGCAGGCGTCAGGGTCGGAATCGAACCCACGACCTCCTGCACACCAGGCGAGGTAGTTAACATCTCACCACGGAGAGAGAGACGCAAACTCCAAATATACAGCAGCAGGCGTCAGGGTCGGAATCGAACCCACGACCTCCTGCACACCAGGCGAGGTAGTTAACATCTCACCACGGAGAGAGAGACGCAAACTCCAAATATACAGCAGCAGGCGTCAGGGTCGGAATCGAACCCACGACCTCCTGTATACCAGGCAAGATAGTTAACATCTCGAGGCGGGGGCCGCGTGTTTTTGGGGTGATCGCCCTGGTAATGTGACAATGACATTAAAGGCCCTTGCTGACAGTTTCACATTGCACGCGGAGTGGAGAGGCCGCGTGTATATTTTCACACGTTTTAGATTTGAATGTCAAGCTTGTAATAGTTTAATTATCTCCCACACTTTTGTTCCCTTTTTAATATAACAAGATTGAATATCGTTTTTTTTACACCACGCAAAAACGCTATGGAGCGTATATATATATGGAAAAAATAATTCCCATCATCGCGGGTTCCACGAAACGCCCGGCGTGTCTCGCCCCACGCCGGGTGTCAGGGACGAGGAAGAACCGGGAAGGAAGAACACGCGTGCGACATGAGCGTGCCGCAAGTGGCGCGGAGATGTTAACTACCTCGCCTGGTATACAGGAGGTCGTGGGTTCGATCCCGGTCCTGACGCCTGCTGTATACTTGGAGTTTGCGTATCTCAACGTGGTGAGATGTTAACTACCTCGCCTGGTATGCAGGAGGTCGTGGGTTCGATCACGACCTTGACGCCTGCTGTATACTTGGAGTTTGCGTATCTCAACGTGGTGAGATGTTAACTACCTCGCCTGGTATACAGGAGGTCGTGGGTTCGATCACGACCTTGACGCCTGCTGTATACTTGGAGTTTGCGTATCTCAACGTGGTAAGATGTTAACTACCTCGCCTGGTATGCAGGAGGTCGTGGGTTCGAACCCGACCCTGATTACATGCTGTATATTTGGAGTTTACGTCTCGCTCCGTGGTGAGATGTTAACTACCTTGCCTGGTATGCGGGAGGTCGTGGGTTCGATAACGGCCCTGACGCCTGCTGCTGTATATTTGGAGTTTGCGTGTCTCTCTCTCTCTCTCTCTCCGTGGTCGCGATGATTTTTCCCCCGGGTCCTTCGGTTTCCCCTACACATTTAGAATCGACATTATGCGTTGAGAGTATTTGGCTGCTATACATTTGCCCCGCTCCGTTGAGCTGCTATCCTTCGTGATAGCCAGCTCGCTTCTGAAAAACATCTCCGTAGCTCAGCGGGGCCTTACCTGGTAAATTAAAATTTGAAAAACTTGTTCATCTTTCGATTTAAAGCTTTCGTGACTGCAGGGATTCATCTTCTTGGTTTTTTCGGTAAAGTCACGTTGAAGGGAAGTAATAAAATAATACAAATTTAACATGATATAATAATTATCACGACGTTTCGGCCACAACGCAAGCAGCCGTCCTCAGGTGAAAACCAGGTCTGTCGAGGCGACAGGACGGCTGCTTGCGTTGTGGCCGAAACGTCGTGAGAATTATATTTTATTATGTTTTATTTTTATTATTTTATTACTTCTACGTGACTTTACCGACAGAACCAAGAAGAACTTGTTCATCGTTTCAAAAATAGCTTCAATTAAAATGCTGCCTCACTTCCATCCCACAGTTCCTGGAAAACGACAAAATCCCGGGCACGTGCGCACGTCGTTTGAGACGATGAGGACCTCTCGAAAGATCCGCACAGATGGAATTCAATTCACAGACTCGACCGTCAATCCGCCGAGCGATGAAGGCTTCAGCCGTGTGGGGCGCTAGGTTGTTGTTGCTGCTGCTGCTGTTGTTGTTGTTGCCCAGAGTAATTGTCCGACGTTTCGCTCGGCGTGCAGGGGAGCTTCCCCAGCTCCGCCCCGCTGGGGGAGCTCAACATTCTTTCGAGGAACAATTCAGTAAAATTTCGATTTAAAGCTTTCGTGACTGCAAAGATTCATCTTCTTTGTTCTTTCGGTAAAGTGGTCACGTAGAAGGGAAATAATAAAGTAATAAAAATAAAACATTAAATCATTCTCACGACGTTTTTTATAATTATTATTTTATTATTTCCCTTCTACGTGACTTTACCGAAAGAACCAAGAAAAAGAACAATTCAGTTGCCAAGGAAGCTCCGGGTCTACGCGGAGCCGAATTGCCGCGCGCGGTGCCCCCCAGCGCGAACATCGTTTGCAGGGCCACGGAAAAAGCCACGCAACGCATTTTTTTTCGCGAATCTCTCGGTCGCTTCGAAGCCGCCGGTTTCGCCGGCTCCCACAGAGCCGCTGTCCTGTCGGGGACTCGTTGGCCGGGGCGATGCTCGAACGGGGCCTTCCGCGTCCGTCTCGTCCCCACCGGCCTAGACTTTTTGCCGCTTCTGAACGGCGAGGGGGAGCGGGGAGGGCGGGGGGCGGTAGGGAGGGAGCCGTCCCACAGCGATCGAAAGCGTCGTGGTGCCGCCTGTCCCTGGCAGAAGATGAACCGAGTTGCCAGGTGCCGAGGCGCTGGTTCCACCCCCCCCCGCTTCATCCTAAGCTGGGGGGGCGGGTGGGGGGGGGGCTCGCGAGCGCTGATGACGGTGGAGCGAGCGAGCCGGGCGGCTTTGATCTTTCCATTTGTGTCGATTGTTCTCCTCGCTTTAAATACAATTATTTTTTTACTTATTTTAAGCAATTTTTTTTCAATTTTACCAGGTAAGGCCAACACTAAGCTACGTAGCTCAAACGCGACCTGGCCATCGCAAGTGATAGCTCAACGAAGTGGCCCATCATCGTTACAGCACGTGGGTTCCTTACAGAGCGTGGGTTCCTTACAGAGCGTGGGTTTCTTGCAGAGCGTGGGTTTCTTGCAGAGCGTGGGTTCTTTAGAGAGCGTGGGTTCCTTACAGAGCGTGGGTTCCTTACAGAGCGTGGGTTTCTTGCAGAGCGTGGGTTTCTTGCAGAGCGTGGGTTCTTTAGAGAGCGTGGGTTCCTTACGGAGCGTGGGTTCCTTACAGAGCGTGGGTTCCTTACAGAGCGTGGGTTTCTTGCAGAGCGTGGGTTCCTTACAGAGCGTGGCTTCCTTACAGAGCGTGGGTTTCTTGCAGAGCGTGGGTTTCTTGCAGAGCGTGGGTTCTTTAGAGAGCGTGGGTTCCTTACGGAGCGTGGGTTCCTTACAGAGCGTGGGTTCCTTACAGAGCGTGGGTTTCTTGCAGAGCGTGGGTTCCTTACAGAGCGTGG